ACACTTTGCCACAATGCTTACAGGGCTTACGACCCTTGACCTTTTGGTGTTCACGTCTTGACATGTTGCTTGACTGGGCCGGGAAAGCCGATGCAACTCCCTCCGTAGCACGCATCTCAGACGATAAAAAAGACCTCGAAGCCTACCTACGCATCTCTGCACGCTGCACACGTGGCGTGTGCATGGATATAGGAGGAGTCGAGACAGGCTACGAAGCCTCGAAGATCTTGGCTGACAATTACAGCAAGCTCAGTCGAAGGGAGCTCAAGATGAAGGAAGAGGAGTTCAACAAAATTTTCATGCGACAAGGCGAATCGCTGGACGACTTTGCCCGCCGCATCGAAGTTCTCGGCGCCGAGCTACGCGAATCTGACAGCAAAGTGTCGGCGGACTCAGAAGCTATGGCCCTCGCTCTGCTCGATGGTATCGACCCGCACAGATTCTCGGGTTATGGCATGGCAAAATACCATCTGGACGAGTATGTCCCAGGCAAATCTCGTTCAGCGCTCCGAGACGTCGTCNGTATCCTCAAGCGTGGCTCCACTGCGGACTCGGAAGGAGNTGCATCGGCTTTCCCGGCCCAGTCAAGCAACATGTCAAGACGTGAACACCAAAAGGTCAAGGGTCGTAAGCCCTGTAAGCATTGTGGCAAAGTGTGTCACCCNGCGGACCGCTGCTGGTACAAACCTCNCGACCCNNNNGGGTCGNGAGGCTCGAATCATGCCAAGTTAGCTCGCGAAAGTGTAAACAACGAGACCAGTGACGTTTATGCGCTGGCAACAGCAGACAGCCAGCTGGAAGCCACATTTCTACTGGACACANGTGCTAATCATCACTATGTGTCCGATNGGAGGCTCTTTGAGACCTATCAGACCACTCCGCATGCATCAGTGAAGGGCATCACATCCCAGCCATTGGCCATCGCCGGCCAAGGACGCGTCGTCGTGTGGATCGAACGTAAAGGAAGTTGTTTCGAGCTCGTCCTGCCCACGGCATATCATGTCCCGACAATGAAGACCAACCTCATCTCATGGTCGAGTCTTGTTGAGGATGGCATTGTACCCTGCCCGCGGGGTCCCGATACTATCACTTTGACACACAAAGGCAAAGATCTCTGCTCATTCAAACGACGGAACGGCCTCTACTATGTGCGACAGGCCAAAGACGACGCGTTCGACTTCACCGCCACGATCACGCGTCAACTTGCGCACGAGCGGACAGGCCACAAGAACGACGAAGCGCTCTCGGCACTGCAGAATTGCAGTACTGGCTTCAAACTGGCCTCTGGCTCTTCCAAACCCATCGTATGCAAAGGTTGCCAACTAGGCAAAGGTCATAGGGATCCCTTTCCGGAGAGCCAGACTGTCGTCACAGAGCCATTTGCACTCGTCTCCGGTGACATAGCAGGGCCGATTGGAGACGCAACCCCAGAAGGCTACACATACTTTGTCCTCTTCGTCGACCATTACTCCAGATTCCACTTTGTCCGACTGCTACGGACTAAGGCAGAGGCCCTCGCAGCGCTTCAGGCGCTCCACCACAAGGTGGAGACTCGTTTCGGTCGGAAGATCAAGGTCTCCCGGTCGGACAATGACTCTGTTTTCCTATCCCGTCAGGCCGAGCAATTTTATGCCGAGACGGGCATAGAACACCAAACCTCGGTCATCCACACACCTCAGCAGGATGGGATGGCCGAGCGAGGTATCCGCACGGTATCAGAGGACGCGAAAGCCCTGATACACGGTGCCGAGAATCTACTGACAGAACGTAGCGTGCCCAAGCTATTGTGGGGCGAAGCAGTGAGAACTGCAACGTACCTCATGAACGTTACCTGGAGAAAGCCAATCCGAATGACTCCACACGAGCGTCTTACTGGCATACAGCCAGACCTGTCTCACCTGCGCGTTTTCGGATCGCCAGCTTATGCCCACATCCCGAAAGTGCTCCGCGATGGGAAATTTGGCCCCCATCGTCAACTGTGCATCTTCGTGGGATATCCAGACGGCAAGAAGGCCTGGCGATTCTGCTGGGACCCCAGAGCGGCCGAATTCATCGCCGCTCGCGAAGCGACGTTCATTGAATCTGCACGAGTTGAGACCTTCCATTCGGACCCCGTCATGGTTCCGGAGCGTCGTGGCGAAACATCTGAGCCACGCATACAAGAGATCATCGAGACAGATCCTCACGAGACTGACTCAGATATCAGCGATGGAGACACTGCCGCCGATCAAGAAGGCTTTGTCTCTGCTGAAGAGTCAGCAGAAGAGGAGATGCACGAACGCGGCATGAGTTCCCGACAAGCATGCCCGAGGGTGACCACTCCTACGGCGGAGCTAGTGGTGCCTCCTCCCAAAGATCCCTCGGGCAGTCGGGACGACAGAGCTAAGTCTACTCCTCCTCATCCAATTCTTGGCGCTGACCCTTCGGTCAGTGCTTCGATTGGTGAGATTGAGCAGACTGCGGCTGAGGGAGAACTGGGGCGCGGCAAGCGCACTAAGCGACCATCTGCAAAAGCTCGAGGCTTCGTTTCGCACTTGGCGCATAATCCCTCTATTGTGTCGATTCCGCGCAACGTCAAGGAAGCTCTTGCGTCGCCCCAGGCCGATTACTGGAAAGATGCTATGGACGCCGAATACGAGTCAATGGCAGCCAACAAAGTGTGGGAGCTTGTCGAGCTTCCACCTGGGCGCAAGGCAATTGACACGTTGTTCGTCTTTGCAACGAAAGTCGATGAGAAGGGCGAGGTCTATCGCTATAAGGCAAGGCTTGTCGCCAAAGGATACAGACAAATCCCAGGAGTCGACTACTTCGAGACATCGGCGAGCGTGGCATCGCTGCCCGCCGTCAGGACCGTCCTGGCCCTTGCTGCCTCTCGAGACTATGAACTCATCCAGGCCGACATCACCTCTGCATTCCTGAATTCGCCCCTCGAGGAGGACATATACATAAAGCAACAAGCCGACTACACCGTACCTGGTCAAGAAACCCTGGTGTGCAAGCTAAAGAAAGCGATCTATGGGCTCAAACAAGCCGGTCTGGCTTGGGTCAATACGCTCTCCGAACGACTCATTGCCTTTGGACTTGATCAGACAGAAGCGGACCCAAACATCTACACGAAGCCGATCGGTGACGATCTGCTGGTGCTGATCGTCTATGTCGATGACCTCCTCATAGCATCGCCAACCCAGTCACTTGCGTGGGAGCTCGTCGATTTTCTCGCTCAGACATTCCAGTTCAAGAGAATCGGTGAACCGAAAAAGTTTCTAGGCATAGAGCTCAGCCGCAACAGGGCAGCACGCACCATCTCGCTGAGGCAATCGGTGTATGCTCAGGACATCGTCTCAAAGGCCGGCTTGGCCCAAGCCAAGACTCTTTCTGTCCCAATGGACAAGGCAACCCACCAGGCCATGCACGATCCTGATGGAAAGCCTTGTCTGAACGTCAAAGACTATCAGAGTGGCGTGGGCGCCCTGTCCTACCTGGCCATGGCTACACGCCCAGACCTTGCATTTGCAGTATCCTGCCTGAGCAAATATAGCTCGTGTCCGACGGAGTTCCACTACAAAGCCCTCAATCACGCGCTTCGGTATGTGGCAGGGACGACTCATGCAGCCCTCGTCCTGGGGGGGGCATATCACTGGACTAGAGGGCTACTGCGACGCAGCGTTCGCCGACAATCCTGATACGGCCAGATCTTCCTTTGGCTATGTCTTCATGCTCGGACACGGAGCAATCTCTTGGGCCTCCAAGAGACAGACCTTGATTGCAAAGTCCACAGCAGAAGCTGAGATCGTATCAGCGTCCGAGACATTAAAGCAAGCGATCTGGCTAGGACGACTACTTAGGCAATTGGGGCTTGACCAGGGACCGGTCCATCTCCGTTGCGACAATCAAAGCGCTCTGAAGATCGCCTCGGGCTCGTATTCAGCAAGAACCAAGCACTTCAATCTCCGCTACAGAGATGTCGTCGAGCACGTGGCCAATAAGCTCGTCACCCTCTCACATGTCAACACGGCAGACATGATCGCTGATGGAATGACGAAACCAATGCCTCGTGATAGGCACACCCTCCTAGCCCGCGAGATAGGCATACAGATATAAGGCTGACCTTTGGGTGGGAGTGTTGGAGGCAAGCCCAGCCTGCTATCACGTGACCCATTTGGGTGCCTTAAGCCACCGCGGTTGTACCGAACATAGATTGACTAATCGGTTGCCTGTAGGACTACGTCCAATATGATCAGGTTGTCTTAAGATCAGTGCATCTCTCTACCTTTGCCAGCCATGCTTATTGCACGCCGTCTGCTTGCTTCATCGTCTCATGACGACGAATGTAGTATGGCGCATCATGCCTCACTGCTGGCGTATCTCGAGAAGATTGACGCAATCTGTAAAATCACCTTGTAGTCAAATGCAATGAGAGTGGTTGTAATGCAACACCCAATGAACGTCATTTTCACACTTGTGTCCAAACTGACAGGTTCGCGAGCGCATTGACAGTCGACAATGCGCGTCTTTGGGCATCTATGACCTGACGCATCCGGCGGTCAGTGCTTGCGAGCGATCTCTACCGTGCTTTGGTACTGCAAAATGTCACGATGATACAACAGACACGGAAGTGGGGCATGCTACGCTCTTGCGTGAACGGGTGGTGCAGAGACCGGGTCTCGTATCGCAATGGCAGCCGTTGGCGCAGGCTCTGCCGCGTAGCTCACTGCTGTCGGCTGCGAATATAGACTTGAGCCAAGACCGTATAGCGCGCCCCTGGTTCCTCGTGTCGTCAGACAGATGCTCGGAAAGAGCGAGCAGATGACGTACAGGTATTTCGGGTCAATGTCATCCTCGAAGAATTTGGACCGCATCTTGAAGAATGTGGACGCTGTGAGGAGACTGTCGCTGCCTGCTTGGTGTTGTGGACCTATGCGAGTGACTTGCAGGTCATTGGCTACTTCTTGCAGTCCTCCCTTGAGCGTCTTGCATGCTTTCATCAAGTACTCTGTCCACAGACAGCTTTAGCGCGCCTGCTCACGCTTGCGGCGTTGCACTGACTAATGTCGTAGATGCAGGGGAACCAGAGCTTCAGCAGCTCGAAAAACTCGACCTCGGTCGTTGGCAGCGGTGCGCACGAAACGACTTTGAGCAAGTAGCCAAAGTCGTAGCCAGAGTGAAAGGAGATCCACTTTGTATCGTCGAGCAAGACCAAGCCAGAGGAGATGAGCAGCTCCCCAAAGTCTTGGACGTCTATGCCTTGTTCATCATGGCGCTTGAAGTTGATGCCTGACTTTGTGAGGAGGTCTATCGATTCTGCTGCGTACATATCATTACTGCCATCTCAATCAGACCTTGGTGCGAGTGAAATAGGCGCCATGTTGGAGACTGACTGTAGAGAGAATTGAAAATTGAACTGCCAGCAGGATACGCCTTGTGGCATGTTCCCTTGCTCGTCTGCGAGTGCTACGCCAAGCTGGATGATCCTCAGCAGGTCGACATTACACCTGTCAGGCGCGTCATCAGCTTGGCCAATCGAGCGCATGTCGTTCTGCGAACCGGAGCGTCTGGTAGTGGTAGTCTGATGACGTCTTGAAGTTGCCGATGGGTCGAGCTACGACGCCGGGGAACTCGGTGTCCTGCAGGCGAAGACGAGACATGAGCGGAAGTTGAGTTGCGCTCTGCGAAACGAGCTTGCCATTGCTACGTATGGGTACCGATCGACGAGCGTTCGAATGTTGCGCATCTCCTCCTCGAGATTGTCCCGCCAGACCTCTCGGATTGTGCTCGTCATGGCAGTCGATAGGCCGCCGTTCGCAGACTTGGACTGAGTATCAAGTCAATTCATGATTTAATCAAATAATCCGTCACTGCTCGCAACGAGGTTGCGTGGTCGGACAGCGGCGTGATCTCTCGGCTCACAGGCCTCGCACGGACAGCACAGAGACCACCAAGAGGGGCATCTGCATCCACAGGCAAGCCTGATCGCAGAGATCAGCCCGTCGTACGGGCCGCGCAATAGCAGACGGAGCGTCACACCTTTCCCTCGCAGACGGCCATCGCAACGCTTGCCTGAGCTGTCTCTGTGCCGCAGATCTTCGTCCTCGACGTGCTTGCGATAGCTACTGATCGGCTACACGTCTCAGCAGCCCCTCGAGCACTCGTCACCGCTCTCGGCACGCTCAGCTGAGCCATCCGACTTGTAGCCTCATCAGATCCTTTGGCGCTCTCCCCGACGGATCTGACCATCCAGAAGAGCAGCCGGAGTGCATTCCAGACGTATCGTCGGGCTGGTACTCGACAGGTCAACGCTTGCTCAAGCCCAGAGAGCCTCCCTTCCGCCACACCGTCGTCGTCGACGAGGGAGCTACTGGGCAGTGATCCAGTAGCAATGGCGTCACAACCGCCGGCTGCCAAGCCGATGAGCTGGGCAGATCGTGCAAAGCAGTCACGTCCTGCCACTTCTATCGGAACACCGAGCCAGGCAACCGCTGCAATAGCGCCAGTGCCCGCGAGGATGCCCGCAGCGCCGGCAGCTCTCACAAACGGCACAGCAGATGCCGAATCGCCCTTGACATCCTCCAACACAAGTCCCACACCGTCATCGTCAGTAGCCCCGAGCACGGTGGCATCTGTCGCGGGCAGCTCAACCGTGACTCACAGATCGAGCGACACTAGCATAACGCCGACTGCTACCACCCAGTCCAGCGCATCCATTACCGGTGACGACTCGGATCCGAAAGAGAATCCAGAGGCGAGCAGTACGCAGGTCGTTGATGAACCAGGCTCGGCAGAACAGCCTGCAAAGCCCTCTCCTGCAAAGCCGGTCAATGTATGGGCACTACGGTCAGAGCAACGAGCTTCCGCACTGGCTGCTCCTCAATCATCCATTGCTCCATCTACGCCTTTGCCTGCCCCCATCGCAAGCGGCAGTGGCACCGCTTCAGATCAGCCAAAGCCCTCGAGGAGAGCACAGTCGCTATCTAGATCGTCAATAGAGACCAGCTTGAGCTCCGCTGCGGCTTCCTTGAATCTACAAGACGAGCAAACATGGCCCGATGCAGCTCGTGCGAGTAGTATCGACCGATCTCGTAAGCCTAGACAGCAACAACAGCAGTTCGCTCCGCCGGTCTCGCCAGAAGGTGAACGCAAGAAGCGTGCGTGACTCTGGCTTTTGTCGCAGCTATGCTTGCTGAAATGGGGTTGTGTTTATGCACAGAGAGATGGGTCGCGATACCAGCTGACGTGACCATCAATGCTCCGCTGCCCACTCGACACACGAACGCAGGTTACGATCGTAAGCCGAGGCCCCCTAGCAAGCCATCCCGGACAGGAAGCAGTGAAGCCGTGCAAGCGAGACGAAACGGCGACCCAAGCAGAATAAATGGCGCGAGTGCTGCCAATGGTGCGACAGGCGGCGCATCGTCACCTTCGCTCTCGAGCGAGATGCTCAAGACTAGCTCGTCCAGCAGCACCCGATCCCGCAATACGGAGAATAACCCTATCGCAATCAGCACAACGATTCCTCCCGAGGTTCTGAACGAGTCGCTGATCAGTAAGCTACCTGCCAAACCAGCGACCGAGCTCAGTTCGCCGCCGCCTCGCGCGGATCCGCAATTCGAGGGCGCGCTCAATAACAGGCAGAGACCACGTGCACCTTTGCAACACAGAGGTCGTGCAGGTTTAGGCTACAACGGCAATATGAACAATAGAGCTTATCCTGCCATGTCATCGCCCGTCTCACCGGGCATGATGAGCATGATGCAACAGCAAAATCCGTACGGTTATGACGTCCACAATGGCTTCTATGCTCAGCAGCAACAATATCAATATCAGCAACAGCCCATGCAATTCTTTCCACCCCAGCAGCTGCCTCAACAGTCTGGCGCGCCCGTCTACGGCATGCAGCCATACGATAGGCCTTCGCCCTTGCAATTCTACAATCCGCCGCTCGATCCAACGCGACATTGGGTGCTCGGTCAGATCGAGTACTACTTTGATGTGCAAAATCTTGTGAAGGATACCTTTCTCCGGAAGCAGGTAAGTTCTCGGACCCTTTTCCTCGAGCTCGAAAGCTCACTGGCTGAACAGATGAATCAAGAAGGCTGGGTTGACATCGCTCTTGTGGCCTCATTCAATCGCGTCAAACAGCTCACGACCGATCTCGACCTCATAAAAGACACCATGCTACTCAGTCCGCTTCTGGAAGTCGATCAGGAACGCAATCGCGTGCGTAAACTGGGCGACTGGCACGTCTGGGTCCTGCCGCAGCAATGACAGACTCGGTGCTCCTCACGACTGTAGCAAACCCCTTGCAGACACTTCGCAAATCGACTAGCATACAAAGAGAATGAACAGACAGTCCGTCCGAACTTGTTGTGACAAAACGATGTCAATCGCGTACAACCTTCATGTCCGTCTGCCTCTAAAGAACGAATGAGGCCTTCGCTGCCGTCTACCCATCGCAGAGTCCATTTCCAGCAGCAAATCTGAGCTTTCGTGCGCTTCGGCGTCACTGTCGATGCTGTGCGGACCGTCATGAAATGGCTCATGAGTCGAGTCAAAGCTCTGTCGTGTGCCATTCGTATAGCCGCCTTCGGCGAAAGCAGATCCATACTCTGGCCTGGCAGATCGTTGTGATCGGCTAAGAACGCTAGCAACACGAGAGGCAGACCCGAGCATCGTGCTGAGACGGTACGCAGCTGGCGAGCCCGCTGTGTCCTCATCAAAGAAGTTGCCAAGTTGGTGTAGCTGAGACACCATATCGCCCAGAGTCGACGCGTCGCCCACGTCAGATTGCGTGCGAGCGTCCATGTGCTGTCCCTCGGGCTGTCCAGAGAACTCATCGTTCGCAAACTTTAAAGGCGAGGCAGGAGCTGCAGGGCCGTCTTGCGAAGGCAGCATCTCGATAATATCGCGCAGCTGCGATCGGGTGCTTTCCTGAGCCGTTTCTGGATCCGGCAAGCACCAGCCCGTCTGCAATGGATCGCCAAAGACAGGTGGCGGATTGGGTAGCTCTTCACCGTCCGGTCCTCGTCTTGTCTGAGCATTTGCTTGCCGCAAAGGCTGCATCGATCGCTCTAATGCTTGGCTGACGAATGCGACGGGCTCTTCGAGAACCTGCAGGACTTGCAAGGTCAAGTCACCGGATAGTAGATGAAGCAGTGGCGAGAGGAGATCAGGTCCAAGACATTGGATATCTGTCTCGCTCGGCTCGATCAGGCGCACGAGCGGCTTGAGCAGGACGAGGGTCTTCTCCTGCAGCCACCGTTGCGGATTATAAAGCGTGCCTAGCATCAGCACGAAGACGTCGAGGCGTAGCTCTGGGCTGAAATATTCTTTGACATTGGCTATTGCCTGACGGACAAAATCGTCTTTCGCTCGGAAGCGGCCCTTGGCTACAGATGTCATGACGCGCACAATGCCTGGACGATCTTGCTGGCCGGCTAGAAGCGCGATTTTGCCGGCAATCGTCTCTATCTGCGGGCTGACGACTTTGTCCTCTACAGAGCGAAGGCTCGCTGCCAAAGACGCGCCATAGAGTAGCGCGATCGATCTCGTTGTCCCAAGGACCAGTGAGCTGATTGTACTGGACGAGAGCGTCTCGACAAGGCACCATGATGCATCATGGGTCTCCCTGGAGCGCAGTCCTTTGAGAAGGATATCGCCGATGAAGCTATCAAAGGCAATCAAGCCGCCAAACTGCGCTTGGCAGCCCGCAAAAGTGCTCGCTAGGCCTTCATCGTCAATGACGGCGACAATCGCCTGCATGAGATTTAGAACGCCCAAGAACTCCTGCTCGCTGGCGGTACCAAGACAGATGGCACTTGTCCAGAAGATGTGAGGCAGCAATTGAAGTGTTGCTGGAGATCGAGCACGAGCTGCAGCCGTGAGAGTATCGATGATCTCTGCGGCGAATAATCTAGCATCTGGCGTCTGGTCAGATACTGTATTCGATAGGCGTGCGACGATGCCAGTGATCATAGACGGCTGCACTACAGGCAGCACACAGCGAAACACCTGGAAGGAACGGCATGCGACGTGTCTGATCGGACAAGTGACTGCCCATTCGAGTGCGACTTCGCCTAGGTTCTGTTCAAAGTTGGGCCGGGCGGCTGAGAAGAGTCTGATGAGATCTCGCACAAGCGTTTGCATGTGTCTCGGGCACCGTACTACATCCGAGCCGAGTGAACGATCATCATGATCCCAAAACGTCTTCCATAACCAGTCGATTCCGTCAGACGCCGCAGTCTGCTGCGACTTGGTCGATCCAGCGCCGTCAACTTCATAGAGAAGCTGGGACATGGCCAAGCTCGTCGCAAGTCGAGCAATCGAGTCGCGTGCCTGCATACGCACGAAGGGCGTCGAATGATCCACGAGCATGATAAGCCCGTGCACAAGCTTTGGCAGGCATGGATGCTGCTCAGCAGTGTTGCCAAGCAAGACATCGGAAACCAAAAAGATCGCCGCTTGCGCCGGCGATAGCACAAGTCGACGCGCGCCGACGGGGAATAGCGCGTCCAAATTGGTGCGCCGAGTTGGCTGTATCGGGACTGTACCGTTAGCTTCTGCATCGCTGGATAGCAGCAAGGCCGAAGGCTGGATCAAATGCTCGAAGCGACTGAGCATTGCTGCGCAAGCCGAATTTGACGTCAGATAGCTGGCGACCTTCTGTGCGAACCTAACAAATTCTTTCGAGCCCCTTCGCCGAATCTCTTCCACAAGAAATGCGCAGATTGCTTCGAGATTACGCGCTTGCACGCCTTTCGCGACAGATTGCCACATTTCCCGCAGATCCTCGCTATGCTGTTCGGAAAACTTTGCTGTAAGTAGGAATAAATTCGCGAGCACCGGATCGGTCGCGCTTGAATCCGTAGGGATTGGTATCTCTACGTTAGCTAGCCAATTTGGCAGCAATCGCAGTAGAGAGCGCCCCTGCTTGCTGTCAATCTGTAGAATGCGCACGGCGAACTCCAGGAATACTGCTCGTGCTTCGGATGCGAGCGCGCCTGCAAGGTACAGAACGACCTTGATCTGCGCTGCAAAGCCGCAAGAGCCGGTTGACGTGTGAAGAGCGGCATTACAAGCCTGCAACAGCGCTGGCTCTCCCTGGCTGAGAGTAGGAGCAAGCGTGCGGAGCGCACTCTGACGCATACCCAAATCCGTGCTGACCAGCTTCCAGATCGCAAGACAGGTGATTGTCGTCGATTTGAAGCAATCGCTGCCAAGCTGGCTGACGACGGCAAAGAAGGACGTCGCCAGAGGCACGGTCTCTGCCTCCGCAAACGAAGCATACACAATACCCTCAAGAAAAGCCTTGTGATCTGAATTCGTTTTCAGCAACGCAATAAGCGATTCTCTGAAAGGCAGAGCGTCAGCAATCGCAAAGAGAATCGAAATGCGCATACCTCGCGAGCCGATGCGCTCTTTCATCGTTGTTGTCAAATATTCGTTGGAGCCATCTTAGCGTCTCAGCGCAATCGATACCTTCACTTCCCTGACGGGCTACGTCTGCTACAGTCAGGCCGGGGTATGCCTTTGACAGACGTCTGCTGTTAGTCATACTTCCCAAAGACGATGGAAAACGCGTACGCAAAGCATGGCCATTGCGTTAACTGGTACGACCGAGACTTCAGTGATGTGACTGGTCGAGCCGGCTGCAGATGAGCCAGCTCTACTGCGCGCAGCCGTATCTCTGTCGGAGCGGAAGCGATTGTTCTCGAAGCCATCGATGCTGACACTGCGAAAAGACCACGAGCGCATGGCAGCGAACGCTTCTTGACAGAATGAAGGCGGCAACGGACGTTGTATGATGCAGAGACGCTCGCCCATGGTCTGACAATAGCGTTGTACGGACAGACAGAAAGAGTTGCGCATGCTGTGGAGTGCGACATCGTCTTGCGCTTCGGGATCGCGAAGCCATGCAAGAGTTTCGAAAAAGTAGAGACTGAGTGAGCTGAGAATTGCCTCGCTATCGCGCTGAGACACTTGTGTTAGCAGCCCGAGCGTCACTTCAATGACGCGAGCTACGGTCGCATGTAGCCGCGTGTTGCGCTGGCTGCGTTTTGTAGAATGGACTTGTTCCAATCGAAGACGCCTTTCGTCGCTGAGATGCCGCAGAATTGATGACAGGCCATCAAGTAGAGGCTTGTAAAGGCTAATATGGACGCTGCTGAGACCTCGCGCAACGGCATCGCGCAGGAAGGCATTATCAGATGCCAGGAAAGGCATCACTTGCCGTATGATCTCACTGCCCGACGAGAAACGTTCGCCATTATTGCTGGGTAGTATGTCAAGGACTTCGCTGGGTATGCTTCCGATTGGTAGCATAACTTCATCTGTCGTGATAGCACAGAGTGCGGCTAGATGTGCTCGCCAAGTGTCGACGAGATATGCGACATCGGCCCCGAAACCGTATATTGCAGACTTGACGCCTGGTGCAGCAGCCGGGCCTCGAGGCGCCGCCAATCCGGCCGCGGTGAGTGCAGCAGGTTGCAAGCGAGCAGCACGGCTCGCCAACAGGCGTCGCGCGATACCAGTCGCCTCGGGGCAAGTCTTTGACACTGCCTGGAATAGTGGCCCTATCAGGAGATGCCACACAGCGATATCGGACGCGCTTTCGCTTTGTATGATCTGCGTGACCAGCTCCGTTTGGTCGTGTTTTCGCCACTTATTGAGCCTTGCCTTTTCAGAGTTTGACATATGACCATCTTCGACATTTTCGATCAGATGGCCAGCCTTGCTGAAAATTTGCAGCACCTCCGTATTGCGGGAGTGATATGACGAGTCGATTTCCGCAACAAGCGGCAGTGCATCGAGCGCAGCACGTCTGAGTGTCGGAGATTGCGAGCACAGCAAGACGAGTGCTGTGCCTTCGATAAGGGGCGCCAGATGTTCGTCAAAAGTGATAGATGATTTGCTTTGTGTTACAACCGCCGGCCGTCTAGGACCCAAGATTGGCTCCGTGGGCGCGTCGCTAGATGGTGTGAGGCTGAGACGTATCAGATGCAGCCACAGATTGACCAAGCCTTCTACTTGTATGACAGACTGCGGCTGGTAAATGGCATTGTCGCGCAATACATAGCTTGGGCCACCGATGACATACGAAAAGCGAATCAGAATTTGGCTGACGAACGGCGTTTGTACCATTCGCTCGAGTGCTTGCCGTGCTGCTTGATTGACGCCGACGTCTACGTGATTGAGACCTTGGAGGAGCATATCAACGGGATGAAAGTCAACCGATGGCTGGTCGAGGAGCCACGGCCAGCTATTGAAACATGAGGCGAGCAACGCGAACTGCACCTGACGATCGCGCGCATACGTGACCATGAAAGGTCCGTTTCGCCGAAACACAATGATTTCGCGGTCTGGCGGATTCGCCGAGGGCTGAGCGCCTCTGGGAACGATGTTGGCATCGTCGAAGACTGTCGCATCACCGCCCGTCTGACAAATGCGCGCGATAGCGGCAATGCTCGCGGCCCAGCCATTGACCGCGGCCTGCAAGCCTGGCCGATCCAGCGTCGAAGCCGCTAGCTGGCCTTGCTTGTTGATCAGAGTCGCATCTTGCTCGTGATCATCAGGCGAGAATGCGGGTAAAGCGGGCAGATTGTTCGACTCGAGGCTATAAAGCAGTAGCATTGCGGCACGTATCCCACTGATCATCCGCTCGGGCGACAATCGCTCTGTCCAGCTAATCCCTGATTGACTTGTGACATTGCTGACCGTCAAGAGTGAGCTGATGAGCTCAGCACCGTAGTCGAACGCTCGATATGCTACGACGAAGGGTATATAAGCTACAATATCGAGAGGTGCTTCACTCGGGCTGATAGTCTTGCGGCCAGGAGGAAAGACTGCCTTGACAAAAGGCTCGATACGTTTGACCGTCGCGGAAGGAGATTCTTGACACCGCCTGAGATATGCCCATAGTAGCTGAAGCCCGCCGTAGAGCGCAAGAGAACGCATTGTTTTCTCCTGCAGCACAGATCAGCTCTCGTAGTAGAAGCAAGCCGAACTACCTGCCTTGAACTTGCCGAGACATAGCTCGAGTGTAGATGCCCAGGATGCAAGTAGGACTTCTTGCGATGATGCGCTGACGGCCGTACATGCGAGCGCGACAGCATAAGATGAATACCTCGGCTTTGCGACCATCTGGAGCGCACGAGTGTGTATTGCCTGCATGGCTTTGGTCCATTGCGGGGTGTTTGCCTCTGCTGTCGCAGTCTGTGGACATCAGGTCAGCAATGTCTATGATGTCTCTTGGCAACACACGTTGGCCACAGGAGTGATGAGCGTGATCATTGTTTCTGTCAATGCGAGCTTGAGGCGGGATCCACTTGCTGCGTCAAAGATCTTAGCAAGACCCTCCATGAACTCTGCCGCCTCCTCGAAAAGTTCGAGAGGATACAGCTATGCTTCTCTCAGCACAACAGCATGCCCACGTGCTACCACGTACTTCGATGCGCAAGTATTGCATGCCGCGAATGATGTGCTCCAGGCGAGGCTCGAGATCTTTGGGTACGGCCGCCTTTTCAATGATGGCCAAATCAGCAATGAAACGGTCTGCAGTGCTCGTAAAGCTGTCGAATACGTCAGCATAGCCAGAGACACGCGGTGTGTGTACGCACCGAAAAGACGACAAGGCTCCGATAAGGCGAGCATAGAGGTCCATATTCGCCTGCCTGTTTGCCGACCGCGCTACTTGGTATCTGTGCGACCAACGCATGAGCGCCCAGACTGGCTCATTCGCAAGTCATGTACGGATTCGCATTTTTGAGCGAGTTGAAGAGAATCTCCTCAAGCTTGCTGCCCAGCTCTTCGCCGAGGATCTCGCGATTGGTCGCTTTGATAACGGCCAGCAGACCGCGACAGAGGATGTAGATGGAAGCCAGCTGCAGAGTGATGCGCTCAGCACGGATCACGCTCGTGAGCTTGAGCGCACAGATTTGCGCTCGTTGAGAGCCTCTGCAACTTGTCGGGCGGTCGTTGGGTTAGGTGCTGATGCACTGCGGGAAGGGCAAGGTCAATGATCGCTCGGCGACCGACTGTCGCCTGGCTCACATGGCGCGCGAAATGCTGACGGTGTCGATACCTTCGCTTTGCGACTTGCGCCATCGCATGATGACATCTACTACCAATTTAGGCAGCCTGCGTGAGACGTGGGAGATTGCGTCGAGCATGCTATCGAATTGGGCATCTACACCGGCAGCGAGCAAGGTCGGCAGATAGAACTCTTGATCCTGTGCGCAGGGCATCTCAGCGCGAAAGAGGGCAGACCAGTCATGTCAAACGTACAATTGGCCTTCCCAATGCCTCGCTGATCTTGCTCTCGGCTCGCTCGAAGAATTGATCGAGCAAGAGATAGAGAGCAAGCTCAAGCGGCTGGATATGCTCATTCTGGCTAGCAGAGGTGGCATGGCTGCTGCTGATCAGGGACTTGTCGCTGACGACGCCACTCGAAGTGTTAGCCTTGTGCGATTTCGGCATGGCCATATGATCATCCGCAAAGCTGGATATGGACGCTGGCGTAGGTAACGGTTTTTCGGATCGAGCAGAGACTGGCGATGATACTGAAGTCGAGGCAGCGGATATGGCCATATCGCTCGAATGAGAGTGTAGGTGGGGAGGGCGCATGAAGCCGCTACCGTTGGTACTGCTGTTACTTGTGCCTGTACTGCTCGAGGTCGTCGCATTGGCCATAGGCAGCGATGCAAGATTGCTTGACGACGCGTTCTGCTGGTAGCCGTTCGGGACTGGCACGGGTGGAGTCGTGTTTTGGACAGTCGATTGAGAGCGGGAGCGATGATGCATGCTTTGCTTTCTTGCAGGATATGGCGTGGCTGCAATGGCGGACTCGTTGACTAAACTCGAGCTACTGCCCTGATGCATCAAAGCTGGTTTCTGGCCCATCCAGACCGAGCCACCAGCAGCCGAAGGTGTCAAGGGGACAGTTCTAGCGAGGCTCTGAGGCGTTGCATAGTCTGTCTTGAACTGAAATGCGCCGCTTGTCGAACTGAAAGTCCTAGCGTGACCGTCTTGGGCAAAGGCAGTCTGTGGCAGCTTGCTCGGGCCGCTGAGATTGTTTGGGATGCCATGCTGTGCCGAGTAAGGAAAGGATGATCCAGCTGTCGTTGAGCTCGCTCCATAGCCACCTGGAGCCGGATGAGCAAATGATCCGAAGCCTTGTGCCGAGCTTGACGGCAGCGTGAACGCATCCTCTCCGTCCAAGTCGGGTATCTCGATCTGCGCGAAGCCGTCCATCGCTCCGACCGGCGGGCGAGCTGGAGCCAATCAAGTGACGCCCGATGTCTCGTCGTGACCGGCGACCGGCTAGCAGTTCGCTGCAAGACGCGTCGCGACAAGACGAACTTCGCGCCGCGCGTAAAGTGCATCCACCTAGCTCAGTAGGGGCTCTTCTCCGTCCAGTGTAGCCGCATGGCCAAGCACAGCAATCCGAATGGCGCAGCGGGAGGCAGTACGCGTGGCCGAGGAAGTTGGAGGGGCCGGGCGAGCTACAGAGGCGACAGAGGAGGCCGGGCCGGCAGCTTCAACAAGAACGGCAAGAGCGGTGATGCGGCGGCCAAGATCCAGACGGAGGATGGCGTACAGTCTGAGGACAAGTTCGAGGAAGTCAAGCTGCGCGATTCACTGGATGAGAGACTGGGATTCTACCGCTTCAGTGAGGGCGGCAAATCAAAAGTCGGCTGGCTCGTCAATATGCACCCTGTCAGCTGCCTCTGAGTGATCGGCGATGGCATCTGACCATGACATGGTGACAGACACTCATCAAAGATGACCTCCATTCAGGCGGGCGTGCTGCGGTAGACTTTTACTTCATCCAGGACGACGGAGAGCTCTTCAAAGCGACAATGGTCTATGAGCCCTACTTCTTTCTCGCCTGCAAAGTATGCTCCAAGCTCCTTGGCGCAGAGGCAGTACTGATAGATACACTGCCATGCAGAAAGGGACGGAGACACAGGTCGAGGAATGGCTCAACAAACGCTTCGAGACCCAGCTCGTCAGAGTCGAGCGTCAGCGTAAAGACGATCTCAAACTGGTGCGCCATGCGCGCTCCATTGATGCAATCGCTGACGTCAGCTGCAGCCCAATCATCTGCTCGGCTACAGCCGCACCTTCATACAGCTTATATTCAGGAATGTCAACGACCTTCAACTCGTGCGACGCGAATTGCTGCCCATCGCCAGTAAAAACGCCGCGAAGCTCTCCGCAGTCGATGCATACGCCGAGGTCATCGCTGGAGACTCAACCGCAAATTTGGCCAACTTAGTGTTGGTGGACGATTTTGCCGGCGTCGACATTGAAGAAGGTGCAGCCTTTGTCGCAAAAGCATCGACGCGCGCCCTCGGCAGCGCAGCAGATCCCAGCGAGCAGATACTCGATGTCAGAGAATACGATATACCCTACTATTTGCGCGTCGCAATCGACAAAGGTATGTCACGTACCACTGCGCTAGCGTTTCTCACTGACGGCCGGCCGATATGGCAGAGATCCGCGTTGGTCTATGGTACACTGTCTCTTCGCAACAGGGCGATATCACACTAGAGTGCATCACCGAACGCGTAGAGCGTGCCGATCCGGTCGTCCTCGCATTCGATATAGAGACCACGAAAGGTCCACTCAAATTCCCAGACGCCGCTCATGATCAGATCATGATGATCTCGTACATGATTGACGGCCAAGGCTTCCTCATCACCAACAGAGAGATTGTGTCAGAAGACATTGACGATTTCGAATATACCCCAAAAGCGGAGTACGAAGGTCCTTTTATGGTCTTCAACGAAGCAGACGAGTCGGCACTCCTGGCACGCTTCTTCGAACATGTACGCGAGGCCAAGCCGACCGTCATTGCTACGTACAACGGTGACAGTTTCGACTGGCCATTCGTTTGCAATCGCGCCGCAGCCAGAGGCATCGACATGTACCGAGAGATCGGGTGGAAGATTGACGCAGAAGACGAATTCAAGAGCGCCAACTGCATTCATATGGATTGTTTTCGATGGGTCAAGCGTGACTCGTATCTGCCACAGGGCTCCCAGGGTCTCAAAGCCGTCACGGTCGCCAAATTAGGCTACAATCCTATCGAGCTCGACCCTGAGCTCATGACGCCCTACGCTGTCGAGAAACCACAGATCCTTGCCCAGTATTCAGTCTCAGATGCCGTGGCGACATACTACCTTTACATGAAATACGTGCATCCCTTCATCTTCTCGCTTTGCAACATCATCCCGCTCAATCCAGACGAGGTGCTTCGAAAGGGCTCCGGGACACTCTGCGAGACTCTGCTTATGGTCAGTCAAACGATCAGTTGTGACCGTCTTGCTAAAGTCGCGTACAGGTCGAGGCGTATCGGGGCAAGATCATCATGCCTAATAGGCATGTGGAACCGACGGCGAACATGTACGAAGGCCATCTTCTCGAGTCCGAGACCTACGTCGGCGGCCATGTCGAGGCTCTTGAGGCGGGCGTTTTCAGAAACGATATACCCGTCGACTTTCGGATAGCACCAGACGCGATACAGAAAGTGTGTGCGATCGCTGCTGTTGCCTTTTAAATCTGCTCACACCTCTGCGCAGCTAATCGATGAGCTCGATCAAGCCCTGACGTTCAGTCTGAAGGAAGAAGGAAAGATCGACCTTGCAGACGTGGAGAACTACGATGAGGTGCGAGGAGGTATTCTCAGCATGCTCGAGGAGTTACGCGACAAGCCGATGCGCCAGGACAAGCCTCTGATCTACCATCTTGATGTGGCGGCCATGTATCCAAACATCATGTTATCGAATCGCCTTCAACCGGACTCAGTCGTCGATGAATCGATGTGTGCAGCCTGTGACTATAACCGACCTGGCAAGACTTGCGATCGACGGATGACCTGGGCCTGGCGCGGCGAGTTCTTTCCTGCCAAGCTAGACGAATTCAAGATGGTCCGCAACGCACTAGAGTCAGAATCTTTCCCTCCCAAGTGGCCTGGCAAGCCACCTCGGCGTTTCGTGGACCTTGCCCCAACTGAGCAGACTTCGTTCCTGCACAAGCGACTGGGAGACTACTCTCGAAAGGTATACAAGCGCACACATGACACCAAGATCATCAACAAGGAAGCTATCATCTGTCAGCGGGAAAATCCTTTTTATATCGACACTGTTCGCGAATTCAGAGATCGTCGATATACTTACAAAGGCTTGCACAAGACATGGAAGAAGAATCTCGATGGCGCCAGTGTGACCGGCTCACTCACCGATGTCGTCGAAGCAAAGAAGATGATCGTGCTTTACGACTCACTGCAGCTCGCGCACAAGTGTATCCTCAATTCGTTCTATGGCTACGTCATGCGAAAAGGTGCTCGGTGGTATTCGATGGAGATGGCAGGCATTACGTGTCTGACGGGCGCATCCATCATACAAATGGCACGTAGACTCGTGGAGCAGATCGGGAGACCTCTCGAACTCGATACTGACGGGATTTGGTGCATGTTGCCTGGCTCTTTTCCCGAAGACTTCAAATTTAGACTCAAGAACGGCAAGAGCTTTAGTATCTCGTATCCGTGCACAATGCTCAATCATCGTGTGCATGACGGCTTTACAAACGATCAGTATCACGAGCTTGTCGATAAGGAGCGCGGCGTCTACGAGATCCGAAAAGAAAACAGTATCTTCTTCGAGCTTGATGGGCCGTATCGAGCGATGATACTGCCGTCGTCGAAAGAGGAAGACAAATTGCTCAAGAAGCGCTACGCTGTATTCAATGAGGATGGAAGTCTCGCCGAGCTCAAAGGCTTCGAAGTCAAGCGACGCGGTGAGCTACAGCTCATCAAGACCTTTCAAACACAAATCTTCGAGCGCTTCTTGCTTGGCGATACGCTTAAAGATTGCTACGCAGCAGTAGCGACAAGTGCAGACCAATTCCTCGACATCCTTACCAGCAAGGCCGCCAGTCTCAGCGATGCCGAGCTCATCGATCTCATCGCAGAGAATCGCAGCATGTCAAAGACGCTTGCAGAGTATGCTGGTCAAAAGTCCACTTCCATAAGCACCGCCAAGCGTCTGGCGGAATTTCTCGGCGATCAGATGGTCAAGGACAAAGGCCTTGCCTGCAAATTCATCGTGTCTGCCAAGCCGAACGGCGCTCCTGTTACCGAGCGAGCAGTGCCCGTGGCGATCTTCACAGCCGAGCCTAGCGTGCGTCAGCACTTCTTGCGCAAATGGCTCAAAGACAATAGCCTAACAAGCTTCGATCTCCGTGACATCCTCGATTGGGATTATTATATCGATCGACTCGGGTCTGTCATTCAGAAGCTTGTCACTATTCCGGCAGCTCTGCAAAAGATCCCCAATCCTGTCCCTCGTATACGACATCCAGATTGGCTAGCTCGCCGCGTCGCATCGATCGACGACAAGTACAAACAGCATCGAATCACGGACATGTTCGTCAAACAGAGAATACAAGCGTCAGCTGCAGGCAAGGCGCTCACCGATGTCAAGAGCTTTTCGGGCCCAAAGCTCGTCAAGCAAAAGCCTGCTGTCGTCATTGATGAAGGCCCTCTGCCTGATCCACGCTCGAACTATTCTGCTTGGATCAAGCGGATGAAACCGCGATGGCAGCTCAAGCGTCAGCAAATGGCCGCTGCAGCGAGCGCCGGCGGCCCATCTTCACACAGTCGTCTTGGCAACATGTTGCGCCAGCAGGCCGGTGCAATTATGACCAGCGACTGGGAGATCTTGCAAGTTACGGAGTCCGGCAGTTCTCGTGAAGGCGAGTTGAAGATATGGCTTTTGATAAAGAACAATCTGCAAGCGATCAAGCTCAGAGTCTCGCGAGAGTTTTACCTCAATGTGAAGAATCTAATCACAGCTGCGCCGTACTTCCCTGCCAGCTGCAGAGTGGCGGATGTTGTCAAAGGGCTGCCGAGCTCGCAGCGGCGGCAGAACCTCGTCAAGGTCACCGTCGACGAAGGCACTTTCACTTCAGAGCAAGCAGCGTATGCGCGGCTGCTCAACAATCCAGAGATTGATGGCGTCTACGAATTGCAGGTTCCGCTCGTCGCGCGCGCTCTCATCAAGCTTGGCGTGTCTTGTAAGCCCGACCACGAAACTTCGCTTGGCAAAGGGCTAGACAAGGGCTTTGATCTGGCGAATCTCAACCGAGCGCCACATTTGTCTTCGCGACGCTACCTTGGCGGGAGGGATAGCCCACTACAATACGCATACTTATATCACGTGCATTCGGACGCCCGGCATGTCATTTGCCTGATTACCAGTGATGGCAAAGCTCGACTGTTCATTGTTGATCGAGGCCGAAATAAGCAAATTCCGAACTTGTCGCGATACTACAGTGAAGCAAAGGCCAACTATTTCAAGCGGGTCTATTCTGGACTTACGCAGGCTGCTCAGAAAGCAGCACGAGGCGCCTTCGACTATCCGGAAGATCTCACGTTCGATACGTCTGTCTACGACCGCGAAGATGTCGCATTCCGAGCGGTCAGCCGCGAATTAACAGGCCTGCACGCGCGCAAAGAAGGCCCGACCGTCTTGATCGCCTACACACCCAAGGACAGGCCATTTCTAGAGGAGCATTTGCCTGCTGCTGCAAATTTTCCATTAGTCATGATCCGCGCCAACAAGGCGGACAACGTCCTGCCAGCGCTGGCTTGGCAAGAGCCGGCAAGCAAGCGCATGCTGCAACACTATCTCCGCGTTTCGCATTGGCTCAAGGACAGGATCGCCTTGGCCGAAGAGTTCGATATCCCCCTGTGCAACCTAGAAGGCGACGTCCCCATCATGGTTGCTGACATCGAATATGCGCGTCGTCTCATAAGTGCAGATCTACTCCTTTGGTGGTCGCCGCGTGCCAAGCCTGACTTGGGCGGCCGCGATGAGGACACATTCGTGTCTGCATCAGAGACATCAGAGCCAGAGATCTCACGGCCGGGATGTTACACCAATGCGGTAGTCGACTTAGATCTGCGCGATCTTGCAGTCAATGCAGTCATGCAAGCAGCGTTTGTCTACGAGCTCGAAGGCGCCGAAGGCACATCGATGGGCTTCGGCGAAGCTTCTCACAACCTTGACGAGTATGCAAAGGGCAGCGCACACGAGGCCGTCAATCTCGGCGATGTTGTGCTGTCCCCTCAGACCTTTGCGATTCTGCGCAGCATGGTGAGGCAATGGCTTGTGTCCAGCGGCAAAGACAATCAATCCGGCATGATGACGGATCACTTCTGGCGATGGGTCTGCTCACCTTCCTCGAATATGTTTGATCCAGCCACGCTCAAGTTCTTACATGGTGTTATGTGCAAGGTACTATCTCAATTGCTTGCCGAACTCCGTCGCTTGGGCTCAGAAGTAGTCTATGCGGACTTCACTCGGATTATGCTCGTCACGACCAAGCCCGATTCGTTCAACGCGCTCGCATACATCAACTATAGTAGGTTATTTGCGTTCCTACGACATATTGGTGGTTGACTTGGTGCGCAGTCGTGTCGTCAATCTCTGGCCGTGATCTCTTCAAGTCTATACACCTCGAGGCGACTACATACTACGATCTCCTGATCTGGTACGATGCTGCCAACTTTGCTGGCGTTATCTGCAAGGATCCCAATGTCGAGATGACCGAGAAGGACACCACGGTAGTCATGGGCTGGAACATATGCTCATTCCTGCCGCCTGTGCTGCAACCGCATTTCTCGACCGCTATTGCTACGTACGCCCACAACATCTATTCCATCAAGCGACAATGCACCCGCGACTTGCGAACGCCTCTGCGAATGATCCAAAATGCAGCAGAGACAGTCCCCAATGCCGGCAAGCTTGAAGAGGCTTCACTGACTGCCAAATATATCTCGGAAAGCTTCACCCGACGTATGCTGAAGACCTTGAGCGATCTCAATCGTCAGCATACGCGCGACACAGCGGTGCCGGAAGCCAGACAGCTTTGGGAATTTCCGAGATTGCCGGGTAGCCACCTTCAGCAGCGAAAGCCCCTGCTGGCCTGGATTGCGTCCGTCTGCGCTATCGTATCGCTGCACAAGACGAATGCCGTCGAGGCGCAAAGTCTCAAGCGCATGCTGCTTCAACAGATTGGTGTCAGAGAATTCTCAGCAGAAGCCGCGTTCCGTAATCCTTGCATCAGCATCAAGGTGCAGATGGCAGTCTGTTTGCATTGCGCTAATGCACGTACGATGGACCTGTACGTCTCATTCTATGCGCTTTGACATTGCTTATATGCGAGTAGATGTCGGGATCCGACTTTGCTGGCATCGGCTAACGCGACGAGCGATCAGCTTGCTTGGCAATGTCCTCGATGCGGCCATCCTCAAGACCGGGGCGCAATCGAGAACAGCCTAATCGATACACTCTTACGAGCAGTGGCCGAATATCAGCTTCGCGATCTCAAGTGCGCACGCTGCAACACCATCAAAGTGCGAGACCTGAGCAAAGACTGCGAATGCTCGGGCTCGTTCTCGATCGAAGAGGCGCGTAAAAGCATTCTCACCCGCCTGCACAGCTTCGAGCTGGTCGCACAATACTACAATCTCGAACGTGAGTAGTTCTGTAATCCGTCCGAAAGACGTGCTGACTGGCGGCTGGCAGTGCTGCTGGGTATCGTCGCACACCAGAAGCAGATCATGCAATAATATCTCTAGACGTCTGTTGTTGCTACAAATTCAGCGCTATTTGCACGCTCTGCACTCGACCAACCGGCTTTTTGCAAGATCGTCCGGAGAGATCGCGTCGCGCGGCATCGTCGTCATCGGATCAGCGAACAACAACACGCCCGGAACGGAGCTCTTTTCGTGATTTATCGCAAGTAGAGGGATGCCATACGAGCTCAGGGAGCGCAAGAGTCGCACCAATCTGGCCTTGGATGCCAAAACAACGGACACGTTGTCAAGCGCCGCTGAACAAGCAAAGACGGCAGCTGTCGGACTGATTGAAGACGCCGATAAAGTCATCAATGGTGGCGGCAATGGCCATGCACACGCCAAACCGACTTCACGCAAAGCTTCTCCCAGCAAAATCACGGCCAAAGGCAAGAAGATGACGATCAGCGACGAGCAAAAGATCCTCGATTTTGAGACTCACCACTCGTACGAGTTTGGGGGACCGGCAGGCACACTGGCGATGATGATCGGCTTCCCTTTGCTCATGTACTACATGTGGATCTCTCTCGTTTTTTACCAGGGCAAGATCGTCATGCCGGCTGCATTTGATCTGAAGAGCGTCGCCTCTTTTGCGCGCACCATGGCATTCCTCGTCCGGACAGCAAGCTATTTCCTCAATGCGTGTTGCAGGAGCTCACAAAGTTGGTTTGCAGCACGCAGCTCCTACTTTCAAAGGTCTGCAGATTTATGGCGGACTCGTCGTCTCACAAATCGTGCTCGCTCTCGTCGTGCCGGGCTATCAGCAAGAGGGCTTACCGGTCCCGTCGCTCAATTTCCAAAAGCTCAACTACAATTGCAACGCACTCGGATGCTGGTATCTGACCCTCATTGGCGCTGCTGGCCTCCACTTCTCCGGCCTCTTCAGATTGAGTCAGATCATCGACCACTTTGGCGAGATCATGACAGTCGCCATCATCTCGGGCTATGCGCTCGCCTTATGGGTCTATCTCTATACCATTAGCAAAGGCACAGCCATTCGCATGTCTGGCAACACCATTTACGACTTTTTCATGGGCGCATCTCTCAATCCTAGATTAGCAGGTATAGACATTAAGATGTGGGCAGAGGTCAGGATACCCTGGATCTTGCTCGCCATCATTGCGCTCGCTGGTGTAGCGAAGCAGTATGATACCCTGGGCTATGTGACGCCCAACCAGGCCTTCATGGTCCTTGCCGTCGGACTCTACACCAACGCGTAGGCTGCTCTGGCTTGATATTGACACGGCTTACCGGCGGGCGTACGCTCATACAGATGCGCAAAAGGCGAAGAATGCATTCCTCAGACCTGGGATATGGCCTACGAAAAGTTTGGCTTCATGCTATCCTTCTGGAACCTCGCTGGCGTGCCATTCACCTATGCAAATTCGATCCTCTATATGGCATCTAATCACCCTTCAAAGTACACATTCCCGCTATGGGGCAACATCCTACTCTATACCACGATACTGGCAGCATATTATGTATTCGACACCTCCATGTCGCAAAAGTCACGCTTCAAGATGCAGCAAGATGGCACCTACCGACCCAGAAACACATTTCCCCAGCTGCCATGGGGTACACTCAAAGATCCCAAATACATCCAGACTGCCTATGGCAGCAAACTGCTCATAGACGGCTGGTGGGCTTATGCACGCAAACCTGTAAGTGACTCGCGTGACGACTCGAGCTGTCATTGACGACCGCGTGCAGAACTACACTGCAGATCTCGTCCAGGTGCGGCGATTCATCTGTTCTGCCCGACTGTGCTGATGTCGCGTCAAAGTCATTCACATGGGCAGTGTGCGCAGGCTTCGGCAGTCCTCTGCCTTACTTCTATCCAGTCTTCTTCCTGGCTGTGCTCACGCATCGCGTCTCGCGAGACTTTGAGCGATGTCACCGCAAATATGGTGCAGACTGGGAAGAGTACTGTCGCATCGTGCCTGCTAAATTTATTCCCGGCGTTTGTAAGTCTGGTGCTATCGCTGATGTGCTCGTCATTGACAAGAGATGCAGTCTGAGATCACTAATTGGATGCTCACGCCCCACGCCACGCTGCACTGTGTAGTCTCGACAGCTGTTGTTCGAGAAGCATGTACACGCTAGATTCACAACATCTCCTTATCTCTCACTCGGAGTCATCGTCCTCTTCTTCCTCGTCTGCATCTTCGCAAGAGATGGTCGAAACGCACTTCCATTCGTTGCCAGAGAATGCAGCCTTCCACAGTCGTGCCTTGCCATCGTCTCCCGCGGTACTGAGAACGGTGCCGGTGATATTCCATTCGACCTTGGATATTCCTCCGCCAGAGACGTGATCGTCGATTTCAGCTGCCAACTCGGATGTCCATTCGCCCTCTGACATGACATCTGATGATTCGGGTGCAGGCGGCCTTAGCTTCCAGACGTGCACCTTGCCATCACGCGAGCCTGTCGCGACGAGATGGTATGACCGGCCAGAGGAGGGTGCCCAAGCAACTGAGCAGACCGGCGCAGGACTACTGCTCGGCTTCTTCTCCTTGACGTTGTGCGGCACAGCTTGGAGCACAAGGACCTGGTGCCAATGATTCGGCGGATTCATCTGCAAGATCTGTCAAGAACGCCATTTCAGCCGGAGGAGTTGAACATGGTAGGGACAGACTGACTCTGACCGCAGAGGAGGTACCTGCACTGACTGCCAATAGCTGGCCATTGAAAGTATCGGAGCACCAGCAGAGTGCCCAGCCACCATCTGCTTCTAGTTGAGAGGGATCCTCCGATCGAGCTGAGCCCGAAGCGAGAGATGCGGCGCTCGAAGCAGGCATATCAAAGCCCCTTATGACGCCCGACGGTGTACGAGCTGACGACGAAGCACCCGCTACGAGAGGAATAGTGTTGACATCTATGTCTTCTAATAGTGACCAAGTCGACAGACCGCTGCCGTTATTGGATGATGGACTGGGACAGTCGTACAGCCGTAAGTGGCTATCAGATGCGATTGCAGCCTGCGCCCACGATACATTCCTCAGCGAGGACGCGCTGAAATGCGAGGAATACGTGCAATCCGCAACCCTAGATCGGCGGGCGCAAAGCCAATGTCACGTATCGTTCCTCTCGCGTCGAGCAGAACGGCTCTTTGCGCGTATCGTTTCTGTCCTGAAGGCAAGATGCCCATCGCCGAGTCTGCTGACGCGAGACCAGTGAGCTCATTGTTCCTATCAATAGTGAGCATCCGACGGGCCTTCAGTCTCCTCCCATATCCTCACTGCACCCTCGCAGCCCGCCGTCGCAAGAACGGCTCCCCATTCCATGGGCGCCCAGACGACCTTGAGCACCGGACCACCTTCATGAGCGGTGAAGACGCAGATCTCTGTCCATGCGCCCGTGTCTGACCCTCGCGCGTGAACCCTGACTTGGCCGTCTATTGAGGAAGTAGCGAGCAAGTTGGGCGATGATGTGGGCGCAAAGGCGAGTGATGTCAGCAGATCTCGAGCTGCTTGCTCGCTGTCAGTCGATGTATGTCAACATGAACTCCATTCGGCTGACCCGTGCTCGAGAGGAGTGACGTTTGGGCCATCGCGGCGGCGACAGGGATGAGAGCTGCAGCAGATCAGCAGCAAGCGTTGAACGCGTTCGGTCTCCAGCTGTCCACTGACTTCCTTCTCTCGCTCTGAGGCTGGCCCCGAGCGCTCTGCACCCATCATGAGGGGCTCAAAGACTGCCTCGCCCGCTTCTGCAGGCTCAGCACGAGGAAGGGGCACCAGACTTCCTCGTGCGATGCTGGAAACCGTGCTTGACCGTAACGCACGACGAGTAGCGGACGGCGCCGTCGGCTCGGGCAAGGCGTCGGTGGTAAGGGGCAGAGGCAAGATCAGAGCAGGCTCCTCGAAGACGTGGGCTCGACCGGCTTCGACATACGCTGAAGATGCCGGTCAGGATGAGGACACGACGGGCAGCGAGTCAGAAAGCGCTCAGAGCGGCTCGGATCGCAGAGACCGCTTCGAGGCTACGACAGAACAGAATCGCTATGTACAAGTCCGTATCCGCCCCTGTGAATCCACAGACATCTGAATCATTTGGGCGGGCAGCTCAAGCCAGAACGCGAGGAAGAACGCAAGCAGGCCATACGTAGCGGCCTCATACCCGATCCTGACAAGCGACATACCCTCGATGAAGCCATCACCTTTGTCGGAACTTGCATGGACATGTGTCCTGCCTTTGAGCGGGAAGAGCGGGAATATCAGAAGAATGTCGACAAGCTCGAACTCGTGAGTCACGTCTCCTGACATTATGAGCATGTTCAAGCAGCTCCGGCAGACGCCGGGAACGAACCGCATAGACGCCAGTAGAGCAGTCAAGGCTTTCCATCGACCTGCGGCAGGCAACGAACAGCCCTTGCCGTCTGATGTGCGCCCGCCAGAAGTCCTCAAGGTTCGCAGCTTTCGTCCGAAGGAGTCACAGCCTTGACTGACAAGTCAACGGCGGATAGCTCACGCTCGACTATCTATTCGAGACAGTTCTAGCAAGCGATCCTGGCTTATCGGAGACCCATCCCTTCATCAGAGATCGAACGCGCTCGATCCGACAAGACTTCACGATGCAACACGAGCGAGGCCCCATCGCTATTGAATGTCACGAACGGATAGCTCGATATCATATCCTCTGTCTGCACGTCTTGCGTGATAGAGAGTCTTTCAGCGAAAGTCAAGAACTCGAGCAACTCCGCAAAGGTTTGGCCCAGCATTTGCAGACTTGTGAAGTAGCTCAATAGTATTCCAGTTCTACAATCGCTCAACGAGTTCTACGAAGATGCACTGTTCGAGCGAATGGACTGTCCGAACGAAGCCGAGTTCAGGTCATACTCGCTCATAGTACATCTGCGCGATTCAGACGTCATCAGACAAACCGAAGCGCTACCAGCTCGCCTTTTCGATAGTCAATCGATGCAGACCGCGCTGAGGCTGCACTCGCTAGCCCAGCGCAATAACGATGGTCGTGGGCGCCGTGCAGCAAACAGCGAAGCCTGTCTCAACCATTTTACGCGCTTTTTCAAGTTACTGCAAGCCGAAAGCACGACTTTCCTCCTCGCCTGCTTGTGCGAATCGCATTTCAGCGATATCAGACGGGGCGCTCTTAAAGCGATGATGCGCTCAAATCTGAGCAATCTACCGCCGTATCCGCTTGCTGTTCTGACGAGAATGCTGGGCTTTGACTCGACTGAAGAGTGCGCTGACTTTTGCGTTGCTTTCGGTCTCGGTGTCATAGACGACGCAGTCGAGCTCAATCGTTCATCTTCCTTTACTGGTATGTCACTAAGCACATGCATATCGCCAGTATTGATGGCGCCGCAGAATTCCCGGCTCTAATACCGATGACACGCTCTGAGCGGATCGTGGGTATCAAGCAGGGCTTAACAACCTTTGAGCAGATCCTAAGCGCAAGCGCAATCATGATGCATTCAAGTCCGCCGCCTCCAAGCAAGCCATCGCCTTTGCGTGCAGCCGCTCCCATCTTCGTCCCTCGGCCTGCAGCCAAAATCACTCCGCCCCGTACGCCGCTTGTCAGGGCAAAGAGCAAGACCCCGCCGATACACAAGTCTGCAGCCCCGTCCCTGATCCAGAAACAGCGGAAGAGCGCTAGTCCGCCCGTGCAGGTTGTCATGCGAGATGCGGTACCGCTACACGCACCAGATACAAGTCAGAGCTCGCCTATCGCCTTCCGCACTCCGCAGCGGCAGTTGTTGGAGCCGCAGACAGCTTTAGCAAGCCGAGCGCCCCTCAGCAGAAAATCGCCAACCGTCAGTCCGCACAGGGCTGTCGTTTCCAAAGACAGCGAGGCTCAATCTGTACAAGATCAGATCATTGAAGAGCTCGCGGATCTCATGCTACAGCGTACAATCCATTCTGGTATCCATCATATCGTCACGCAAGCAGTTATAGATCTACGAGCAGCCCGGCGGGAGCAGATCGCACTGAGTCGAGCACAACTTATCGAGCAGATCAGCGAAGACGTCGTTGAAGAGATACTCGGCGACTATGCACACCGACACGCTTGCTGCCAAGTGCTGTCTATTGCAGGAGCAAGGCGCATGAGAAGAGCGCACTGGTCTATCTGGCGCGCCTCGGTGAAACGGGCACTAGAAGCGCGCCAGAAAGCCAGACAAGTAGCTCAGCACTTTTCCGACGTATCGCGAGATTTGCCGGTCAATACGCCGGTCCGGAATATGAACTCTGCAGACGCTCGATTGCGGTCATCCCGATTAGAAATAAATGACAAGCCATTGTTCGGCGAGGAAGAGAATGCGCTGTCCCTCTTTTGGCAGCGTGGCACCTTCTTGGCCCCCTTGATAGCATGGGCCCTGCATCTACAGACATACTCGTCCAAGCATCTGCAAATTGCCTTTGTCGTTGATTCTCTGTTGACGAGTTCTGCCACTTTCTGGCGGTGCAAGCTCGGCATGGCGCCCGAATGCGACGTGATCTGCATCGAGGAGGATGCTTTGGATCTCAGAATAAGCTTGGTCGACTCAGAAGACGCCTTAAAGCTTGATGATCAGCCTCTCGTGTTGCTGGTAGTCGACAGCGACTCTGCCGAGCTTTGTGCCCGGATCATAGACAGCCTAATCGGCTATTGCCAGTTCAGTCCCGCTGTCATTGTCAGCACATGGACAGATCAGCCAGACATCGGCGTGCATAAGGCTTTGCACACCTTCGTACCACTACTCGATCTGCAGCTATGCCTATCATCGACGAACGACGGCAACTTTGCCGCGCTCGTCAAGGCGCTACCTCATCGCCTGCAATCAAACGAAGACTCCGTGCCCGCGCTTACCTACGCCGCGCCTTCACTAAATGCCTGCTACTTGCTGATGCCGAGTGTGCTGAATGCTCACTTGGATTGCTCTATTGGTACGGCATTACATTCTTGCTCTGATGGTGCTGATGGCTGCGCACAGGTGTCATACTGTCTGTTGTTCAGCGATTCCTGGCGCTACTTGACGCAATATTGGGTGCTTTCCTCGTTTGCGCAGGCGAGCACCGGTACACAGGCATCGTCCGATTTCACAGACTGGAGCCCGACGATTCGCTCATGTGTTTGGCCACGTATGCACGCAGCGAGCGCTACGAGGATCAAGACGAATGTATTCAAGCATCTGATCGAATTGCCGAAGCACTGTCGCAGCCAGCTCATCTTCAAACAAGCAGCGCTGTGCTTGCGCTTGATTGGCTGCAACACTTCTGGCGTTTTGCAAGAAACCAGCTGAACAGGATGCGGATCTCCCAGAATAAGATGACCGGACTCAATCCGCACGTCAACACTATCTTGGATCTGCGCATCAGCGAAACGCGTCAAGAATGCAGAAAGCTGATCACTGCAACGACAGCCCACCGACGGCCGCAAACCACGAAGCGCCCTGCAGAAGTAATCGATCTGACAGCAGATGACCCACCGCTCGGCCCCGCCAGAAAGCGAGAGAAGCGCGTTAGCTTGAATACTTTGATGAATGCTATCCAGGTGGCTCGATCGACGCTCGATGCCGATCCCACAGATGGATCAGTGTCAACATGACTGGAGCCATCATGTCCGCGCTCCCAGTGCTTGTGCTACGCGTCGAGGTTGGCGCAGCTTCTTCACGGTCTCGACACTGTTCGACGTGCTGTACATATTCCTTGTCTGCTTTGCCTTCCATTGGCCAGCATTGGCAAGCAAGAAAGCCTTCGGGTTCTTCCGCCCTGCATTTCTTAGCTTGGCGACTATGCGAGCACACGAAGCAGCCCTCAGGAAGGCACTATACGACATGACGTACCGACCGTCGCCTCCGTCGCCTGATCGTATGGGGGCGTATCGCGAGACTCCTGAGGCAACTTCGAGCATTCAGTGGGAAAATCTGATAGTAGAGAGCTTTCCAAAGCATTATCCCTTTGTCGATGTCTCGGAAACGACAGCCGGCCTCGATTGCCTGACGGGTCTCGCCAGAAACATGGCCATTCCTGTCGGCAAGACCATCAATGAAACACTGAGCATGACGCCTTGGGTCACGCGAGAAATAGCCGCTTTGGGCGCTCTGTATGTCCAGCGCAGCATTCTCAAGAAGGCCTCATTCTCTGCCCTATTCCATCGTATGGGCTATGGCGACTCGCTAGCTAGTATGGTAGCCATTCTGCCGGCACGCAAGCTGACTCTATGACAGTCGATGGTGCCGGCCCTTCAAACAAGCTCATGCTTCTGACGGCGATCGCTTGTGAGTTTCGATACTAGCATGAAAGCCTCAAATGCACTGACGCTTTTCGCGCCCTCTCTAGATGTCAAATTCTCGCACGACGGCTTTGCTCGCTGGCAATTTGCCAATATCGGTCACCATCGGCACGCAACGGCAGCAAAAGATTGGCAATCCTGCACCTTTATGAACCTTTGTCATGGCTTCGTGCATTGCCTTCCCATGCTTGGCTACAGGATCACCTTGACCGAGCTAGATCACTGTGCGACTGTAGGAGAGGCTCAGACCCTGTCGCTATGCCTCAAGGAGCTCTTCTCCGGTATGCCCAACTCTACGGCACGTTGAAAAGCAGGTCTCGCGTGATCTTGAAGATATTCATCAGTCCTAATGTCCGTCGCAGACTTTGTGTATGGCCTTCGACATGTCGTAATACATAGCATACACCCATTGGCACAACATGGCAGATCGCTCATTCGGGCGTGATGCTGGACAGCCGCAGAGCGAGTGGCAACAGTGATACTGTCTCCGATGAAGCGATGTAAGCAACATTATCTCGATATGTTCTGCTGGAGAAGATCAGGCTGGAAACGCAGTGACTTCAGATGAGGCGACGCACCTTTGACTGGCTTGCCAGTTTTGCTCAAATGCGCTAGCATATTCATCGAATTTGGTAATTGGGATCATGTTTACGTCGATGTTCGGCTTTGATGCCTGCGTTTGACAAAAGTCAAGCTGCTCTTCAATGTTCGGGTGGCCTTGACAGAAGCGCTCAATGATCTGCATGAGTCTCGATGCAGTCTGTTCCGTGCATCTGAGCCGCAAAACGAGAAGCATTGGGTCAAAGCACACACCTTGAGCACCCGAGGATGAGTCAGCGTCAGTGTCTTGATGGACGATTCGAGAAAGCGCGTATGCGTCTGCAGCAAGTCCTCTACAGCGGTTGCCGCATGAAGCTGCTTCTGCAATTCCGCAGTGCCCGGTCCGAGAACTTCGTGTACTGCAAAGCTGTGAAGCTGTTGGATGAAAATTGACATCTGAGCGCGAAGTGCAAAGATGCGATTGCGCGCGGCTTCGAGTGCGAGATGCTTGGATCGGACTTGCCAGACTTTTGACTTGCTATGCCGCGTCCAGAGGTCATTGAGAGAACGCTCCATATGCTTCAGCGAGAGCAGATGCCGGAAGATCAGCTGATATTTCAGCAAAGATGATCGCGACAGCACTATCGAGAGTGGAAAGGCGACCTTGTAATTCATCGACAGGACTTCGAAGCCCTTATAGGTTTTCGGTCGGGCAGCAGATGATTCCGCATTTAAATCTGGCGCGGGTTCAGACGTGTCGAGCACGCGACATTGTCGCTCGATCATGGTCTCGGACTCGAGCTGCAGAAGTACCTCGTCCTTGTGTTGCTCGTTGGCGACGACATATAATGATGTGCGTATGGCAATCTCGTATAGCGATTGCAGGCGCGGCAAGTCGACCCTCGTCGCGCGCTTATCCAATTCCGTCTGCGCAATGTCGAGGAAGTGAGTAAAGGCATCGCCTCGATCGATTAGGAAGTTCTGTTTGAGTACGCGGAGATGCAGAGGAAGGTCGTAGTCCGTCATCAGCACCCGTAGTAGCTCCTCATTCGCCCTTAGACACGCCGCATCGATCATAGCGAGATAGCTGTACCGATGTCAGCCTTCTGGCACGCTCATGACGGGCGACGCACCCTCTGTCAGTGATGAGCAGATTCGTCCCGTCCTGCACAGCCTGCAGCGGTCCTACAGAGGCAGCTTTGCCGCAGCGGCGTAACACATTGATATATTTGCCCGTTTGCAAGATCTTGTCCTTTCTGCTCTGCAGGCACGCAGGGATAATGCCTCCCCCGCCTCTGCCAGCACATCTGATGTTACGTCGACTCGCAGGAACGCCAGTCATCGCCTCCGACGTTGGCGCAGCGATCAGCGATGTGTCTTTGAGGGTATACTTGAGCGTCCAGGCATCGTGGCTGAGCTCTGTGTCAAAGGCTGAAACGTCAATGAGCTTGTTGTCCCTGATCATGAACTCGTCGTATGCATCAAGCAGCTCGCCGCTCGTGATCCAGGCAAGTAAGAGTGCGGCGTAAGGTCTGGATGACTTGCGAAGGAGGGAAGTGTACAGGTCTTGTGCCTCAGGATCACTACGTGACAATATCAGCTTGGCCGTATACTGACTGAATGCGACTGACCCGGAGTAGCGCGCAATGAATTCTTCGATGACTGCGATCACTTCGCCCCCGCGCACCGGTCCAGCTGATTGCCACTTGAGTCGCGGTGTGAGGACAGTCAGATCGTCCTCGTCTATGACATCGTCGTCGGTGTTCTGTGGCTCCGTTCTGAGCTCGTCAATCAGAAATTGGATCAGGCCGAGCTTGTGCTGCATCGGGCGAACGTAGAAGAGCAGTCGTTGTAGAGTGAAGTTGGGATCGTGTTGATAGCGATCTTCAAGTGCGCTGATGACGCTCGTATAGTCCTGTAAGCGTCCTATCAGCCACCCAATGAACCAGCTTGCTGCTGGACTTGCCTGCAAGACGTCTCGTATGCCTGCACATAGCGCATGGCTGACTGCGCCATGTTCGGCCCGGCTGAAGGACTGTACAAACGCTTCGATGGCTGTATAGTACCCAGCGAGTGGTAACACACGTCTCACGAGCATCGCCAGTGAATGGTCTACAGCTCCTTCAGCCAAGAAGACGTTGCTAAGGCAAGACTGACTAAGCGTCTCATGCAAGGCAATCGTTTCTCGCTCGGGATCGTAGCCTTCATCAGAGGCATATTCCTTGGAATATGTGATGATCTCGCCCTCGATACCCTGCGTCGCAGATCATCAGTGATAGCTTGTATGCGTGCACAATGACGGACGACAAGGATGAAGAGCAAGTCTTCGACGAGTAGCGCTTCTTGTGTCTTGACATCTACTCGAGTAAGGTCAACGGCAGGTGTGGCGATGGCAGCAGTCGCGCTTATGACGGCAGGCGGTGCTAGACCATGGCGAGCGTCGCCGTTGCTCAGGGCGTGTTGCTTTGGACGCAGACAGCGCGGTACGGCCTGAGGTACGCGCGTGTTCAGAGGCGCTTCGACCAATGCCCTCGAATTGGCGAGGTAAGTGCCAAAGGGCACGACTGTCGAGAGTAATACATCCGTGAGCGCTCACCCGTGCATGAGCGAGACTGGCGTACGACGAACGGGCTTGAGCTGATCGTCATAGAAATCCTCGTCGTCATCATCCTCTGCTTCGGCCGAGCGAGTATACTTGCGTGCACTTGCCAAGGCCTGCTTGATCTGCAGACATGTGGGCTTCTCAGCGCACGTCTCTGTGCTGGAAGCGACCTGCCCTGCCTCGAGTTGCTCGCGCGCCGCTTGAGTATCAGACGATGCGTGTCGGCTCTTGTGCCTCGGTGTGAAGGGGATAGGCGCGGTCGCACCGTTGGAAGCTGACGACTTGGGTCTCACGGATGATCCTCGCGAGCTTGGCCTGCTCATCTCTCCATCTGCAGTGAACCCTGGCGCCTTGTCACCGTACTGGCCACGCGCCTGCGAGCAATCGCAAGAGCGCGACAGCAAGGACGCCACTCCCAGTTCTTACCAGGACATCATGGCGCTGTCTGATGTCACCAAGGAGCGCATAACGAGCGCACAACAGCTAGCACAGACCATCATTGTGAGGACGGCATGCTACTCAGCCATGTCATAGGCTGATTGCATTCTTTCTGTCTTGCAGCATTGGGGCTGGGTGCCTCTTGTCGTCTTTGTCGGCCTCCGATCGGCGCCGAACACGAGCTTCATCAAGTACGTACGGACCTCCGCCAGCATAGCTCACTGCTGATACAACATCGTGACAGGCTGATCAGTCCGCTAGCGTGATGATGAGGACGAGGGATGGACAGGACAGGGACACCACTCTGGAATAGTGTACTACAACTGCAACTAGCCAAACGACTGACTCGTACGGACGGCTCGCTTGACTTTTGAGATACGCCAGTCGTCTTGCTCCTTTGCGAATCGATCGAACAACGGCGCGACTCTGCAATATGCCTCCCCGTCAGCGTGGACATGAGCGAGGGCAGAGGAACGTACTTTTCTGCTCGCTTTCGCTTCGAGAGCTTGTTGGCATCTGCCACTCTGAAGAAGTTGGGCGCAGCGTTGACGAGCCACTTTGGATCGATCGCAGTCACTTCGCGCATGTACTCTTTCGAGGTCTGCAGCGCAAGTCAGCTGAGAGCATGAAGGTGAGCGCGCGATGACATACCAAGACGAGCTCGTGATAGACCGCCCATTCTGGCGCTCGGTTGAACAGCGACGAGCTGGGGTGCAAGAAGACTGGCGTTCCCTCGACGAGCGTCTTGTAGCCCTCTTGAGGATCCTTCTTAGCAGCATTGCGGAAGAAGCCAGCACAGATAGCCCGTTGAACCCGGTGAAACTGTCTGCCGGCAGACACGAGATCGTACTTGTATCGATCCATGATGCCTACGAGCTGTTTTCGCACATCTTGTGCCTTCTTCAGCGATCGAGCCTGGACAAAGTTATCGCTACACCACGGAGCAGAGAATTTGCTCGCTTTCCATCCATTGTAGACCATGAGCAAAGTCAGATGATCGCCTTCGGGCTGATGGAACTTGGCCTTCTTCGCGTCTGCTTGCGCTTGCTTGTCCTTTGGTCGGTAGAACGGACTCGGGATCGACAGCATTGCCACGATCGTCAACGCTTCCTCCGAGCAGCCCAAATCGACAGATTCGATGAGCATACGGGCGAGCGGCGGCGTCATAGGAAAGTCGGCCATCTTGCGGCCCAGACGAGTCAGTAGACCCTCGTCATCGAGGGCTGACAGGGCGTAGAGCTGTTCGAGTGCCGTCACGAGTGTCTGCTGAGGTGGTGGATCCATAAAATCAAAATTGATCAGATCATTGACACCCATCGCTTTGAGCATCAGGATGGTATGATCGAGATTCTGACGCTGTATCTCGGGTACAGGATTTGGCAGCATCTCGTTGCGATACGCTGCCTCTGTATACAGTCGATAACATTTGCCAGGCCCTGTCCGCCCAGCACGACCGGTTCTTTGTCGGGCTTGGGCTTGCGAGATAGGCGTGACGACGAGCGAGTCCATGCCCAGCCGGGGATCGTATGCATTCTGCTTCGCCATGCCGGGATCGACAACGTAGTAGATGCCATCGATGGTGATGGAGGTCTCTGCAATATTGGTCGCGATGACGACTTTGCGAGCGCCTGGCGGAGCCGGATCGAAAATGCGTGATTGCATCTCGGATGGCAGTGCAGAGTAGATGGGCAAGATGATCAACTCTGGCACTTGAGGGCCGAGAGCGCGCATGCGCTCGAATAAGATCTCGCAGCTCGTGTCGATCTCTTCCTGGCCGGTCAGGAACAGCAATATATCTCCAGGCGGCTCGGAAAGGTGGATCTGCATGACAGTGATGAGTGACGCGTCGAGGTAGTCTGATTCTGCTTCTTTGGTGTACAGCACTTCGACTGGGAACGTCCGACCCGGAATGGTGAAAATGTCGCAGTTGTAGAAGTACCGCGCGAACTTCTCAGCATCGAGCGTGGCAGAGGTGACAATGAGCTTGAGATCTTTCCGCCTCTTGAGCGTCTTCTTCAACAGACCGAACAGCACATCGGTAGCGATGGTACGCTCGTGGGCTTCGTCGAGCATGATGACCGAGTAGTTGCTCATATCTGGATCGATGAGCGCTTCTCGCTGGAGCATACCATCTGTCATGTACTTTATTCGCGTTTCTGGCGAAGTGCAGTCTTCGAAACGAATTGTATAGCCTACTTCCTGACCGACTCGACAGCCGACTTCTTCGGCCACTCGCTTCGCAACAGACACGGCGGCAACTCGTCGAGGCTGTGTGCAGCCAATCTTGCCGCGATCCGCAAAGCCAGCCTCTGCCAGGTACTGTGTCATCTGAGTCGTCTTGCCGGACCCGGTGTCGCCGACGACGACGAGGACCTGATTTTCCGTGATGGCTTCTATGAGCTTATCCTTGAACTTGTAGATCGGCAAAGATTCGCGCTGCTGTTGCATCGACATTGTCGTCATCTTACCAAACGCAAGAGATTTTGTCGCCGCTCGCCAAGCTGGCTGTTGCTGCTCCTTGCGTCCCAACGCATTGCCTCGCATGTCCTGTGCAAAAGTACGATCTGCAGGATTTGCAGCCGGGTCAAGCCAAGCCTGGTTGATATTGGTCGTCTCAGCATCGACGTCGTTGGCTTCTTGCTGCTTGAGCTCCTTGCGCTCCTTTGCGAGAGATGCACCAGACAGAGCTGCTCGGTTGAGGGTACCATCGGGCGCTTTGACGATCTTGACCGGCGAGAGATCGAGAACACGTTTGGTCTGGCCGGCCAGGAATGGCGCTTCTTCCTCTCGCACCTCGACCTCGACCTCTTCATCTGCATCTGCTTCCCCAGGCTTCGAAGAGGGGGTCGCAAAGTCATCGTCGAGGTTCGGGTAATCGCTCCGTTTTGCATGACCCGAGGCGATCAATTGCTTGATCTCCCACCGCTCCGGACTGGTCATTCTCCTTGCTGAAGAGCGTACGTTATCGTCAAACTGCATAGGTGGCTTACTCTGCCCTCCCCGAGAGCCTAGCACGCCGTTGGCGCCAGTGGCGTATTTGCTAGCTTCCTCTTCTGCTAGCTCGGCTTCGCTCTTTATCCTCAGGTGGGGAGTGAGATCAGAGCCAGACTGCTGGTCGGCATCGCGCATGCTGAGTCCTATCCTGTTGCCCGCAATCGACATGACTTTGACGTATACGGATTGCCCGCGAGAGAGCACATCTGCCGGGTCGTTGATTCTGCCTACACCGATCGAGCCCACGTGGACAAGTCCTGCAGGGGACATCAGCCGGCTAGCCCGATCATTCCCATGGAAACCGTACCTTCGAATCGACCGCGTAGGTTACTCAGGCTGACGAATGCGCCAAAGTTCTTGAGGCCTGTGACTTTGCCTGGATAAACCTTGTACAAGGTCGGCTTGTCGTCCATTGCATCACGACTGGGTAGTATCGGCCTGCGATCTTCCCTCGAACGACCTCGTTCGTCACCGTTGCGTGAGGACGTATAATCTGGGCTCCGCCGTCGTGAACGATCAGGCATCGGGGGCGAACGAGAGTCTCTTCTCATGCGTTTGTTGGATGTCTCATCTTCCTCTATTGCGGGCAACGTCCTGCGCTTCTTGGCTTCGGATTCGAGCTGACTCATCAGATCGTCGACGCCCAACAAGTCGGCTGTTTTGGACTTGCTGGCTTTGTCTGTCGCCATGTCTGGCTCAAAGCTGGGCTGCCACTCCGTGTCCGGCATAGCGAGACCGGGAAACAGTCTCTTCTTCCTCTCTCGCTCTGCATCTTGCGCAGGATCGCCCGTGCTTGCTACTGCATCAACTGTTTCAATCGACTTTGAGTGACCGTTCGTGTCTTGCACAGCGCGAGGCTTCTTGTGCTTCGGGTGCATGCGAAGCACGAGCCTATCCATGGATGTGACAAAAGAGTCTGGCAGTCCCTCTGCTCCATTGTCGACGAGTGCCTGTCTGAATGCATCGAGAGAGGACGACTGTTCGTGCAAGTCGATCAGGAATTCGGCGAGGACCTTGTCGTTCATGCCCGTGTGGTTGACCAATTCCTGTGTGATCGAGTTCACCAACGAGAGCTTCTCGAGCGCCTCTATCTCCATGACGGGCGACGCAATGGACGCCTAGTGCCAGATTGCGACGGCTTCTGTTGGAGCGAGTCCAGATGATTCTTTTTCAGGTGAATAGCTCTGCATGTGTCACGCTTCCCTCCTGGCTCAGCTCAGCCGGCTCCAACGTATACATGCGATCTAGGATGGCGGAACTGTGCGGAGACTATGCGTTCCCAGCTGATCCGGCAAGCCACTTTCCCGAGATGCGCAACACGCTACTTCTGTCGGCTGCGAGATGTCAGAGCACGTCTCGGCCTCCGGTCTGGGTGATGCGTCAGGCAGGCAGGCAAGCAAGCACAGACTGATCTATGCGCCTGCTGACCAAGGGATCTGCCAGATACCTGCCCGAGTTTAGGAAGTTGAGGGAGTCTCACGACTTTTTCGAGATCTGCAGGACGCCAGAGCTAGCAGCAGAGATCACCTTGCAACCCATCGATCGTTACCCCGAGCTGGACGCGTCCATCATCTTCAGCGACATTCTCGTCGTTCCTCAAGCACTGGGCATGCAGGTTGACATGCTGCCTGCTCACGGCCCTCATTTCCCTCGCCCCCTGAGGCAGCCCGAAGACGGGGAGAAGCTACTGAAAGAGACGGATGAGCTCAATGTCGACGCAGAACTGCGCTATGTCTATGCAGCCATCACGCTCACTCGCCAGAAGCTCGAGGGCCGGGTGCCTTTGATAGGATTCTGCGGAAGTCCCTGGACGCTGTTTGCCTACATGATCGAAGGCGGCGGGAGCAAGACACTCCAGCAAGCGCATACCTGGATCAACCGATACCCCGAGCTATCTCATCGCCTACTCGAGAGGATAGCGGACACTTGCGCGCAATTCCTCGTCGGACAGATCCGCGCAGGTGCTCAGGTGGGCTGTGCCGTGTCTCACAGATGACGTAGATTGAATGCGGCAAGAACAGATGGTGCAAATCTTCGACTCTTGGGCGGGCGAGCTCGAAGCAGGCAAATACAGGGCATTCTCGCTGCAGTATTGCTATCAGATCAGTAGGACTGTGCGGCAACTGCTCGAGCATCACCAGATCTCATGCCCGCCCATATCACTCTTTCCAAAGGGAGGGGGCCCCATCGCGCTCGAATCGATAGCGCAGGGCTCCCAGGCAGACACCCATTTTGATGTCATTGGCCTCGACTGGACCATCGATGCCGAACATGCACGCAGGGCGCTCGAAGAAGGTGCAAAACTCAATAGAGCAGGCTGGCGAGGTCAGATTGCATTGCAAGGCAATATGAATCCCAACATGCTCTACGCTGGTCAAGAGGCCATCTCGCGCGACGTCGAGCGAATGGCAGCCGACTTTCGACCCTCGCGACCAGGCTGGATCGCCAATCTTGGTCATGGCATCACGCCAGGCGTCGATCCCGAGGACATGAAGCACTTTCTGCAGTGCGTTCAGGCTATCCGGCCCGCGTAGAAGCAGACCAGTGCTGCACGTCATTGCATGGCATCAACGACCAAGTGCTCGAGTTTCTGTGTGAAGCGCTCGTCAATATGCTTGCCACCGCTTGTTTCGACGAACGCACCTTGTAATGCTGATCCTGCTGCTGGAGCGTGTCGCGTTGCTCGTGCGCATTCTGGACCTTGCGCAATAACCTTTCGTACGCTTTCCGTTGACGTGCATCCCCATGCGGCCAGCTCTGAGGCAGCGCCTCCACCCAGCTGTATGATCTGGTCAGCTATGGCCGGAACACCAGCAGCAGAATTCAAATACTTTGACTGGGCTTGTGCGGTCGTGAGAAAGAGGCCGTCGGGATGCGCTGCCTTGTCGCGCTTGTTCATCTCACGCTGGGCTTCCTCTGACCTCAGGATGTCAATCTGCCGTACGAGCTGGTCAATCTCTTCGTCCTTGAGCAGCTTGTCGTGCCGAGCTTTGGCCATAAAAGCGTCAATCTGAGCACATATCTCTTCGATTGCGGTCGAACGAAGCGTCTTTCCCCGCTCGTCCTCGCCCAGTGAGCCGCCAGAAGGCGCACGGAGCGGCTGATAGAGACCGTCTAGCTGTTCCCGAATGAAGCCTCGCTCGTCATCGTCCATTTGGACCGTCGCGTAGAGTTCGAGCGAACCCGACGCGTCTTGCGGCCATTCTGCGACGTAGCGCCGAGCTTGGCAGCCTCTCTCAGCTGCAGATTTGGGACGACGATGAGGTCGACATGGTGATGATGACATCGCCCAGATGACGACTCAAGCATCAACGGTGGTCTCGCCGCCTCAGGTGCTCCTGTCGCCTCCCAGTCCGATACCGGGAACAGAGGAAGCATCATCGGCGTCCGCGACGCAGATTCTGTACCCACGAGACTCTGTAGGCTCAGGTCAAGCCGATCTGCCGGCAGGTACAACGGCTCAGCCTTCCATGACCACTACACTCGCAGCTCCGTCGCCCGCGAGCGAGGGAGACCATGCTGGCGATGTTCGAGTCTCGTTCCTGCTCGTTAGCTCGGGCAAGAAGACGCCAGAGTACCACTTTGATGCTCAGACAAAGGTCGCACAAGTCATCGAAAGGCTCTACACCGATTGGCCTGGCGACTTGGCCGCCGATATGCCACCTGACCGCAGCACCATACGACTGTATGTCACTTCCGCAAGCAGGCTGTGCATATCATCGCACTGACATTCTTCGAGCAGAATACATCGTGGACGCTTTCTCAACGCAGGCGAGAGCCTACGAGGTCGGTCGCGTGATCGTCGCGCATGTCACTCAGTGCTCACGGTCATGTCTTGCATGTGCAGACGCACGGCTTGCGCCCGATGCTGTGACGACATTGCACCTCACGGTTGCGTCAAACGCTCAAAAGAGCGAGAGTAAGCCATCGTCGAGTTCTTTAAGGAGCTTCGTGCTGAACTGGCACAGGTACCCACATTGAGAAACCTCGCGACAAAGGCCTCTGTTCGAGCTGCGCAATAAGTTAGCCAATCACTGTCAGCTTCAGACGATTCCATCGCAGATCTGTTGTGATAAAACAACGACATGAATTCCAACTATGTGCCGTCTGATCATGAGAGGCGGCTGATAATGTGATGACGTGTTCATGCTGATGTGGCCGACCCCTTTTTTTTCGCCGCGCCTGACTCAGTCAACGTCCACAGAAGATGGTGAGACGCTCCTCCCTAGACTGCACGAATCTGCGCTGACAGCACAAGCTACATAGGACGCTCCTCTACCACCGCCAATCGGCGAAGACGTACGCATGCAGGACGCTGCCCGAAGAGAGCCAACATCACCTCGGGATGCCTACCCAAGTCAGGTTCCCGCTCGTCCTCGCAACGCACCTGCTGCACCTACCAAGTCAAACGTGCTCGGCGTCTTTGGTCTGTCGGTCAACACCCGCGAAAGAGACCTAGAAGACGTCTTTACACGCATTGGCGAGGTCGACAAAGTCGTCGTTGTCTATGACCAACGAGTGCGTTTTTCTCTCTACTCGTCAGGGCAAGCGACCTTACTCAATGGTCCCCGAACAGAGCGAACGCTCACGTGGCTTCGCCTTTGTGACCATGCGCTCGGAGGATGACGCAGAGAAAGCCATCGCAGACTTGAACGGCCAAGTGCGTCTTTGCTCTCATCTCGGCTCGCTTCGAGGCTAATGGGCATACACAGGAAATCGACGGACGTCGTGTCCGAGTCGACTATTCACTCACCACTCGCCCTCACAGACCTACACCCGGTGAATACATGGGCTACAGACGCGACGAGTTCCGAGAGGGCGCTTTCGGAGGTGGTGGCGCCAGACACTACGACAACCGCCGTCCGGTCTACCGTGACGACCGCCGAGATGATCGGTACAGCAGCCGAAGCTATCGCGATGACCGACCGCACTACGACGATCGCCGAGGCGACTACCGCGATGATCGCAGACGCGACTATTACGACGACGACAGACGTGACTACGATGATCGTCCCCGCCGCCGCTACTCGCCTCCCTCGCCGCCTCGTCGCCGTTCGGAGTCGCCCCGCCGCCGCTCAGCTTCACCTGCTCGTCGCTCGGCATCGCCGCTTCGACCCAAGCGCAGAGACAGCGACTATTCACCCCCTCGGCCTCGCTATGAAGAATGATGGCGCTGACATGATGCAGATGATGCGCGCGCAACCAAAAGCGAGAGGAAAAAAGGCATTGTCATCTAGGATAAGCCAAGAGGACGGCACTGTCACGCTTCAAAGCTAATTCAAAAGAATGTCTCAAACATTTGTACAAGATTCATCGTCGTGCTAGCAGTCGCGAAGAGACAAATCAAAGAGCAAGGCTCAAGCTTGAAGACTCGCATTGGCTGACAGGGCACTGCAAAGTGCGTCATCGTGCGCGCGCGGGCAATTGAATAGCGCTAGCGACGGTAAGCAATTTGAGATTCCCAAGGTGAGCTTTAGCTCGTCTTCACTAATGAGAAAAGCTCGATGCACTTTCATTTCGTTCGGCTGCCTGGCTTGATGAATAGAATATCGGCTGAAATTCGAAGCGCGGTCATCGCCGTTCTGCCGAGGTCCAGATCGCGATCGGAGCGACCACGCGAGAGTCATGACGTACTGGCCCCAGATTTTCAAAGACTGCAAGACGATGACGAGAATCGAGGCTCTGGGACACTTGTCTCGCTTGTATCTCCCCTCTTCTCGGTGGACAGACTGCCAAGGCAAGGAGATCAAGATACGCAGCGAAGAAAGCTTACCAGTCTTCGCAGATGGGTTGGAATTCGCACCTCAAGCAAGACTTGATATGCTTCGTGGGCGAGTTTGTCGGCACCACCCTCTTCCTCTTCCTTGGTCTCGGAGGAGTACGGATTCATGAGACATCTCTATCAAGCTTTGCTCATGTGCACGTTTAGATCAAGACAGCGGTCGCATCGACCACAGCGGCTCAAACTCAGGTACGTCTTTCTTGACTAGAATGACGCCGCAGACTCATTGACTGTGCCAATGCAGACCATCACCACGCTCAGTAATACAGAGATCCAGATCATCTCGACTTCGATGGGATTGAGCTTGCTCATCACCGCCTGGATCTTCGTAAGTCCTGACGCATGTTGATAAAAGTATGCTGACCCTTGCCATAGTACCGCATCACCGGAGGGTGCGCATGCATGCGAAGATGTCCAATGACCGAGCTGATGCAGGATTCGATAGCCTTTTCAACCCTGCCGTCACTTTCGGTTAGTCGTACGCGTCTGTTCGTCAACGAGGCTGACTCGGATGGCACAGCATTATACCTTGTCGGCGCAGTCGCACCTTTCCGATCTGCTATCCTTGTCATCGCACAGATCGCGGGCGGCATTGCTGGCAGCGGATTGATCGCACTGCTTACTCCGGGCGGCACGAAGGCATTCGTAGTCACGCTCGAGCCAGGAATGAGTATGTATGGTAATGCCTTTGGACCAACTTGCTTATATTGCTTCCGCAGATACTGGCCAGGGACTCATGCTTGAAGCATTCTTGACCGCCATTCTCGTCTTCTCAGTCCTCATGCTTGCCGCCGAGAAGCACAAGGCGTGAGTCTGCTGATTTCGAGACGTTCGTCAGCCTGAGAACACTTGACTTGCAGCACATATCTTGCACCCATTGGCATTGGTCTCACGCTATTCGTATGCCAGCTGTTTGGTACACTTTGGACCGGGTCAGCTTCACCTCTTGAATATACGCCAGCATAGCTAATGCCCTGCCATTTTATAGATGCGGTATGAATCCCGCCCGCGCTCTTGGACCATCTGTCATCCAGGGATCTTTTGTTCACTACCACTGGATCTACCACGTGAGTCTCACGTTGAGTTTCGCTGAAGTGCTGCGCTCACATTCGCACAGGTTGGACCTTTCATCGGTATGCGAATAGCGACGTATCTTTCGTCCATACTCACTAATCTGAACAGGATCATTGATCGCGGTTGGATTCTACATGATGCTCAAGGCGTTCGATTATGGCTCTATCGTGCTCGGACAAGACGCAGACACGAATGTCGGACCAGCGCCCGTACCTGTTCCTGCACGAATCTGGGCGTACAGCACCCACGGCTTTTCACATAGCCAGCGGTCTGCTTTGCTGCGATCTGGTATGCAAAATGATGCGATCGACCAAGCCGAGAAGGGCGCAGTCGAAGCAGCCTTGGCGGAGCATAATCTCGCCTCTGCCGGCTCGCTGACCGGCGAAAAGTCGGCGACTGACGAGAAGGTCGCGAACGGCCACACTTATGGCCCTAACGGCCACCTCAATGGGCCCTCAGGTCAATCTGAGAACGCTGCTCACCAGCCACATGCCAGCAATGCAACACCTGGCAACGGCAATCTCATCGCCGGCGGACCTTTGCACCGAAATCACCACAACGAGCATGTCCGCGTTGCCACGCCTCCCCACTCGACACGCGCATCCGGCGAGTATCATCACGCCCGGCCATCTGCTTCGACTAGAACGTCAAGCTATAATCGCGCAGGCAACACCGGAGCAGCAGCAAGCAGCTACCCTTCGATGGGCTCTGCAGCTCAAGATGTCGGCGGTATTGGCGCGCCCGCTTCAAAAGCCACCGGTCTTGCATCACTCGGTTCACTCGGCAACGTGCTTGGCCACACTGGACCCAAGTCTGACCAAGCTTAGAGCAATCTTAATGCGGATAGAGCGCGCTACATCATGCTCTCTGTACAATCATCCGACGTATTGCTGCATGCACATTTATAAGACACTGGCCTGCTCAGCTTGTCGTCACTTTTGAGATGTATAGCACTGGACGTTGAGTGAGCAAGCATCCGTATGAGATCGAGCAGGCTTACCATTGTTGCCCCGAATGAAAGAGTCGCCGTAGCGATTTCTGACCTGCCCATTGACGACCTCCTCGGTCTGCTCCATCGCTATGTTGAGATAGGCATCCAGGCAGGACAGGATGCCTGCCACACCAAGGCATCAGCTTGGGCGGGCTGCAGCTGACCACGAGTGTCAAACCTCTGTAGTCCACACCCGAATTGAGTCGAACAGAAACGAGCTGCCCGACCGTATTCTTGAGGAAATCTGAAGGGGACCCTATGGGTGCCGCTGGGGCAGCTTCTTGCTCTGCCATGCGACCTCTGAGCAGACTTCTGGCACGTCGCCGTCGCCGTCGCGATTTCTTTGCAGAGAATTCGGATCGCGACGTCGATGACGCCGTCGAGCTGAGCTTTGACGGAGGGTCTCTGATGCTCCGCTGATGCTGACGCATCGTCTCAGCGTCCAGTATACGATAGACAGGCTGCTCGGCCCATCGATCGTCGCACGTCAGCCTGGACTTCGACAGCGTCAGGCTAAGCTTGTACATCTGCAATCGTACCCATATTCGCACTATGCCGCAAGCATAGAACACTTTGGTGACACCCGTATCAACATCTCATCAAGGAGATTTCCTCCCGGCCTTGTGCCGCGTGCTACAGCCTGCCGGGACCTCAAACGTGCCACTACTCCGTTCAAGACATCCAGATTACGACCTGCCAGACGAAACCTACGCATCAGGCCGCCCGTCAAAGCCAAGGCATCGACCGTTCTGGCAAGCTTCATCATGGCCTCTGCATCAGCTCCGACCCTGGATCCTGCAGCTGCAGCATTAGCCGCTGCAAAATGGGCTCGATTACGTGAAGCGCGACGCGAAAGGAGACGAGCTGCAAAGTCAGCTGCTTCGCCGAGCGACGCAAAGGACGCAGCGATCACTGCGAACGATGGGACGGAAGAGAACACTAGAACTGACCGCTCGGCTGCCGACAAGGGGCGAAAGCAATCCAAATGGAGTAAGCCAAGTGATGGCCTATCACCGTTGCCAGTCACATCCCTAACGGACACCCGCAAGCGCGCTGCGTCTTCGGTCGGAGGCAGACAAGACTTGCAATGGGCTCTACCACGCTCCAAGACTGCTATTGAGGCCAGTCGCTCAGACGAACTAGATCGCCCACCCAGGCGCCACGCCGCGCAGCAGCCGGCACAGTCAGACACCGACATGGTCGACGAGCTCAATCGCGGCATGAACGCTATCGTCGTCCATGATGCGACTCTGCTGTCGCGAGCGTCCGAAAACGCACCCTACAATGCTCTCGCAACTGCGCGACAACCTCGCTTGTCTGTACAAAGACGATCCAATGGAGTGCTCCCCCGAAGAGAGCCTCGACCCGCACCCATCATACCTGCTGCGGTCCCGCTTACTGTTACTGGCCCCAAGCCCAAACGAGGCAAAGCAGCACGTGCTGCAACTCGCGCCGGAGCCGTAGGCGATGACTCTGCTAGCAACACAAGCGTCCTGATGGCCCATATCGATCGGAGCCTCAATCGCATGCTCTGTTCGGCTGATGTACTGAACTTATCCCTCGGTCACACGATGTCATCTGCAAGCGCATTGGCCCGCAACAGACTGGTTGCCAAGATCAGCTCGATCGTCCAGGACAGGTTTGGCGCGGCATACACTGCGCAGGCATTTGGCAGTCACCTGACCGGCCTCGACAATGAGCACAGTGACTTGGATCTGACGATTCTCGACGCCAATTTTCCATTCGGCGTTGGACCGGAGCAGCTGAAGAAGACTGGGCCAATATACAACCTCCGGAAGCTTGAAGATATTCTCAGACGTCGAGGTGCGCAAAAGGTCACAGTCGTCCGTCACACTCTGGTGCCGATTATCAAATTCGAGATGGATGGCATCAAAGTCGACCTGAACGTGAACGAACGCTTGGGAATCTACAATTCGAAGTTGATTGCCGAGTATTGCCGCATCAGTCCCATCATGCGCCCTCTCTGCGTTTTCGTCAAATTCTGGAGCAAGCGACGTGAGCTCAATGATCCTGCGGGACAGGCCGGAAAGGTTCGTCACTGCTGACGGGTAGCCATCCAGCTGTTCTCTGACAGAGTCACGCACAGAAATCGTTCTCATCCTACGCGCTTATCCTGCTCGTCATTGCTTACTTGCAGCAGCTTGGCGAACTGCCAAATCTGCAAGACATGGCAGAAGTGATGCGTGCACCATTGCTGCATACGCGCTACAGTGCACGCCTCAGTCGCGCCCGTCCCGGCAAAAGCAATACTGTAGATTCGTGGGAACAAGTCGATATCTCCTTTGCGCAAGGACAACGTACCGATCAGCGTCAAGAGAGCGCCATTGATTTTGCGCGCATCATCGGTCACTTCTTCGCCTCATATGCCGATCTGAATATGGCGACCAATTGGGTTTCAATTCGAGAACACTACGTGGGCCCTCGCAATCTGGAAAATGTCAATAGAAGGGAGCCGCCCGGCAAAGCAGATGCTCTGTGCTGCATAGCAGACCCTTTTCTACTCGCTCGCAACACCGTCAATATCGATGCGACGGTCGCTGTCGATTTCAAGGCGGAGTTGCAACGGGTTGTCGATATGTGCAAACACAAGGCGCCCTTCCATCTCATCTGTGCACGCCTCACGCCAGATGAACGCGCTCATCGCTATCGTAAGAGGTAGGCGCTCGTCCTGCAAGTCTCATGACGCCATGCCGCTATGCCGCTGCATTCGTCTTGCTACAAGTCGACGGCCTGGCTTGCCGCCTTTTGGAGCTATCACTGTCGCCCTTATTTGGTGAAGTAGCGCATAGCTTTGCTCGACAGGTGGAGCACGACCACCGATAGGATGAACGCTATCGCCAAGCTGAGCACAACCAATGGATCTCTGTTGGGCCAAGCAAGGATCTCATTGAGCATGAGGTCGTCAAGCATACTTGAGCGAAGCAACGGACACTCTCAGGCCTGGCGTGTCGTCAGATGTGTACAGTCGCATCATCGTGTTGCTACTGCCCCCAGCGCCCGCTGCACGAGTCGACAGCGGCTTGTTGGGGTCTTTGAGTGCAGCAGCACGGCGTCTGCACGACACATGAGCGAATGCTGGCCCGAGCCATTGATCATGACTTGCCTGACCTGGCCAGCGCCCGCCGGCCGCACCGAAACATTTGTCGAGTCGCTCTGCATCGACGTCAGCTTGGGAGGAGCATACGAGCCGAAAGCGAGCTGACCATTCGACGTCGTCAATGATCAGCTTACGTGGCAACGAGCGTGCTTGAACGAGTTTTGCGCCACCTCCTCACGCGCGTTGTAGCCGCTGCGCGTCTTGAGAATATCAAAAGACAAGGCGATCTTCAGATCCAGCAGGCTCAGACGCGGAAGAGGAGTGAGCGGTTTGTGACTGGCCTGCGGCTCGATCTATGTCTGCTGTGACGACCACGTGCTCGCCTGCCGACCAAACACTGTCCTTGTCGTCAACGCCCCGTTGCGATTGACGTCGCAGCAGGCAGATAGATCTGGACGTCTGCTAATATTCGCGGTAGGCGTCACACTAGCGTGCACGTCGGACAGCTACGCTACTCCCACGATTCTGTACCAGGCGCAAGCCTCGCCGAGGACGACGCTGATCTGGCTTCTGCGCATCGCATACAAAGATCGGCTCCCTGCTTGTTGACCGCCAGCCCGGCTAAGTCCGCAAGGGCACGGGACAGTATCTTTGTCAGTCATCATGGGTTGCTGCAGTACAGCGCAATGGAAGCGAGAGGAAGTACCAGATCACAAGGTCCGTTCGCCTTTCAGCTTGTTCGCGTGACGCTCAAGCGCGATAAAACCCCACCAGTTTGACTTTGTCGACGTCTCGGATTTTCGAGACGAGGGCTTTGGCGCAAGGCTGAAGTGAGCCCGCATGGCCCTGTCTTACATGCCACTGACAAGCTAGCGCAGATATGCTTGGCTGTACGTCATCCTCATCAAGTCAGCGGGCGTCTATGTTGCCGATCTTTATACTGCCATGTCCGTCGATTTGCTTGGACAGCAGGATTCGGCTGACCAGCTTGGCTTCACTGTAGAGCCATGTTGGCATCCAATCATTGGTCGGGCTCCCTGATAGCAGATGCAGGCGGCTCAACGGCAGTCACGGTGCCTTTCAAGATCGGAAAGTGGATCTTCACAGGCTGTATCTTGCTCTCCTTTCTGCTGCTAGCATGGGAAGCAAAGAAGGCACGCGCCATTGTCAGAAGTAGAGACATCAGCTTCGCCTTTACCAACGTCATGGCGAACAACTGGTACTCGATCAGAAGCTACGATCACTTTTGCTTCTTCTGTCAGGTCAGCTCGTCAAAGAAGAAGAAGGACGACTTTGCGTTCTTCGTCTTTTTCACCTTCAAGGGTGAGTATGTCTCATCGCTCCATGACAATTTCTGATTGTTCTCGACAGGATGGAAGCGCCTGCTACTGGCCGACGCGCCAAGACAATTTATCAACGGCTTGACGCTATACTCGTTTGGAAAAGCCAATCACTTTACGACCGACATCAGCCAATACTATGCCGGCTCAATCGTCAAAGCAGGCGTGCTCGTGACAATGATCTTTACCGTCACAGTCTGGATTGGCTCAGCAATACTGCTCGCTGTCGCAGCTATCATGTACATCCCGCTGCTTTGCTACATCCAAGGCAATCTCAAGGAGTACTGCTGCCACAAGATCGACAAGAGGTCAGTCGCTTTTGCTGTCGACTGCGCTGTGCTGATAGGCAAGTAGAATTGCTGAGCTCATGAAGCGCAAGACAAAGCGACGGCGGATGCAAGCTGCTGAGCAAGCCAAGCGAGAAGCACAGGGCGATTATTCGCACCTGAAAGATAAGCATGGCAACCTAGTACGAGAGCCATTGGCACAACCCACGTTGCCCAAAGTCGACCTGGGCGCGTCAGACTACGACACCAAATCTGACTATGGTTCGACTGCGCCCTCTGCTTTACCTAACGGTTATGCTGGACGGGATCACTATTACCCGCCAGATGGCAACAGCTATGCGATGAAGCGTTACAGCTCGTACAACTCGGATCAATACAGCGACAAGGACTACGAGCCCTCAATCGTCACTGCTGCATCGTACGATAACCTTTTGGCAAATCAGAGCAATGCGACTTTGGTCTCACGCGAGACGTCTTATAGGTCTACGAATCTCAAGCACGCCCATTCGTACAACCGAGAAGACCTACCACCCGTGCCCACGCTTGCGAGAGAGTACTCGTACGGCCATCAACAGCCTCTAGATGACTACGCGCAAGACTACGCCCACGGCAGTGAAGCTCGTTCAGCGCGAGGCCCACAAGGGAATCCACAGGAGAACAGCTATCACGAGCAGCACGTCAATCATCCGGGTGGCATCTTCCAGCGCAACGACTCTGTCGTCTATCCGCGACAGGCCAGCACGTATGCCAGCTCGGTATACGAGCAGCAGCCGTCGCACCACAGGCATTCGAGCAACTATACACCACCCAATCGACGCGAGCTGCTCGAGCAGACCGCGCATGATCCGTACGCAGCTTATCAGCCCACATACCGCTGATCTAGACGCCTGACTTGTTGTATTGAAACCTGCACTCTGTCGTTTCCTCTTGGGATTAATCTGGGGCACATACTCTGCTGCGCGCGCGCGTTGCTTGGCCAAATTTTGATCGACTCACTGGTACCTTTGCCTGCTCATGCGCTCTCTCGTCCCGTTAGAGGCGATATGGCACCCTATAGATCGTTCGAGTCTTACTCCGACCAAATCGCGAGTGACTGCACACGCCATCGATCCCGATGCACCGCCCGGCAAAGGCTATTATGTTTGTCTTGAGGCGGCGTACGCAAACGGCGGTGTCGAAGTGCTGATCGTTAATGACGACACTGACCAAGTGGTCGCTCGCTTTGCATCTGATATCGCACCACCGAGCAACTTAGTAGGATGGCATGACGCAGAAGAAAGTGACCTCAGACCCGCTCATGTCGTCCTCCTGAGCTTTCGAGCAGAATTAGGAGGCGCAATCGTTGCCCTTGCTGGCGGAGACCTCATCAATGTACCCTTTGATGGCTCAGACGTCGACATCGTTGGGTCTGTAGAATCTGGTCTGTCTGCTGCTGCATGGAGTCCAGACGAAGAGCTCCTTGCTGTCGTCACTGGTCAGTGCCAATGCTGAAGCTCTGGCCCGAAGCTTACCTTCGATTACTCGGTCAGGTGAACAGAAGCTTGTGGTATTCACAAGAGATTACGACGTCTTAGCCGATCAAGAGCTTGTGACGCAGGATTTCGGCGAGGCCATGCCTGTCGATGTCGGCTGGGGCTCAAAGCAAACGCAATTTCACGGCAGCGTTGGCAAGACTGCTGCCAAAGAAGTCGCTCATTCACAGATCTCAGCTGTAGACTGGCTCAGTCCCAACGATGACAAGCTTCCTAGAATATCGTGGCGCGGCGACGGCGCTTTCTTTGCTGTATCATCACTTGAGTCCTTTGCCGCTGCAGACGCGACGACAGGCCAGCGAAGACGCATCCGGATATATTCGCGCACCGGCGCCCTCCAGAGCACAACTGAGCCGACACCTCGCTTGGAGCACAGTCTGGCATGGCAGCCGTCTGGTAGTATCATCGCCTCGACTCAGTACGATCGCGAGAATGGCGAAGACGATGTCATATTCTTCGAACGCAACGGGCTGCGCCGATATGACTTTGCGCTGCGGCATCAGAAGGCTCAGCAAGCATATGTGCATAACATGTTCTGGAACTGCGACTCGACGCTCCTGGCTGTATGGCTTCGGAGCTTATCAGGCGATTGCGTTCAGCTGTGGTATCGCAACAACTACTATTGGTATCTTAAATCAGAAGTAGCAGCACCGCAGCATGAGCGACTCGCGAACGTGGCGTGGCATGCTGAATCAGCCAATGAGCTGGTCATGCTGACTCAGGATGCATCGCATCGGCGCACGTTCACATGGGAGGTGTTACGCGGACGAGCGACGCCAAGCATAGACCCTGGCTCTGTAGCCGTCATCGATGGATCGCGCCTGCTTCTGACACCCTTTCGATATATGCAAGTCCCACCACCCATGTCCGCTTTCCAGCTTGGTGCATCCGCTCCAATATCGCATGCGGTAATATCACACGAGCACAGCCTGATAGCGTTGTTGACCAGCGAGCGTACATGCGAATTGTGGCAGTGGCAAAGTCGGAATTCGACTTCGATGGCCACGCCTGTACAGCTGCTGTCACAGAAGCTCGAGACGATCCCCGATGACAGTGTGCCTCTGCAGCTTGCCTTGTCGAGCGATGGGCCTGCCGATGTACATATTACAGTTCTGCTCGCTCGACCTCGCTCAATAACGAGTCTCGTTACCATTTCATATGATCTCCAGCGGAATGTTTGCGCGCCTGCTCGCTTGTCAGAGTCGCAATCTCGTCTGATCAAGATTGCGTCTGCCAATGACTCAGTGCTACAGCACTATGCAAATGGGCAGGCACTTATTGGCACGCTGGACATACGCCTGCCCGAGTCCTGTCATGAACTCGACGTCTTCGAACACTGCGTCATTGGCTTGTCTTCCCGCAGCGTACTGTATGCGAACGGGCGAAAAGTCGCTACAAACGTCTCGTCATTCACTCGCTGTGGCGCTTACCTCATCTATACGACGCGTACGCATGAGGCTCATTTCGTGCTCTTGCAATCGTTGCACGACCCAAGTCAGGAAGCAGGCTACTCTGAGACGCTGCCAGAGGCAAAAGTTATGCGGCAAGAAGACTCAACCGCCGCACTGAAGCTGAAAGTCGAGCGAGGCTCGCACATAGTTTGTGCAGTCGCAGCGACGATGACGCTTGTGTTGCAGATGCCCCGAGGCAATATCGAATCGGTGTGTCCTCGTCCTCTGGTTCTCCAGAGCGTCCGTTACGATCTCTCGACAGGCAGCCTGCGGAATGCTTTCATGTCCTGCCGAAAGCATCGCATCGACCTCAACATTCTGATCGATATGGATGCTGCGCGCTTTATGACCGCACTAGAGGATTGGGTCGCTGTGCTGCCTGATCCTGACCACCTGAACTTGCTGCTGTCTAGTCTAGTGGAAGATAACGTCGTCACGAGCAAATACGCACACTTTGCAGCTGCACACAACATATCGCCGCTGGAGGACAAAGTCAATGTGATCTGCGAAGGCCTACGTCAGTCGCTAATCACGGGCAAAGGCGCGAATGAAGCTTATGGTCAGTATCTGACGACCATCCTGACATCCTTTGTATGTCAGCGACCACCTAGATACGAGGAGGCTCTGCTGCTGCTCAAATCATTACAGGCAACCCGCACTGAGGCAGAGATTGAAGCCGCCATCAAGTATATGATCTTTCTCAGCGATGCCAACAAGCTGTATGACATCGCACTCGGCACATACGATCTCGAGCTCACACTGCTGATCGCTCAGCAATCGCAGAAAGATCCACGAGAATATCTGCCCTTCTTGCGGGAGTTGCGCAAAGCAGCGCCTGCCATGCGCGCCCATAAAATTGAAGACACGCTTCAACACTATAGCGACGCTCTGCAGCATCTCACAGAATGCACCTTACCTTACGACGAGGTCGAGACGTACATCAGACGACACGAGCTATACGACGAAGCCGTCAAATATTATGCGAACGATGCCAATACACTGCCGCGAGTCTTACAAACACGGGCAGTTTGGCAGCTCGCCAATGGGGCTTGGCTCGGGGCGGCGATGTCCTTCAGATTAGCAGGGGATATGCAGAGCGCGATGCACGCCTATCAAGATGCGCTGGCATGGCGGGAGCTCTTCACGCTGGCGCTAGAGCTCAGAAAGGGCGAAAAGGAGATCAGGGAGCTCGCTCAGCATATGTCGGAATCTCTGAAAGCTCGGAATAGGCACGCAGAAGCAGCCCGCGTCTTGCTCGAATACAGTCGCGATCCAGTAGCGGCGGTCAAGTGTAGCTGCGAGGGACGTGATTATATCGAAGCCATACGGATCGTGCGCGCCTTCTATCTGCAAGACTAGCTGCAGTGCTGATCTGCTGTGTTCTACAGGCATATCTCTACGGACGTTCGAGCTTACTGTCAAGTCATGTCTTCGAGTCAATGGAAGAGACGGCGCGCCGCGTCGACGAGGAGATCCAGGAGCTGCAAGCACAGATCAAGAAGCAACTTGGCCGGCTGGCTGAACTCGAGATCATCAAGGCAGAGAACCCGTCAAAGTACTACGGAGCTTTCGAAGTTGAGGACGGAGCGCTCGAGGGCGTCGACATTGCGTCCGAAGCAGGCTCGACGATCGCATCGCAGTTCACACGGTACACTGCCGTTGCATCGAGTCAGGTCTCGACAGCTTCGGGCAAGACAGGCAGAAGCAAGCGCAAGGATGCGAAAAAGAAAGCGGCTGGTCAGCGTGGCGGCATTTTTGAGCACCACTATCTCGTGGGCAGCATCTCGCGCTCGACGAACGAGCGCCTGCCAGCTTTACGAGACGAAGCAACGATGCTGATCCCTCTGCTGTACACTTACGCCAGCGCTGAGCCTAGGCGACGAATGCGAGAGCTGGGCAGCGATTTGCAAGTCAGTCTGACCTCACTCGAGGAAGAGATCCGGACGGCGATAGTGACGGTTTGGGGGCCGCCAGAACGAGAAAGGGAAGATACGACGGTCAAGGATGTGCCTCGACCGAGCGAGCCTGCCAATTCGCGCAGCTGGTCTGCTGCCTTGGTGGCCTTCAAGTGAAGTTTGCATGCATAGAGTACAGTGGATGTCCGTGTATGACTTGTGAGATCAAGTGTGTGATCCTGACTGCGATACAAGGCAAGTAACGTGTGTGACCCTGTAAGGGCAGACACTCGCTCAGAGGCAGGGGAGCGGGATGATCCAGCAGCAGCCGCCTGTGGATGAGTTCAGTCTCCTCCGATGAGCATTCTGTGGGGTCGACAGACCATCTGGGCATGGTATGCATCCCCCTCTCAGAGGCTCCGGCTCGCCATCCTGCGCGCTTTGTCTACTCGGGGTCACATCGTCTATTGACATCCTCGACCTTTGCTGGGGCTCATTCTGGGTCTTCGCAAGGTGTTGTTCTGTCTGATGTACACTCGGCGGCTCGACTGTCATGCGTGCTTGCTCTGTGTGCATGTTCTTTTCAGTCGTCCACACGTCGAGGCTGCTAAGGAGTTGTACCGCGATGACCTCATCGGCTTCGCCACGGCTAGCCACGCGCTATATATCGCGCTATCAGATGCAAGATGTCATTCAGCTTGGACTGTCAAGGATCAAAGCGCTGCTCGGTCATCTCGCGAGTCCGCATAGCAAAGTACCAATCGTCCACGTTGCGGGCACCAACGGCAAAGGCTCAGTATGCGCCTATCTCGACTCCATCTTCCGGCAGAGCGGCCTGAGCACGGGCAGGTTCAATAGCCCTCATCTGGTCGAGCCAAGGGATTCGATATGTCTCAACGGTCGCCCCGTCAGTCTCGAGGCTTTCAGCAAGGCACAGTCAATCGTGCGAGAGGCCGACAAAAAGCATTCGATTGGCGCAAGCTCGTTCGAGCTGCTGACCGCGACTGCGTTCCATCTCTTCGCTCACGCTATACCACCGCTACAACTCGCCGTCATTGAGGTCGGCATGGGCGGCGCGACAGACGCGACCAATGTCTGCGATGATCCACTTCTGACCGTCATCACCCCTGTCGAGCTGGATCACCAGGCCATGCTGGGTAACACCGTCGAAGAGATTGCAGCAGTCAAAGGCGGCATCATTAAGACCGGCAGGCCTTGTGTGATGTCTGTACAGCCGCACAAGGGAGCGAGCACCGTTCTACGTGCTATAGCACAATCGCGCCACAGCGAGCTTGTCGAAGCAGTACATTCCTCAAGCGCGATTGGCATACCGTATCGAGACGTGAATGGCTCCGTTCAGGTCTTGGAAGCAAGATCAGCTCTTCTCGGTGGATATCAGACCAGCAACGCTTCGACAGCTCTCACTGCTGCTGATCTATTGTCAAAGCAACAAGACTGTCTCTCTCGCGTACCGCAGCTTGCAAGAATCACCCAAGAGACTATGCGCGCGGGCATCGAAGCAACAAGATGGCCAGGACGGCTCGAATGGGTCAAGCTCGATGCACCTTCCGGTATGCTTGACGTTCTGCTTGACGGCGCGCACAACGCATCGTCTGCGGTCGAGCTGCGCCGCTACCTCGACTCGCTCCCCAGTCCAACTTCGACCTGCTTTATCGTGGCCGTCTCATCGCCCAGAGACCCGTCTGTCTTACTGGAACCTTTGCTGAGCGATTCGAGCACTCGCACAACAGTTATCGGGACAGGCTTCAGTCAGCCAGAAGGCATGTCCTGGGTCAGGTCGCAAGCATCAGGCCAAGTGGCACAGTCAGCTCGCAAGCTGGGTGTCAATTCAGCTTCAACGGACAGCATCGCCAGCGCGCTGGCGATAGCAGCGGACGTACGGGCCAGCAGGACGATCGTCTGTGGCAGTCTCTACCTCGTTGCAGACGTCTACAGGCACATGCAGTCTATGCAATAGGTCGCGATTGCGCTTCGGCAAGACTGAGCTCTAGCGCAAAACGCAGATCGTCCTCTTCACGTCGCTGCCGCGCGTGTTGAGAAGACATGGTCAATAGAGATGGCGAAGGCGAGCCGGTGCTGATGCCCCGAGCAGACGAACTTGCAGATCGCGCAATGTCAGACCAGTTCTGTCGAGGCACTGGCGGCGTGACTGACGGACGTCGTGGCGTGTGCATCTGATTCGCATTCGGGCTCATCGCAACTGGACTGGGCAGAGGCCAAAGCGACTCGTCATCCATGTCGGGTACCTCAGGCAAGTCGGGTGACAGCAAAGGGCCGTAGAGTGGACTCGGTCGCGGGGAGATGCGCACTTTCGTGGAGGGCGATAAAGGCGAACCGGAACCGGAAAGCGACCTTTGTTGTTCGAGCGATGCTCGTATCCATTGCAGCGATGAGCCTGGCTGTGCGCGTGATGAGCTTGGCGAATCTGCCTCCGGTAGGTCTTCGCGTCGTCTCAACGGCAGATCGTCTTCATCAAAGGCCAGATTGGCCATGTCATCGGCAAGTTGCTGGTCATGGTGTGGGAAGCGAAGACGAGCGTCTTGCTCCTCGGCGGAGAGCATCAGGGCATATGCGACGGCTTCGTCTTCCGTCATGCCTGCCAAACCCTCCCCTGTGAAACGTCGGGCGGCATCCAGCGATTGCTCTTGCTCTTCGGCAGCCTCGCGAAGCTCCTCATCGAGGTCTCGAAGATCTTGACGCAGCTCTAGCTCGCTCTGATATCGCTGCATCCGTGTCGTTGAACGTCCGCTGGATTTACGCTTTGGCTTCTTGAGCAGCTCCGTGCCAGCCTGCCAGGCAAGGACGCGACTGCCAATACTGGCGACAAGTGACGTCGTGGAGGCTCTGATCGTGCTGACGGCGTATCTTGCCTCTAGCTCGGGATCGGCTTCGCCTGCCGCCAGGACACGCGCAGGGTGGCGAGTCGCAGCACGGTCCTGAAATGCTCGCATCCGAGCGCCCGTGAGCATATCGTATGCAAAGATCTTGCCATCGACACTGCCAACGATGACCAACAGCGGTGTACAGACAATAGCCGTGACTTTGGCAAGATTGATCGTGTCCAGAGAGCGCTGTAATGCTGGGCGATCCTGTGTGTCGGGCCAAGTCCACAGATTGACCTGGCCTCGGTCATCACCGGTGACCATATATTTGCAAGTGCCAAAGATATGCCCATCGGCTACGATTGGGGCAAAGTCTGCCCAATATGAACTTAGTGGGTGGCTGCACTCGATCCAAATGATCCGATCGTCGCGATGGCTTTCGCGGAAAGGCCACACCCTCGCAAAGCAAGCTTCGTGCTGGTAGCCAAGCAGTAGGCTCACTTTGTCCGCTTCGTCTACATAATCGATAGCGAGCACGTTCAGAAGCGGTCCACTTGCGGGCTCCGACACATCTACTACGGCGCTCTGGCCGATTTTGAGATCCCAGCAGGTCAGGGTACCCGTAGCTGCCCATGCAGCGACCATTCCTGCCGGCGCATAGCACACTTTGAGGTAGGACACGACCTCGCCAGACGGCTGTCGTGCTCGCTCCGACGACCACGTGAGCCGTGGCGATGTACGTGTCTCGGGCTTGCCGAGGGTCCACACTTGAACGAGGCCATGCGCTGTACACACCGCGAAGCTCGTGATGGCTGTTTGGGGATGTGCATGCGAAGGCCCGAAAGAGATATCCGTGATCAGACCTGCCTGGTCATCGTCGCTGTCGAGGCGAATGAGAGCATTCGCCCTCCCTGTACCGAAAGTGCCGATCTGGCTGATATAGAGGCCCGTCAGTGTAGCCCAGACAATGATGGAGCCATCCGGCGCGAGCGCCTGACAAGTGACGAGGCTCGCTGCTGCATTGATGCCATTGGCAATGGGTGTGCCTTCGATGCGGCCTTTGTAGATCTTGCCGGTAAAAGGCTCCGATCGGGCAGCAAGAGGAGCCTCTCGAGACAGCGTGAGCATCTCAACAATCCCCGACAGAGCGGCAGAGGGCTCAAAGTTGACGCAGATATCAGAGATGATGCCAACGCGGGGGTCATGCAAGATGGTGGCTGCCTTGGCTCGATGCCATCGCCCTAGCAAGCGTGTGCGAGCAATGTATTCGCCTCGCCAACTGGCGCCGGTCAAGCGGCGCGCAACAATGGTAGACGCGGGCTGATCCGGATCGAGAGAGAAGTGATGAAAGAACGCGCTGCGCCAGGACGCGTCGTCTTCGATGACCCCGTTCCTAGGAGCAAACCAAGCTCAGGGAGAGATCGCTATGCATGTACCTGCGCGCTTACCAAGATCTTGAGACGAGACGGCAGCGACTCAACTCGTCTGCGCTAAGATGCGCAAGAACGTGTGTCAAGATCTCGATGGGCAGCGCGTCGATGGCCGGTCTGCGGTCAGCCTTGACATGTACGAGCGAGCTGAGATGCACGTCGCTCCCGGTCTTTGAGCTAGTCTGGGCCGATGCGCCATGATGAAGCTCTTGTGTGCGCGTACTGTCCTGTCGTGCCTCTTTTGGTTCTTTGGCAATGTCAATGCTCGCAGCTTGCATAGGCTTCTTCCTTGGATGCCCGAGCAGGTAGGTCTGAGGTCACGAGGCGTGAGACGATCGAGCAGAACGAGCAGAACGAGCAGACGGCGCCGGCGTTTTGGCGATAAGAATCTCGAGACGCGAGGCTACTTGGCAAGCTTGGCGGCAGGCCGATGAAGCTCAGCATCGGTCTGCTGACACTCTCAGCAAGCCTGGCTTCCGTCATCGGCTATCCTAGCTCGCAGCACGTCCTCTTTGTTCCCTCTGGTACAAACGCAACGGATCTGGACGGCCGCGAGCCTGTCGACTTTCACGATCCTCGAGCAGGAGGCGGGAGGCAGTTCACCCAGACGCCGTGGGGCGCAGAGCCGCTCAATGTGATCATCAGCGGCAGAAGTGATCCGAGGATACTGAGTGATGTTGGCATCGTGTCTTACATCGGCTCGCTTGGCTTTGAAGCCGAATGTCTCAATCAGCACTTTGGCGATAGGCAGCTGGCCGATCTCGGCGATGGACGAGGGCTCAGGGAGGAACGCTTCGAGGTCAGACAAGGTCAGTCACAGCCGACGCATGGCTCGAAGGCATGCTGAGTCGAGAGCGCGACACAGCTTACGTCAAAGTGATTGGCACCTGCATCGAGAGTGTCGTCGGCGGATCGCATCTGCGCGCGTACCGGCAAGACGGACCGCTCGCTCGCTCCGATGCTTGGTTTCTCGCCGTCTCAGTAGAGCGCTCGGCAAGGCATAACCACGCCATTCGCGCCGATGGCTACAATCTGGGACGAGATCAGCTCGTCAGATCAGCACTCCATGGCACTCGATGGAAGCATCTCGCATACTCCAGTACCGCAGAATTTGTAGAGCTCCTACGACCGGGCTCGCATGGCTTCGCCCATGGCATCGCGCAAGATGGACGCGTTGCCGTTCTCACTGCACACATCTCTGACGACCTTGCATGACAATGTTGTTGCCTCTCCACCCATCATGCCTAGACGAATGACCATGCATCTCTGTACGAGCGCGAGCGCGGACGCTCCCATTTTGTCATTTGAAGTATCCGGCTCATGAGGGCTGGGAAGGCCAACGGTTCTAAGCTTCTCGCTTCATTGCCAGAAGAGCGCATCGCCACGTAAGCTGCGCGAGATCTTCGGCGGCGATTGGATGACCGAGCGTGATGAGGACAAAGTCGAAGCCTTTGCCGAGATCTACGAGAGTGAGCTGCTTCCACGTCTTGCCGCCGGGGTGTCGACCGTAGCGACCGCTGCGAGGATTTGCGTCGCGCCAGATGATGTACTTGGCATAGAACGCTCGGATGTCTGCGCAAGGCTGTAACAAGCGCGTGCGATGATGATGGGGTACCTACAAGTATGGGTCTTGACGAGCAACTCAACCGTTGCGGGTTCGCAGGGATCGTCTGCATTGTGGCAGCGATCAGATCCAAGATCAAGATCAACGATCTGACCTCTCTACGGACCCGTGATGAGATGACGGAGGCAGGCAACATGTTTGAGCGGCATGAAGCGCTCCATCGTAAAGAGTTGGGGCTGCCAAATGTAGTCGCGCGCAAGACGCTGAAAGTCTATCATCAAGTGAGGGATTGGCTCGCTAGGCGTGGCAGGATCTGGGAACAAGTCTGCCTCCGTGGGCTCCTGGGAGTGCTCGGTCTGACGATCTGATGACCTCGGAGATTGACCTGCTGAGGGCGAGAAGAGGTCGGGCAGCTCGTATGAGAACTCGAACGCTGTTGTCAGATCCATCTTGTTTCTGCGTATTTGCTGATCAGGATGCCTCGGACGCTTCCAGGAACGGTGCTCGGAGGGAACTCGCATCCATTGGGGCCAGTTCGAGGGCAAACGGGACATCGGCGGGGGCGAACGAGAGAGCGTATCTGCGTCGACGCGATGCATCGATCAAAGTCTGGCTCATGGGAAAGCATGGCAGTGAAGCGAGCGTGTTGCGGAAGCGTTGCATTTCTTACTACGACGGAAGTATACTCGCTATCCTCTTCTCGACCTCTGCCGAGTCTGCGGCGCCAGACAGGGAGACCTGTCGCTCTACGCCTCGCTCTACGTGTGACTGCATGAGCCTTGTCGCACGCTGCCACGCGACGGAAGCCTGCCTACCTAGTCGGACGAATGCTCTTGCAGGTGTCCCTTGCGCTTCTCTGAACATGATGGGCAGGTCAGGGTTGGCCTTCTTGACGTCGAGATACGCCTTTTGGATGAAGTTCCTAGCATCGCAGTGATGAGCTCCTGCAAGCGCATACGTCGACGAGCTTCTGACCTCGCTCCTGCGCTCTGCTCCGAGGTCTGGCAGGCGAGTATCCTGATCTCCCGTACAGCCGCCGGTAAGGCTTTCCTCAACGCTGACGCCATCGCCAATGCTTCCAATAGCTGAGCAGTCCTGCTGATGGCTAAGTCGATAACAGTAAATGTCAGAAGCCGACTATCATCTACCCAACTCGACAGCTTTCTATTAGCCCAGCCTCCCTCACGATCCGGCAAGCTCCTGGCAGACAAGACTGCTACGATCGGCGTCCCGATGCAGGGCAGCCTAGCGGAGCTCGAAACGCCGAATGAGCACGTCACATGGGCTGCGAAACCGTCACACCTTTCACGGTCAATACTTGCCGGTAGGGCGACGAGCACGACCCCAACAGACGCTCTGCTCGCCCTCATCGATGCTTCGCCCCGTGCTTCCTTGTCGAGGCGCGCCAGGTCAGACAGCTCTGTCTCGTCCGCATCCACGGCACGTCTGCGCGAGTCTACCGGCTCGGTCGAACAGAGCAGGAAGCGAGCCAGACCATCGATGGACAGACAAGCAAGTCCTACCATCCTTCTCGACGATGCTACGCTGCGCAATGTCACCAATCTCACGCGTAGATTGGATCGCAAGGGCAAGAGGACGAGTCAAAAGAGCGATCTGCGGAGTCAATCGAGCTTGCAGTCGAGCATATGCTCGCTCAAGCGTGCTAGGTCATGCTCACAGACGCCAGCTATCGAGGCTGCACCAGTCAAATCAGACTTTAGCCTGAGAGCCGCGACGACCAGTCCGAGCGCGTTGAGCCGACTCGGCAGTCTACCAAGCATTGCGCTCTCGAGGCAGTCCTCAAACGTGAAGCCATGTGAGCCAGTGTCAGCGAAGGAAGAAGAGGATGACTTTGACGAGGGCGATTCCTTCGAGCTTGCCCTGTCGCAGATGCCCCTCGAGCCGCCGCTGCAGGCTGCACAGACTCGGAAAGATGAAAGTCAGATCGACGAGCTATTAGACGGCCTTGACTGCAACGTCTTTGCTGCCGATTTCTCGGACTGACACATGCAATGCGAAGTGGCTGGGTGTTGTTGTACACTACAGTATGTGTGGCGTTGCATTTGGCATTAGTTATTCTCTGCGTGAAACACCAGTCTGTCATCCCAACGTCAGCTCGACGGCTTGCGAACGAAATCAGGTCAGACGAACATTCCCGGTACACCGACGACTTCGAATCCCATCTTCTTGGCCATAGCAGCAAAGCCTTCGGTCTCTATCAGTCCGTCGACAGGGTATGTAGGAAAATTGGCGCCCTCTCGGTGGACTCTGGCCTTGACGAGCGTAAAGGTGCCCCCGATGGCATCGAGGGGGACGTATGCGTTGCCCATGTGCGTCGGCATATCCACGAGATGATATCGGAACGTTGGGAACTCGTGGTAGCCACCTACGGTCACATAGTCTGGACCCATCTTCTCCGCTAGCGCCAGACTTTGCTCGGTGTGCGCCCACGCGTTGCGTTCGTAGCCGCTGCAGCGACGATCAGATCTCGTCCAAGCGTTCGCAGATGGGACGTACTAGTATTCCCATCCTTGAGTAAGCCGCAAGCAGTTCGGCACGACGATGTCCTTGTTGATCGTCATGAGATCAGTCAGTACATCGGGATCGTATCGGATCACGTCTACATCGAGCCAGAGCACCCAGGCGTGCTTCTCATTGAGTGCCGAAGTGAGCAAGTAATTCCTCGCTCTGGCCATGAAGGACCGTCTGGTCGGTTGTAACTCGTAAGCATGCCGTATGGTCTCGGGCAGCTGGAAGTGGAAGTCCTTGATGAGGATGGTGATGGTGTGATAATGCTTCTGCTTGTCCGCCTTGGCGGCAATGCTGGCGGCAATCGCATTCAGCTTTTTGACTGTGCCGTCTGTCGTGTCCGAGATGAGAAAGGCAAGCGAGATCAAGTTCTTGGGGTAGTTCCTGTCAGGTCCAGCGGACGATGAGGACAGTGCATTGTCATGATGGTGCTGGCCACTGACAGCTTGCCGATATTGTCAAAGTACTCGTCGAGGTACTTTTCCGCGTTCCTCAGGGGCGTCAAGATGAGTAGTTGCTCTTGCGCCTGTCTGCCCATGGGTGTCGCTATCGCATTGCCCAGATCTGCCTTGACAATCTGCAGGGCATCGTGCAAGCTCAGGTGGGGTCCAACAGGTTCAGAGCAGGCAGTCGCGAACCATCGTATCTGCGTCCGAGCGATTCCAGCAATTGGCGCCGCCGCCTTGCAAGTTGAGCACAAACACGGTCGCGATGACGCTGAAGACGACGGTGAGCGTGCGCGAGTGGAAGAGGAGCCACATCAGTCCATCGCTCGCCCTGACGATCTGCCCAAGTGCTCCGCCGGGCGTGGACACCGTACCGAGCTCGTTGCTGGGCGGATTGCTCGATAGTAGACGCCTGTCTCCGGAGGAGGTATGCAGCCCTCGCTGCGACATCTGCCCGGAGCTGCAGTCTTGAACGGATGCCTGTCTCCTGCAGTCACTCACCGAAATTATTATTGACGCGACTGGTCTTTCGCAGCAGTGCTCCGTGGCAGACTGGCACGCTCGCTCTGATGTCATCCGACAAGGCTCGCTACAGGGCTGCAGAGCTGATCCTCGGCAATGAACTCTTCGGACGCGTGCAGTCCTGCAAGGTCCTCATGGTCGGCGCAGGCGGAAGTCAGCGATATCGATTCTGCGCGCGTATGTCTCGAGCTGAGTGACTCCACTTGCAGTCGGCTGCGAGCTCCTCAAGAACCTCGTCACTAGCGGCTTCGCTGACATCACAATCGTACGCGCCCGCCAGTCTACTCGAGAGGCTGAGTTGACTTGACCAGCGCCTATAGATTGACTTGGACACGATAGATCTGTCCAATCTGAACCGGCAGTTCCTCTTTCAGAAGCAGCACGTCAAGCGCAGTAAAGCATACGTCAGTCTCAAACTTACTCGAATTGTCAGTATCTGATCGTCTGGCACGATTAGGTTGCCAAAGAATCAGCCTCCAAATTCAATCCCCATGTCAGGATAGAGGCCCTTCACGGCAACATCAAGGAGCCCCAGTTTGACACTGCCTACTTTGCCCAATTTGATCTCGTCCTCAACGCCCTCGACAATCTTGGTTTGCAGTCTTAGCATCCACAGGTCCCTATCGGCTGACCAATCCGATAGACGCGCGGCGGCATGTCAACAAGATGTGCCTCATCGCTAAAGTGCCCTTGATTGAGTCGGGCACGTCAGGCTACATGGGCCAAGTGCAGCCTATTTATCAGGTCACTGCGAGCGTTCTGACCCCGTGGGCGCAAGCTGAGGCTTCACCCTGATCCCAGGGTCGAACGGAATGCTATGACTGTCAGACTAAGCCGACACCCAAGACATTCCCGGTTTGCACCATCAGAAGCACGCCGAGCACGCCGATACACTGCATCGTCTGGGCAAAGAGCTATCTCTTCCCGTGGGTTTCAAGATGTTCGAGTTGACTCACTGCGCTAACATAAGCCTGACCGCCCAGGCGGCTCTTTGGTTCCGATGACGAGCAAGAGGGCGCAGAGCTCGACAAAGCTGCAGCACGCGGCGAGAATGGTGCGCTGATCTGCACACCCTTCCAACAAGGTCTGAATGCCTTTGTCGTGTAGCTGGGGAGATAGACAACCTGCGCAAGGAAGCGGCAGAGATCAAAGCCATTCGCAAGACCGTCCACACTTCAGGCGGCGCGCAGCGGGTCTTCGAGAAGGCAAGCCACCGCCTTGCTCGAAGCGTTCGCGCTGACAACACTCTGCAGGTCTACAGCGCAGACATCAACAGGTTGCTTAGCATGGAGGACATGTGGCGCGCGCGACAGAAGCCGACGCCTCTCTCGTGGACGGATCTGACATCGGCGACAGAAGCAAGCACGAGCCGTATCGCCAGTGGAGGACTCAGAGACCAGCATGTGCCCTCGCTGAACGAGTCATTCCAGCTCTTCGTCTCCAGGTAAGCCTCGCACGCCATTTGATGACCCTCACTGATGTAGACTATAGTATGGACAAGCTCTCTGCGCGCGTGCGAGATGATCCGGACACACCGCTCGAGTGGGACAAGGACGACGAAGACGCGCTGAAATTTTCCACGGCGGCAGCCAACCTACGAGCCACGGCATTTGGTATCCCCGTCAAATCTCAATTTGATGTCAAACGTGTGCCATCACTGGTCGCAATGGGATGGAGCTGACCCAAGCTGCAGAGATGGCCGGCAACATCATCCCTGCCATTGCGACGACCAATGCCATCGTGGCTGGTCTCATTGTTTTGCAAGCTCTGCATGCGCTTCGCAAAGAATGGAGTCAGGGCCGCTTCGTTTGGGTAGCCAAAGATGCACGCAAGGCCACCAGTATCACTCAGCTGAGCGCGCCGAGTCCGACATGTGCGAGCTGTCAAATGTCTTATGTTCCATTGCGAGTCAATCTCGGCGAAGTCACCTTGTCAGAGCTCGTCAAGATCGCCCAGGAGAAGCTCGGCTACGGTGAAGAGGTCGTCATTGTCGAAGAGAGCAGACTATTGTACGACCCCGACTTTGACGATAATCTCGATCGCACACTTGCATCACTAGACATCAAGGCTGGCAGCTTGGTCATGGTCAGCGACGAAGATGGCCTATTGTCCGATGCTACTTTTGTCATCTCTGATCTGCCGAACGGCACATTTGAGTTACCGAAGGTCCCGCCATCAATTCCCAAGAAGCCAGTCAAGGAGGAAGCTACAGACGCAGAAGCAAGTTCGTCGCAGACTAGAACATCGACGAAGCGAACAATAGATGAAGTCGACGCTGAGGGATCTCAGAGCAAGCGAGCGCGAGTAGACGCTTCGGGCGCGATCCTGATTGACGATGATGAAGAGCAAGACAAAACGGCGGCTACCGACGGCGTCATAGATCTTGACTAGAGTCATGCATAGACGTACACAACAGATGAGATGCATGCAAAGAAATGCGTCTAGGCTCGCGTGGTTGCCCATTGACCTCGCTGCGTTGGTGTGGCTTTCTGATTGAGTGGCGTGGGCGTAGTGGAAGTCTGATCCACACTGAGATAGCTGGGCGCAGGACTTTGTGGGACACGACAGACGTGTTTACGTCCATCACCTCCGCCATCAGTACTGATGCGGCAGCTTCTTGAGCAATATGTCTGACCGCATTTCGGACACTTTGGGAAATTGACACCTTTACGGTGGCAGACTGAGCAACTTCCCTTCACATTCAGCTGCGAAGCTGCTTCGAGCGCGGCGAGAACCTTATCCATCTCGTCCTTCCTTGGAGATGAAGTGTGCTTGCCGAGCGAGATCGCAAGCGTGGTCGCCGCGACTTGCTTTCGTTGCTCGGTGCCTTCCTTCGCAGCGAGTACCGCCAGCGCAGCGGACGGAATCTCGACAGCTTGTCGGTCCTCCGCCTCTTCATCGTGGTCAGACTGCGTGCCTTCTGTCGCCTCGCTCTCCCAGCCCTCGCGCTCAAACTGGGCGATCTGATCGCGTTGCAGGGCATCCTCAAGCGCGCCGGCTGCCGTGTTGACCGGCAGATCTTGGAACTTGCCTTTGACGGTATCAAAGGTCTGACTGAGACTCGTCAAACTAAGAGAGCTGCCAAAGTTGCTCGCCCGCCGCCGGAGCTGCTGCAAAGGCCCAGAAGCAGGCTTGTGGCCGTTGTTCTGTTCCTGCGTTTGCCCGAGAGAAAGCAAACTGGCGAAAGAGCCATGCCTTGGCTTCGCGAGTCCCCGAGAGGGCCACGTTCCCCGGGAAAAGGTCGTCGGCATGGGGCTGGGATCATCGGCAAGTGCTGCAAGGTCAAAGACGGATGCAGTGCCAGATCTCGAGAGCAAGGGTGAAGCAGGGATGCCAATCTGTTCTTCGCTGAGCTCGACGGTGGGCAAGCGATGCTTGACCTTCCACCTAGCGCCAAGCAGGTCGGTACTGCTTCGGATCGGTTGCTTTGAGAAGAAGTTTGGGGGCAATGTGGTGATAGAAGCATTCGACAGCGTCGGCTGCAAAATTGGCCGGGAAGTGCTCGCGCGCAAGCTGAGCTGAGGTCTTTGTGCAGGCTGCGTCAGTGAAGTCACGGAGACAGAATCGCGTGACATTGAAGTATCTGCTTCATCGTTGTCCAGCGTGAAGGAAGCACTACGTCGCTTGTGTTGGGGCTGAAGCGGCACAGCCAAATCATTCGGCTGCTTGATCGTGCTACTGGACACCTGATTCGCAGCTTGTCCCAACATCTTCGAGGCCGAGTCGACTTCTGCGAGGTCTGCAGGGCTACTTAGCGGGGAAAGGTGATGCTCCAGGTGATGCGGCTGATGGAGCACACGACAGACGTGATTCGGCGGCGACTGTGAAGCTGCAAGATTCGAGGATGCGTGTTTGATCGGCAGAACAGTGACGGCGTTCTCATTGGCCAGTATCTCAAGTCTGCGCGTTGCCTTGCCGAGCAGATCGTTCGCCAGCTTTGAGCCCGCTCCGCCGGCTTGTGTGCCGATCTCGATACACTTGCGCCACCAATGCGCTGCATCGTCTCGTCCGCGCGTACTAAAGTCTGCCTCAATGGCGGGGTTCTCATGGTGCAGATTGCTGGCAAAAGAAGCCAGAGCCAATAAGTAGAGTATGTGTATCTGTGCGCTCCTTCGATGCTTCGCGCTTGTCGGCAGAGCGCTTGACTTGGTCTGGTTGCTGCCAGAACGTAGTAAGGCTGGACCGGGTTGCCGCGACTTGCTCTTGGCTCTGGCGGACGGCCTGTCTTTTGCTTGCTGGATGACAGGATACAGGCTCGCATGACGTATCGCGTCCTGAGACAGGTTGTAGCCTTCATGCCAGATCTGATCACGGTCGGGCCGTATCCTGCCTAAGCGGTAGAGCGTCGTGAGCCCGACAGCCAGATCAGCGACTGTCTCGAGATTGATCGACTGATCGAATAGCGCGGCTTCCTCTTCCGAGCTTGGCTCGTTGGCATACCGGTGTGCTTGTGCGTCCTCGAAAGTCTGCGTTTCTATCGCTTCGGCCTCGAAAGTGGCAGCCTTGTCCCGTTCGTCAGGATTGAGTCGGGCCATATCGTGCCGCGCCTTTCTAGCTTTCTGTCTCGCCTCATCGTCTGATGCAGCGAGTTCTGCACGCTTCCGTATCGATGGTGCGCGTAGCGATGGCTTGGAGACTTCTATGGCCAAACCTTTGAGATACCAGTGAGCTGCTTGACTGGGATCGGCTTGCAGCTTGTGCGTGACGTTGCTGTCACTGCTTGCCGCGAGCCCGCGAGAATAGAGACTTCAAGAAGCTCGTCAGAAGTGTAGCACACGGTCAATAGAATGCATAGCTCACTTTGCGAGGGTGAGACAGGCTTGTGAGCTGCCAAGGTTAGCCGCTTTGTCGAGCTTGCGCAAGGCCGAGCGGTAGTTGTGGCCTATGATGTCCATCTGTGACGGTTCGATGAGTTCCCCCGTTGAGTTGACGAGCATAATGGAGCCCACCTGAGCTTGCCAGAGCAAGGCTTCCACGTCTGTCTGTGCGTGATCATCATTGGCCGTCTCTTCATCGCTCGAGGAGTCGTCCTGCCCAGCTGCTGCTCCTGCTGCTCCTGCTGTTACGGTTCGGCCAGACCGTCCGGATGATCTCGAAGCAGCAGAAGCCTTGCGGGCATGACGCCCGTTGATCTCTGTGCTCGTCGCCGGCGCTAAAGTGGCACTGCCGCCCGGCGACGGCTGCCCGAACTTGAAGGATGCGAACCAAGATGCCGAGCTCGAGCCAGAGGCATGAGGCGAGCTCGCCATCTGTCTCTTGCCGGCACACGCCAGGCTCTACGCCTGCTGATCCCTTGGTGAGTCGGTACGTTTGAGTTTCCCCTTGGCAACGTCGGCCGCGCGCCGAGGAAGCCACGACAGGCGTTGTGACGGGCGTCCGACATCAGCCAGCGTGAGCTCATCGCGCGCCCCCAAGGCACAACTGACGCAGCTCAGCTCGCAGACATGGTGAGGACAAAGCGGTGAGGCTCAAGAGACAGCGCAACGAATGCGGCCACGCCCCAATGCACCGAACTGCGAGCATCTCCCGTCCGCCAGATGGCCCACGCTCAGATCTTCACTCCTCTCGACGGGCATCTGCAGCCGGTCGAGCTCATAGACCTCCTCCGCACGCGCCCAGCGCGCCGGCAGACGAGCATACCCAGCCTGACGGGCAGCATATCAGGCCAGGTGGTCATGCTCAGGCTGATTACTCGATAGCTCATGGGCCCAATGTCCCCGCTGTCGGCTACAGCGCGCCTATGATGACCTCGACAGATCTGAGCAAGTCGAGCAGCTCAGATTCTGGCTACAATTCTCACACAGTGAACGGGCACGCGCCGAGCATGAATGGTAACGGCTCGCTACCTCTGCCGAATACAGCCAACCGCTCCACCGGCGGCAAAATGTCCAAGCTGGGCTTACCAGGCTTGGGCGGGACGCGATGGAAGAGAACGCCCAACAGCTCGGCAGATTATGGCTACCAGCATGTTCCCAACGGCGTCGCAGAAACGATCAGAGATACTTTCCTCGTCCCTGCCCAGCAAGCGGGAACGGGTTGGACGCGTCACCAAGCTGCGGCCTCCATTGGGCCGAGCTCGAGCAAATCATCTTGGCTCAACCTGCTGAGTGCGCGTGCGCGTGTCACCAATCTCGCTGTTCTCGTCCTTGGTGCAATCACAATGGTCTCGCTCATTGTGAACATCAGTCACTTTAGCGCCATCGAGCATGATCTCAGCGATGACCTCAAGACGAGTCGGATACCCCTCTCGATCAGATCGACTCTTCAGCCAGCAGCAGTTCAACTACGGCACATGATCATGGTGCCAGGTCATGCCATCTGGACAGGTTCAGATGGTCTGAGAGCCTACGAAGACTCTCAGTGGGTCCTGGAAGACATGCAAAAGGGCGGTCACGTCAAGACGTACGTTAAGCACATCGCTCGTGCCGTCGATCTGGCAATTCAGGATCCGCTCTCGCTGCTCATCTTCTCGGGCGGTCAAACTCGTCCGACCACGCAGATGACTGAGGGGGCTTCCTACTGGCGTCTTGCCGAGGCCCTCAATCTGTACGAGCAATATTCGCTTCAGCACAACGCGACACAAGGCGGTACGCAAGAGCAAGTAGCTGCGCTCAAAGCGATCATACCTCATCCGTTCCCGCGCGCCGTCGTAGAAGACTACGCGCTCGATTCGTACACCAACCTGCTATTTGCGACTGCGCGCTTCAAGCAATTCACCGGCCATTACCCGACGCACATCACCGTCGTCGGCTATGGTGCAAAACAGAAGCGCTTCTCTGATGTCCATCGTGTTGCCATGCGATGGCCTCAGTCCGCTTGGACTTACATACCCATAGACGACGATAAAGAGACGGGCGCTCTTTACGAGGGCGAGCGCCTGCACGGTCTGTTGCCATATCAGAACGACATCTATGGCTGTCATACCGAGCTGTTAGCCAAACGAAAGAAGCGCAATCCGTATAGACGCTTCCATCCGTATCACGTCTCAAATCCAGAGCTCGACAAGCTCATGGAGTGGTGTCCAGACGATCCAACGCAAATCTATACCGGCTCATTACCTTGGTCGCAGATGCATTAGACAAGGAGGCATTCTGTCATCTGTTGTAGCCTGTAAACACATGTCTTCATCTTCATGTCGTCGTGATCGCTCGCTTTCGCTTCTTGCTGCTCGCCGCAATTTGCTCGCGCACGGCCTGCTCAGATAGATCTCCACCCTTTCGCACGCTGCTTTCGAAGAACTCTTGCGTCTTTGCTGTCTCTTGCTGTCGTCGTATGTATCCAAGCGCGGCAGCGTTGTAGCCGATCAAGCCCTGATCCTTTCTCAGCCTCTTCGAAGGTGGGCCAAAGCAGGCTTACCTTTTGCTGCACAAGAGCTTCTCGTAGACTGCTACGGAGCGAGAGCATAGACGACCGCATGGCTCTCGTTGCGACAATCTGAGAATGGTGCGTTTGCAAGATGATGAAGAGCACGCGCGATGTCAGAGCGACGTTCCAACGATGTCGCGCCCAGACATCGATGTACGAAAGGAGAGAAGTGACATGGGTGAAGGGGAGCACGAGCAGCGCATCTTGCAGTGCTGCCATTGGAATCCGCTTGATCGTATCGAGCACATGCCGCTCTGCAGATTTCTCCGCGCCCGGCAGGGTGAAGATGGCATTGCGACCAGGTGGCGGCAGAGTCTTGCTATTGGCAGGATCGAGACGGGCACGCTCAGCTTGCCAAGCGGTAACGTGTACGCGATCGGCGTCCGCAAGATCGATAGCTTCCATGATGCGCTCCCCTGCCATCAGGGTCTCCTTTGTCTCTTTCGAGACGGTGTCGACCTCGGGTCCTGCATCGTGCTCGCCAGTACGCTTGGCGCGCAGATCGAGCTGATCTTGCTCGTTCGCTTCGTAGGCTGCTTCCATCTCTCGTTCGCGTTCTTCCTCCAGGAAAAGCTGCCAGGCATGTCAGCGCAAGCGCCATGCGCGGATGTCATACTTACAGGCTCGCCGAGCTTCTCCCAGATGCGGATCGACTTGTCATGCGAGGCTGTCGCAACATACTTGCCCAGCGGACTGACCGCGAGCGCCCAGACCTCGCTCTGATGTCCTTCGAGCTTCTGGATGCATTCGAACTGTGATAAATCCAGTGGGGTCAGCACATAGTCAAGCTGGGAGGGATTGTCACTCACTTTGTCGCCGTCCCAATACTTGACCATCTTGTCCTTGCCGACCGTCCAGAAGTAGTGCGACTTTGCTTCAAACGCGACTTGCATGATACTTTCGTCATGCGCAAAGAGCGAACGATGACAGTCACCGAAATCGAGGCCCCAGATCTTGACGTTCTTATCGGCAGAACAGGTGACGATCAGCTTCGAATCGAACGAGATATCCATTGCGAGGACGGGCAGCTTATGTCCGTACAGCGATAGGAAGAACTTGAGCGTGTCGGCATAGAAGACTTTGACGGTCATGTCGAGGAGTGCCACAGCAAGCAAACGACCATCTGGGCTATATCGCACCGAGAGTACATCATCACTCATCTTGAGCGTCTTGATATGAACCAACGAGAGCGAACGTGCTGCATTTGGTGCTTCGTCTCCGGCAGCAGCCGCTTCTTTGATCTCAAAGTCCCAGAACTTGATATCTTTGTCTGCACTGGCCGTGACAAGGCCGCGCTTGTCGGGCCTGACCTGCAGCGACCAGAGCGCGCCAGTATGCGCTTGAACGGTTTCGAGAAGCGAAGAGGACGCGACGTCATAAAGCAGCAACTCGCCAGACTTGCAGCCGACCACGATGTGTCGGTCACCTGGCAGAAAGGCTGTACAGAGCGCGTAACCGCAATCAAGCGTCCGCAGACATTTTGTCGTCTTTGCATTCCAGACTTTGAGACTGCCCTGCGCGGCAGAGGCGAGTAGCTGATCGTCTGACGAGATTGCAAGCGCTCGCACGTCATTTCGATGACCAGGCAGATCGAGCGAGAACGACTTGACCGGCTCAACTAAGGTACTGGATTTGCCCGTCGCAGGAGGCTGCGGTAGAGCGTAAATTTCTAGCGCGTTACTGTTGAGAGCCACCATGAGGGAGATGTTCTCTGTGCCCTTTGCTCTCTTGTGTTCAGGCGCAAAAGCGAATGACCTTATCTTGCCCGAGGCGCGTACGATTGACCATGGGGCAAGGCGGTCTCTCCATTCCTGCTGCACCGGCTCGCTCTCTTCTTCGCCTGCCACTTTGCTCTTCTTGTCAGCTTCTCTCCGCCGCCGTCTGGCAGCTTTACGCTTGATCTCTGCATCTGAGCGTAGTCGAACGATTTCTACCGTTCTCTCGGTCGTTTGGAAAGCAATGATAGGCAATGATGGATGGTAAGAGACTTGTGCTATTCGCTGGGTGTGACTCGAGCTTGAGAGGCTGATGAGCGTGCCAGATGGGTTGAGAGGTACCAATGCACGTTTGAGCACACCGTCCTGGTCAGACTGCACGCCCTCGCGCAAAACGTCATTATCGAGCAACCAGGCCTTAGCTTCGCCATCTCCACCGCCCGTCAAGACGATATTCTCGCCTGTCTCCGGATCAAGCTTGACGTCTAACGCCCACGTCTCTGCCCGATGAGCCACGGTGGTGGAGATGCAGTGCTGGGTCGTGAGGTCCCAGAGCTTGATGAATGTATCTTTTGAGACTGAGAGGAGGTGTTTCGCCGCTGGCGGCCCTGCTGCAGAAGTCGAGGCTATTGCATCACTTTCTTCTGGTGCTATTTGGACGAACGCTAGTCCCGTTATCTGATCTCTGTGACCTCGCAGTCTGCAACGAACAATCGTTAGCTCGGCTGCTTGTCTCAGACAATTTCGAGACACATGCCTGTACGAGCCTGCTTCGGCAACGAGATCCCAGAGAATGATCTCATTGTCCTTGCTACCACTTGCGAGCGTCTGGCCATTGCGATCAAAAGCGAGCGAAGTGACGGCTTTGCGATGGCCATTGAACGTAACGATGACGCTCTTCTCCTTTGCACTCCACAGTCTGACGCTGCCATCCTCGTAGCCGACTGCAAACGTGTCCCTCGGTCGAGGCGAGCGTGCAATGGCAGATACCGGACTTCGATGCCCTTGCTCATGCCACATGCCTAGCAGCTCGCCCTTTTTGACATCCCATACGAGTACATCTTCCAGCGCAGGCACATAAGCTGTCTTGCCATCGAAGACTGAGTTGCTGCCAGCCGAACAGATCACGCCAAAGGCCTCGACGGGACCATGCCGCTCATAGGATCGCATGGTGACTACCGCCGGCTGCTAGAAGAGGGTAAGCACGCAAAATTTCGCGATCATCTGGCGTCGGCCGTCAATTTATATTGACTCGCTCGTACAACATGCACGGCGGGTTCGTGCTCGACTATATGCGAGCTAGTCGATAAGTCACGCCAGCCTGCCTCTGGTAAGAGCGTGCAGTCGCTACATGCTGTTGTGAGCATTTCTCGCGTGCACCGCTTGTCCTGTTTGCTGATGCCTGAGCTGACATGCACCAGACCGGTCGACATGCTTCATCACGAGCGGAGAGCGCGAAAGACGTTTGATTGTCAAGCTGCTATGTATGCCAGATGTAGCTGATCTGTCCGCCCGAGTTGTCTTCGAACAGAAAGTTCGCTGAGTCCTCGGCCAGTCTTTCCACGCGGCGTAAGAAAAAGGTCCGTTTGTATTGCCGTCTTCGTTCCTTGAATTTGATGTTCCAATTGGGAGGTGCCTCCGGTATCAGTGGTCTGTCGGGATACCTCAGCTTGTAGCCATCGTATGCCCAGGTATATTCTGCGCGAAGCGAAATCAGTCAGGCCCCCTTTGGAGAGCAAGGCAACGGACCCAGAGAATGCAAGTCCGATTCGAGCAGAGGCTGAGAGTAGAAAGTGATGCTATAGCCAAGTGTGAGCAGCGTTCTGCCGTCATTGAACACAAAGCGCTTGAAGAGATTGTCGCCGCCCAGGAAAGCCACTGAGTCCCGGAGGAGATCGATAGACACGAAGAAATCGCCGCCTGAGATCCAGGTCGGAAAGATGTCGACCCAGGCAGCGATGAAGTGATGGATCGAGATGAAAGGCAAGCCAGATTGGAACATGCCAGTATTATCTCCCGGCACGTCAAGCTGATGCAGACCGTCCACGACGGTCATTGCGTCTTCCTTGGTGCGATTCATGGCGAGAGCTGCACATCGGGTCAATTTGCCATCCCCTCCAAAGCTGGTAGCAAATTCGCGCTCGCAGTCGGGCATACGTGTTGACATCTCCCGTGCGAGACTGACCGAAAAGATGATGCCTGCGCCTCCATAGGCTTGTATACCAAAAGCGCCGTACTGAGCCATCGCTTCGGTGACGCCGCCCATGAAGATCATCTCGTTCGAGTCGTATTGACTGGCAAGTCTTTGCACTGATCTGATGTCGAGCCAGAAGGTATCATCGTCACCGACGATGATCCACCGGGGTGTGACATCTGTACCGAAGCTTCCTTGGCGAACATAGTCCATTGCGATGGAGACTTGCGAGAGCACGCGCATGTCATACGAGTCTTGTGTCGAGAAATGCAGTATGCACCTCTCGAGACCCAGCTGGGTCATGTTGGCTCGCAGAGAATCTGCATGCATGCGGTCCTCTTCGGGCAAGACGACCTGACAGGGAGAGCCGTGCTGGAGCCAGTGTGGCCAAAGTCGCATGAACTCGAACGCTCTGTCTGCTTTTGTCGCTACAGAGAAGAGCAATTGCTGCACCGTAGGCGCTTCCCATGCGAGTTCGATCTGTCTGGGGTAGGTGTCGAGGGTACGGGAGAGATTGCCCGGTTTGGCTTTGCCTGCTTTGGCGGGGTTGCCACTGTTGCCGAGAGCTGCCCATTGACTTGACAGCACACCGCCAAATCCTACACTGTGCGAGCCATAGAGCGGCTCGCTTGTCCAAGGTACACTGTCATTGATGCTCGTACCCGGAAAAGTCCACGTGTGCTCGTCTGTGGTGATGGAGATGGTCGTGTGACGACCATATTCCAGCAACTGGACGATACGATGAGATGGATGCGTAGACCGCCAGGACGTGAAGAGCAGCAGGCTGGTCGACAGCACCAGCAGTACAGAGAGAAGCTTGGTGCGCATGCCTTACATTCTTCGTTACTTTCTCCTGACTACTCACACCCGGTGAGACAGACGGAAAGAGCCAAGCCCGAATGCCCCGGAGTGGCGTCAAGTGTTGCACGACCGTCGACCGGCTACTCGCGCCGGTGCTACGAGCTACCGGCAAGATGATCTCTACAGAGCTCACGCGGCTGCTAGGCATCCGTGTACCCGTCGTGCAGGGTGGTATGCAATGGGTCGGTCTGCCACAATTGGCAGGCGCCGTCAGCGAAGCCGGCGGTCTCGGCATCCTCACTGCACTCACCCAGCCGAGTCCTGACGCGCTCCGACAAGCTATCAGGGATACAAGGAAGATCACAAGCAAGCCCTTGTACGTCTGACACGCGCCCTCTCGCACGCGAGCTGATACAGCCGTTGCAGCGCGGTCAATCTGACGTTCCTGCCGACGATCTCACCACCGCCGTACATGGACTACGCCAAAGTCGTCGTCGAAGAAGGCGTCAAGGCAAGCTCACATTGGCGCCCTACGGTTCGTTGGACTGACAAGAGATTCGCAGATCGCGGAGACGGCAGGAGGACCTGACGCGAAGCCGATCATTCAGTATTACAAGCAAAACAATGTCTTTGTCATCCACAAGTGCACTTCCATCAGACATGCACTGAGCGCACAGAAGCTCGGCGTCGACATGCTGTCCGTCGATGGATGTACGTCATCTGTCAAGGCATTCGTGTCAAGCTGATGCGCATGCTCCCCAGTCGAATGCGCTGGTCATCCGGGTGAGGACGACATCGGCGGTCTTGTACTGCTTGCCAGAGCCGCACAAGAGCTCAAAGTACCTTTCCTCGCCTCTGGCGGATTCGCCAACGGACAGGGACTTGCCGGCGCGCTCGCCCTCGGCGCGTGTGGCATCAACGCTGGCTCACTCTTCATGGCCACCGATGAAGCACCCATTCACGATAACATCAAAAAGATCATTGTAGACTCCACCGAACGCGACACTATTCACATATTCAGGACATTCAACAACACTGCGCGAGTGTACAAGAATAAGATCGCCAAGGAGGTCGTAGCGATCGAGCGGAGACCGGGAGGAGCCAAGTTTGAAGATGTCAGGGAGCTCGTCAGCGGGCAGAGGGGCAAGACGGTCTATACGACAGGCGACTCGGATGCGGGCATCTGGTCTGCCGGTACTGCCGTCGGCTTGATCACCAAAGTGCAATCCTGCAAGAGTCTGCTCGACGAGATCGAGCGCGACGCCGAGGCGATCATCAATAGGATGTCGAGCATGACCCAACGATCCAAGTTGTAGCATTTCGCAAGCTTGCCGTCCATGAGGGAGCCTGTCGCTTGAGAACACGCGCGTGAATATGTCAACGCGTCACATCCACGTCGACCCAGCCGGCTGTCTGTCCATGCGGCGTGAGGCATGTCAGACGATGATCCGCCGTGAGCGCCTGTGCATCTGACGCACTCCATGGTGCTCAATCCTTAGCACAGGAGCTTCAGCACGGATGCAGAGGCGCTGATCTGGTGGCAAGGTCGGGCGAGCTCATTGCAAGATGACTTGGACGATACCAAGCTCGCTCTCGAAGAGTTCCAGGCGTCCAGTGGTGAGCTCGAAGAAGAGCTAGGTGAGCATACTCGCATGCTACTCCAGGTGCAGATGCCGATCGTCTCGATTGACAGAGAAGAATTTGGCGGCGGGCGAGAAACGAGAGCTTGACTTGCGCAAGACGGTCGAGCGACTCAAAGTCGAGCTAGATCAATGGAAGGCGAGTATTACTTGCCACTCATCATACGCCCGGGGCTGACGACGGGAGCCAGACAAGGCACCAGACGACCCTCAAAGAGCACCACAAGTCACTGAGCTCCATGAAGACCGAGCTCGAGTCTGTCAGAATATCAGAGGACGCTCTCCGACGGAAGCTACGCGATCTCGAACTCGATAACGATGATCTGGAGAAGAGCGAGAGGTGGGCCCACCGACTCACGAGCGCGTGCGGGCGCTTATATAGCGCAGAGTACTCAACTCGACTTTGCAAGATCTCGAAGCCAGACATGGCAAGTCAGTCGAGCGCATCACACTGCTCGAGCAGGATCTGGTAAGCAGCGCAAGCACACAGGAAGAGCTACAACGCGTCAAGGATGAGCTCAGAGGCGAGCATCTCTTTGAGCCCGCACCCAAAACGCGCTAATGCTTCTTCGCGCAGACACACTCGAAGAAGTTGCTGTCTTGCGTGGCAGACTCGAAGCCGAGACAGCTGTCGTGCCAGTGCGCTCGCCCGCACCTCCGCCTTCTTCCGCGCCGGATTCTGATCGCGCAGAAGTGGAATCAGCGGTCGCGCCAAAGCTTGCTCTCCTTGACATCACGCCCGAACGCTTGCCGTCACCTGTCAGGACTGGTTCGCCAAGAACAGCTTCTGGCCTGCGACTCAGCCAGACCCGTATACCCGTAGCGACCAAGCACACGGCCGCTACTCAGACCTCGCCTTTGCCAGATCTGACGCGCCCTGCACCACGCAGCCAGAAAGGCGAAGATCTGCTCAAGGGCATGAAGGACAGGACAAAGTGGATGAGGGATATGACGGCCAAGCTAGACTCTCGCCGTCAGATGACTTCTGCTATACCGGTCCCCAAATCACCTGCCACTACGCTCTCCAGGGCGAGCGTCGTCACGGGCATACCCCGCCTGACTACGCCGCGGCGAGATCACAGCACGGGCAGCGCGAACAGCAGGTTATCCGAGTCTGTCACGCCGTCGCCCCCGCAAAGCACAACTGGGCCTACCTTCGAGCGTGAAGGTAGCGGAGGCGTGCCTGACTCACTGGGGGATCAGCTCTTACGGGCTAGTGTCAGAACGCCGTCCCGACATATTCCACGTCCCTCGCTGCCTGCAGTCGTCATGCCAGACACGCCTACTGCAAGTACAAGTCAGAGAAGAAGCCAGCTCGGCGCAAGCACTGGGCCTGGCTTTGCCGCTTCAGGCTCGGTCAGCACGCCTCGGCGGATCTCGACCGTCTTTTCACGACCGCCGGTCGCAGATTCGACGGCCACTGGCCCACCGCGACCGCCTACGCCTGGCCATTCGCCCACAAGAAGGTCGATGCTCGGCGCTCGCAAGTCAATGCCAGCGACAACAACACGCAAATCTGCAGAGCTACCACCTGCTCGCAACTTCCTTCGCAAACATTCTGGCGGTGCAGGCATCGTTCCCTCTGCGAGTTCCAGGGCACTCGGCAAGCCGGATGCGATGGCACAGTCTCAAGCTGCACGGCGAGCTGGCGCGAAGAAGCGAGAGACCTTCAGCTTTCTCGAACGGCCTTGAGATGCAGCTTGTAAGACGTGCGACCTGTTGTGCCTTTGTATCCGCGAGAGACGGCAAACGTACGTGTGGCGCTGCGTGCCACGGAAAGCGCGTCTGCCTGTGCTGAAGAACTACCGACTGATCCTGAGTGCCTGGTGCATGCTGGCTTGCTTCCTGTCAGAAGGGGAGCATAGCTGTTCTTGATGGAAGCAGAGCCTGTTGCGAGTACATCGATCGCTGTCTTGCCGAGCTCGCCAGAGAATGCGGTCAATGCTAGACCAGTCCACACCAACGGTAATGCACCCGCGCCGGCTCCTACGCTTGCTCCGGTAGCTTCGACCTCGTCTGGCAAAGTGGTCATCGATGTCGATGCGCTCAGCCAAGCAAGCCCAAAGGTGCCTTGCCCTGCAGATCGCTGGGAGACTGCCGTAAGTCAAATCTCCTGTCCGCCTTTCTGCCGGCAGAAAGTGCTTCTCTCGACCTCTGCTGACCCTGCTGGGCTTCTCTCTCCACTGCGTTCGACGAACAGTACGTCTTTGCGTTCTTGGATCGCTTCACGAGCTTGAAGGAGCACCCTTTGGCTGTTCAATCTGCCATGGAGCTCGAAGACGCCTTGCTCCTAGAGGGACCGCCAACGCTACTCAAGGACATCAATCCCAATGTCGACTATCAGCCATCGCTCGAGATGGTCATGAAAGCACTCATCGAGCTCCTAGACGCCAACAAGGTGAAAAAATGGGAGGCTTACCTCCACGAAGTCATCAGTGATCGCTTGAAAGCCAAGGATTGCTCGCTCTCCGAACTGTGGGACCACCAGAATCGGTGTCGCAGCGGGTTCTGGAGTATGTCTTGGGAAGATAAAGTCTGTGGCTGTATCGCGTCATCGCGTCTCGCTGTGCTCATCCTCGTCGGCCCTCGCAGTTGACGCTCATGCGCGTCCTTTGCGACCACGCCTTGACCACCAGCGAAAAGTGCAGGACCATCATCACTGAAAAGTACCACATCGTCGCCAACGCAAAGGCATATCGCACTGCGAGTTCAAACTCGCTCGTACTCGAAAAGCTGGGCACAGACAAGCAGAGACGCTCCTGGTGGCAGCTCGATGGTATGTCTCACCTCCAGCATCGTTTCTAGGTGCCCCAATTGATCTCATGCGATGCCCACTGTTAGATTCGCCAAGACTGTACGCGATGGGCAGCCCTTACACCGCCAAGTCTGCGTGGACGCCCGTTTCGACAACGCCGGACGAACTTCGTCAAGCGGTCTCTGAGCTTGTTCCAGCAGACCAGATCGGCCCGGATGGTGCCACGATTGGCAAGCCGGCAAAGTCGACACCCTTCACCATCGCCAAGGGGGCTGCGAAAGGCGACAAACGCGCCGAGCTCGCTCGAGGACTAGCGGACAAAGTCTCTAAAGTCGTCCTTCCTCGGCTGACAGAGTATGACGAACGCATCCAAGCAGTTTACGCGAAGCGGTCCAATACGCTCAGACGTGAAGTCAACAAGAGCAGGCAGCAAGAACGTGCAGAACAAGCTGCTGCTCTGGCAGCCGCTTCAGCTGCCGATCGCTCTACGCGTCTCCGTTCACGCACTACTCGTGTCGACTATGTCTACGACGATCGTACGCATGAGCGTCTGCCTGCCGTAAAGGGAAGCCGCAGTTCCAGGCGAACCAATTACGTCGAAAGCTCGCCAGAGCCAGAGCTGCTTGGACGACGTTCCAATCGAGGTCGAGGCAGCCGCGCTGACACTGCCAGCGATGACTTTTCCGAGCGAGCTGGCAATGATAGCGATGACAACGAGGATGACTTTGAGGATTACGAAGAGGATGATGAAGATGGCGGTCGCAGGAGCAAGCGACCTCGCGTCGAGCCAACTCGCGTCAGCGGCCGAGTACAGCTTCGTGAAGCGATGCTAGCTTCTGAGCTCGATGCACGACCGCCGGCTCCTCGGGACGATATAGCTTCGGAAGAGAGCGAAGAGTCTCGAGAGCATATACCACGGATACGTCTCGTTCGAAAGCAGAGCGATCTCAGCCGATCGGCTTCAGAACATGCGACATCCGAGCCGGCATCAACTCGAGAAGCGTCTCGACAGAACTCGCCGGGCACCTCGGACACAGAGTAATCCTTTATGCATTCGCTTTATGCCCGAATTTACTTGCGATCCCGTGCTGACCTTTCAATTTGCGTGCGCCTGACATGAACACTCTCATATCTCACTCGTAATGCCTTCTTACCTCCTCCCACAGAAAGTTCGCTTGTTATCGCCCGCCCAATCTCTAACTCATCGCTACTTCCAGTCGAAATCTGCGAAGCTCGCGAAAGCCTGGTGCCGCGCTCGAGTAGCCTCGCAACTTCGTCGACCGACAACGGTGGCAGCGCACCCGTGCACTCCACAGGCGCAATCGGTAAAGGCTGCAAGGGCGGCAAGTACTGTCTCGGCAGCGGACTCGACTCTTTAAGTGCGCACCGCAACGAGCTGGCTGTCGTGTCGCCCCTTTTGGAATTGATTGCCTCTTGCAGCACTATCGGTACTCTCTGCACATCATAATCAATCTTGATCAGCTCCAGATTGCCGTCGACTTGGTCTGTGCTCTTGCGCACACTCGCAGAGGGAACCTGAGCATTACGAGCATGCTTGCAATTCTGCCCAGCATATCGAGCTGAAGGCGTCGTGCTCGACCGGTGCAGCTGCGAAGATATCAGCTCAGTTCAAGCGCCGGAAGTACGCTCAACCTGATGGTGGCGATCGCGGGGGGCACGACATGGCAGCCCATCAGACCTGCTCATCAGAGGTGTCCAATACTCAGTCATCAAGCATCAGAGGCCTCAGCACACACGAAGCGCCAGGACTTATACACGGCACTGAGAGCATATCACGAAGCGACGAAAGGATACAGCTTTGACGCTCGGACTGTGCGCGTCGCATCCAAGACGACGCGTCGAGGCAGATGGACGTGATCGAAGCGTTCGACTTCCTCGCCGCGACGTCTCCCTGGACTTCCGAGTCAGCATCTCTCTCGCTCGCGGTCCATCTCAAGACAAAGGGCAGCACCAAGCAGTATCAGACGAGCGATCATGGCAACAAACAGGCATCACTTTAGCGACAACATTGCGACGAAGTGGCAAGGCCCCAGGCCTCATCCAATGGGCGCATACAGATGCACAAACCAAGGTCTCGAGCACATCGGGTACTGTGAGAAGCTCGTCGCACGCTGGCCGAAGCACTACCCTTTCATCGATGTCAGACAGTCAGAGGCTGGTCTCGAGCGCTACGTCGGTCTCGCACGCGAGTATGCCTTACCCATGTATCCCACGGTTGAGGAGACATTGAGCAAGACACCCTGGGCTACGACAGAGATCGTCGAGATCGGTTTCGCTTACCTCGATCGCGACATCCTCGAGTACTCGTCCTTCAGCGCTCTCTACTATTTGCTCGGCCTCGGCGCATGGCCAGCTTGTGAACTTACCCGTCATAGCTACACTCTCTATATATTGACAAAGGCTGCAGTGGATGGCACGGGACCTTCGCCGCATCACGTTCTTTTGAATGTCACGATGTGTCCGTCGCGCGTGAACAGAGCATGGAGACAGCTGATTCTTCCTTTGCTGCAGACCTCAAGGATCAGTACGATCGCTATCGAAACTTCGCGACCAGCAATCCTCGCTATCGTCCGCCTGCAGGCTGTCGACCTTGGAACAGTCTCACCTTCAACGACCTCTGCCATGGATTCGTCCCTTGTCTCGTCATGCTCGGCCATCGACTAAACGACTGTGAACTCAAGCTTTTCAGCGTCATGGCCGATTCTCAACCCCTCGTCTTCGAGTGGAGCGTTCTCGGCCAGCATATGCGCGCTTCCGGTCTCGAGAAAACAAAGCAAGAGGATCAAGAGCAGCAGAGCGAGATGGCTCTCGACGTCAGCTAGACTTAGCCTCAGTTGTACAAGCGTGTGCAATGTTTTCAAGCAGCGGGCGCTGCATCTTGCGCCATAGAGACCTGAGATGACTCGAGAGGCGAGGTCCCCCCTGCAGATGGCGTCGAGGCCGCATCGGTCGCTAGCTTGGGCTTTTTCGCTCTTGAGCTGGCTGGTGTTGCGGGCGGATTGCGGATAGCCTCGACAATGTCGACCAGCGTCGCGCCGCTTGCGATCTTGTCAAATAAACTGAGATTGCTGCTCGCCACCAGCCGTAGACCGCGCCAAGAGAAAGCATTTTGGGCCTAGCGACTGTACTGAGTACGGACACGATATTGCAAGTCTGGCAGGGAGCTCACCTCCTTGGCCTCATCGATCTGCGCTGCCTTAGCTGCAGCGTCCAGCTCTGTGTTCTCAGCAGTTTCCTCTGCTTTCCGCTTCATCGCGCCAAATTCCGCTGTGAACCGATCAAGCTCCCCCGCTCTGATTGTGTAGGTCAGCGCAGAGCTTGCACGGGGCCAGGAAGCCGCTTACTTGTCCGCCGCAACGACGTTGGCCAGGTCTGCGCCTTTGCTAGCCCATAGCCGACTAAGGGTCGCATTTCCGACCTTGTGCATGTATGGCCGAGCAATCTTGGTACGCTCACGCAGCTTGCTCGTAGCGACTGTAGCAGCGTCGTCCGCCAGCGGAGGCTGCTCAAAGTCAACACAGTTGTTGAGCTTCCAAGATGCCTGTCTTCAAGCATCAGTGCCAGCCCATCTTAAGAGCGGAAAAAACTTGCCCAATTCTCTTCGCGGGTCAGTATGAGTGAGACTGTGCGCCAGAAGGCAACGCCAGAAGGCCCAGTTGATCTGAGCATCTCTACGACCCTGATGCGTGTGCTGACTGTCCAGGCTTCCTGCAAGCTCTTACGCTCGAAAAGATCCCAGTGAGTGAGCAGAAGGCATACCTCGGCTTCGTTCAGGTTATGCGGCAGCTTGAGCGGCTTGCCCGTCGCTGCACGTGCTTTGACTTTGGCTCGTTCGCTGACAGTGAAGCTCAACAGATACTGAAAGACAACCAGTATCTGCACAAGGATCTGTCGCCGGAAGACAGTGTCCGCAAGCTGATCGATCCGATAAGCATTCGAGCAGCGGGAGCGGGCGTGACGTACCTCCAGCGGAAGCAAATTACGCTTCGTGAGGTATTTTGGAAAGAAGTAATTTGCTTCGACTTCGGCCAAGCTTTCTTCTTGGTCCATATCTTGCCTGCTTCTAACATCACGACGAGTCTTCTTGGAGCCGAAGCTAGCCTCTTTCGCTATCGCCTCGGCGAAAGTAGTCAATGTGAGCTCGATATCTTCCTTCAGTATGTCGAGATTGCTCTTGCTGCCTGCGCTCGAGACGTTCGTAAAGAGGGTTCGAGGATCACAGAAGCGTTGCTGTAAGCGCCAAAATCGTTCGTATAGATCTGTTCGACATGTCAGACGCAAAGCTTCACTGCCACATTCGACTGGCCTTTCATTTTGGCTTCGCCTGCTGCTGCATTGTTCTGCTTTGTATCTAGACTCTTGGAATCATCCGATAATGCCAAGGCGTCGCCCGTGAGAGACGCATCGGCCAAGCGCGCGGTTGTATCTGGCTGTCCTACGTCTGATTCGTCTAGTATAGTGACATTGTCAGTATTGAAAGAAGAGGCGACATTGACACCACTACGCTCGCACAGCGGGAAAACGATTGCTAGGAAGATGAGTATGCGACCGCAGAACACGGTGTGAACGAATTTCGAGGCACGCTTGAGGAGCGCGTTGCAGGTTCGCAGCAATATGAGACCTTTGCCTCTACCTGGCAGAAGTCCCTGTAATGTGGGTCAGCGAAGCTCGAGAGCTGCTCAGACCATGCTGACCTTGATGATGATCTCCCGCCTGCTTTCGAGGAACTCAAAGAGGCTTTCGGCGACGGTGATGGTCTGCGCGTCCGTGATCATCTCAAAGAGCGAGATTGCCAAGCTGTCATCGCAGGCCCCCTTCTGACTGAGGTATAGCACTACATCGAGCATATCGTAGAGCGCAGACAGGCTTGCCGGCCGCTTCTCATCTGCCTCGAGTGCCTACAGCGCGTCTTCAGCCTCCCGCAGTCTCGCATGAACAGGTGCAGGCCTACGAGCGAATTTGCCCGAGACGTGAAGGCTCTCTCGATGATGACAGCCTGGGCCTCCTTGCGCCAGCCCTCACTTGCTTCGTCTGTGCCAGAGATGTTCCAATGAGCGTCAACAGCAGCTTGCACGTCGCTCGCGCCGAGCCCCGAATGCGCTGATCGCTGAAGTTCTAGATCTCCCAGTATCGAGTCTGCCGCGCTTGCGATGGCTGCTCGCAGGCCTGCCATGCTAGATTCGGCCATCTGCTGCCTGGACACACCGGGCCTTTTTGATTCTGAGTCATCTCACATATGCACAATGCAAGTGCTCCGCTGAGCTGGCCACCCGCGGGACTTGATCAGACCTGACTGTACATAATATAAGCGTTCTGTGTTTGCCCGTGCGCGGCTGCTTAGCTTCCGCCTGACCTCACCGACGTCCTCCGAGGGACTACACTCGTCCTCATCTGTCGTATAAAACGCGCTCGACTCGATGCCTGGAGTTCGCAATCAACCAGAACCACCCGCTTGTCTGCACCGCTGTCATGGCCCACGTACAGGCGAAGAAGTCGCATACAAGTGAGCATCAGAGCATACAAGATATAGAGCAAGCTGCAGTACCTACGTCAGAAAAGTCTGTCGCACCCAGTGAAGACGACGCGCCCTACGACAAGCCCGTCGACTGGACATTCTGGAAAAAGGTGAGTGGGGACGGGTGTGTTCGGCCTGTCTGACATTCGTCTCAGTTTCGGGTCAATGCTATCTTGTGCTTTGCAACACTGTCCCTGACTTATTCCTCATCCGCCTTTGCGTCTTCAGTCCCCGATGTCGAGCTACACTTTCGAGTCAGTAGAGTCGTTGCGATCCTACCCATCTCGCTCTTCGTTCTGGGCTTCGCAGTCGGCCCGCTACTGTTTGGACCCCTCTCCAATGTCTTCGGCAGAAGACCTGTCTACGTTTGGTCGTATTTGCTCTTCACGATCTGCCAAATTGGCGCCGCGCTCTCGCCTAATATCGGATGTCTGATTGCGTTGCGCTTCTTGTCGGGCGTCTTTGGCTGTTCATCACTCAACAATGTGTCCGTTTCCGTAGCGGAGTTCACTGAACCACGTGAACGTCTTCGCTGGCTGATCTGGTACGGCTTTTTCGCTTTCGGTGGGCCCGTGGCCGGTCCTCTCTGCGGTAATTTCATCGCCGTCAAAACTAGGCCTATTCCTGGTACTTCGAACGCGCTCGACAGTGGACCTCGTGCAAGCTGGCGATGGAATTTCTGGATTATGGCAATGTCGTCGGCCTTGGCGTTCATCTTGCTTGTGGTGGAGTCTCCAGAGACCTGCGGTCCCATACTGCAACAGCGGGCAAACGTCAAGCGAGCCACTGAAGAAGGTAGAGAGATTCCGCGAGAGTCAGCAGGGCACTACATCAACCGTGTGCGCAATCTCATCTTGCATGCCATGCTCATGCCCGTCAAGCTTGCGGTATGCGAGCCACTCATACTCGCCTGCTCATTCTTCTTTTCACTCCTCTATGGCATCGTGAGTCCTGATGGACGGTCGCCGCATACTGACTGACCGAACGAGCAGATTTATGGCCTTTTCGCAGGCTTGCCATACGTCTTCGAGGTCACCCACGGTTGGAAGCAGGACATTGCAGGTCTGCCCTACATTGCGCTCGGTATAGGCTTTCTGGCCGGCGCGCTTGCCATCAGAATCCCGGGAGAGATTATGTTCGGACGTGAAGTCAAGCGAGTCGGAGGCCCGCCTCCGCCGGAGGCTAGGCTGAAGATACTCACTTATGTCGTCCCATTGACTCCGATCAGCCTCTTCATTTTCGGCTTCACAACCTACACAAACATACACTGGTTTCCGATGATGATCGGTCTGGCCTTGTTTTCGTTCAGCACGATCATCGTATTCGTGAGCCTGATCCCGTATCTGCTCGCTTCGTATCAATCCAACGCTGCAGATGCACTCGCAATCGGTCGGTCGGTTTCTATCTGTCCCGTGAGCTTTGCTGACGAGGCCTCCCTCAGCGACATTCTCGCGATCCTGCTTCGCAGCAGCCTTCCCACTGTTCATGTTCCAAGCCTTCGAAACTCTCTCTCCTGCAGTATGCTTCTTCAGATCGCTTTTCTGACCTGGCTGACATGGTGCGACAGGGTGCATGCGGCCTTCTGGCCGGCGTGTCTATTGTGCTCGTGCCACTGCCCTGGCTTCTCATGGCTAGAGGACCTGCCATTCGTGCACGTTCGCGCTACGCTGTCGGCTGATCATTGCATGATGTATACTTCTTCGAGTACATGCTAGTCGTTGCGACCATCTGCATTACGGCACCAACAGTTCCTCAAGTCCTTTGCGCACGTTTGGCGGAATGTCCGTCGGCCGACGAGAGACAGGATCACAAAAGACATGCGTGAGCTCTCCAAAGGCAGCTGCTTGTTCGCCTTCGAGTTCAAGCGACACTTTGCCCACCCGATCTTGCTCTGATTTCGCCAACGCGCCGGATTGACCTGTTTGCGAGGCGGCGCGTGCGGGAAAGAGTGCTACACGGTATCGAACGCTTGAGCGACCGATCTTGTCGACGCTGAGAGCGGCCATGAAGGGCGATGGAAAAGCCAGACTGGAAAGATAGGTTGTGCTCGAGGAGATGATGAGGCCGATTGGCTTGTCTGTTGATGTTGGCGTTTGGCCACATCGCGCGATCAGATACTGGTTGATCAGACTGTCAAAGTAGAAGCTGTACTGTGCGCTGCAGCTCTGTGGTTGAGCGCATGACGACACACATCCGCCGCATGCACCCACTTGTTCATATGCCCACTGCGCGCTTCGTCAACGCGTCGAGACACACAGCTTGGCAGCGAACGTACTACATATCGTTATCTGCCCATCTGGACTGGAAGGGGAGCCAGTATCTGTAGTACTTTGCGTTCGCTTCTGGCTCTTGCCTCGGAGGCTTGCTCGTCGATGCATGACGTGCACCAGCTGAAGAGACCGTCGGCGAGAGTGAGATGGCTGATGGAGATGCGACCGGTGACAGGTGGGATCTGAATGCCGACAATCTGCTGCCTGGCCCGCTCATTCTTGCTTCACTGAGGGCGGACGAACCGACGAACGCGTGCCATCGCTGTGAGCCCAGGCGAAATAGCGAACCGGCAGGAACCAGTGCCGACACCTGCTGACGCCAGCACCTGAGCAGGTGACCTCGAGGGATCTCTCGGGTACAGGACCTTGCGGGATTAAGGCTCCGAACGACGCTGCTTGGCGTGACAGTCAATCTGCCAAGCGTTAGTCTCGCGGCATTGCTACAAAGCTGCTCGTGCGCACTCGCACTCTGACTACGCTGAACCTCGCCTCTGCAACTCGATACAACTAGCATTGACACCGGTCTAGCCCAACACGAGCGACTGCGGCAAGTATGACGACTACCAACGCAAGCGGCGCGGGCATGCACGCCATACCGCTCATCTACCCTGCCCTCCACCTTCAGCCTCTCAACGATACCTTTGTGCCCAAACAGATCTCACTCGTACCCGTCGGAGCAAAGGTCAAGATCGGCAGACAGACGAACGCGAAGACGATACCCAATCCGACGAATGGCTACTTTGATTCCAAAGTCCTCTCACGTATGCACGCCGAAGTCTGGTGTGAAGACGACACGGCAAGCTTCAAGTGAGCGCGCCATGCAAGCGCTAATACGCTCAGCAGGTCTTCATCAAGGACGTCAAGTCATCCAATGGCACTTTCATCAACGGCGAACGACTGTCTGCCGAGGCAGTCGAGAGCGAGGTCTTCAAGCTCAGGAGCGAGGATATAGTGGTCCGTTTGATGGCTTGAGAAGCGGTCCTCTTGGCTCTAAACCTGCATTCTGTGGACAGGAATTCGGTATCGATATCGTGTCAGACGACAACAAGACGATTGTGCATCACAAGGTTGCAACGAAGATTTACATTGCCATTACGTCCGAAGACGCTCTACATCTCTCACAGTATGTCTTGCTGTCTGCCGATTGCCCTGGCTGACACCTCATGCAGGACACTGCCTGCTATCTATCGAGCAAATGAGATCAATCTGGGCAGACGATACACAAAAGGCGGCGTTGCCAACACTGGCCTGAGCTACGATCACGTCCTACACCGCTTACAAGTAGGTGCAGCAGCCTGATCGGATACCCATACTAAGTCGCATACAGAATGAGCTGCAAAAGTCGCGCGAAACGGGCTCAGATCTTGGCAACCTGGCAGGCCAGATGAACGAGATACAGGACTCTCTAGGCGGTCATTTGCCGCCTACACATGCAGTGTCCGGTCGACTGCCCAATGGGGTCGGTGCAGCGCCTGCTGGCGCTGACGAGGGAGCCAAAGACGGTCCGCATGCAAGCACGATTGCTGCATTGCAAAACCAGCTATCCGAGACTCAGTCATCTCTGGCCTCGCACATTGTCAAGTTCAACAGCCTTGAATATGTCTTGACTGAGCACGAAGCGATGAAGAACGACTTTAACAGTCTACGCGAGCAGATGGGTCAAGCGCGACGGGAGCTCGGCCTCGCGGCAGATGCGCCCCAGAACAACGGCGACAGTAATCTACTGAATGGGTCTCGCTCGTCAGATGATGATGACGCGAGTAGCATTGCATCAGATGATACAGTCATCGAAAGTCAGCCTACGCCGAATCGAGTTAGATCGATCGTCAACGGCATTGCGACCCACGGCGCACCCGAGCTAGTCGAGCAGAACGCTGCTCTGACGAACCGGATGAACAGCCTGACGTCCGACCTCGAGTCTGCCACTGCCATGTCGCAGGCACTACGGTCAGAGCACGCGCAAGCGCTAGAGACCGTTCGCACGCTCGAAGAACGTGTGCAAGATCTCGAGAAAGCCGTCAAAGCAAAGTCACGCGCAGAAGAGACCAGCAAAGCCTACCCGCCCAGTATAGAAGCCTGGAAATCCGCGTTTGAGGATGCGTGGCGCAAAGAACGCTTGTCGTGGGAAGAGGAGCGAAGACAGCTTAGAGCCATCATCAAACAGTGGGAGGACGAGCATGGCGCGTCTGCTTCGAGCGGATCTGAGGCAGAAGAGACTGAAGAGACGCCAACGCTACGCAAGACGCCCAGCCAGAGCGGGAAGAGTTCTCCTGCGGCGAGTAGTAAGAAGTCGAAGAAACGCCGGAAGGCACCATCGAAAACATTGGTCGAGTCTGTCAATGAATTCACCGCTAGCGCAGCGACTGGCACGGGCGAAAAGGCGACAAGATCGAGGAGGTATGATGATAAGGATCTTACGATGACCGCAAGGCATAGACTGCCCGATAGCCAACCGCCGGACAAATCATCTCGGACGGGGCTACCTCCCACAGGGCTTCCGTCCAATGCTGCTGTACGCTGGCTTCTTCCTCCAGGCTCGGAAGCGCTGATGACGGGTGCCGGACAGACCGTCCCCATGATCAGTGCTACCGGCATCGTCCTCATCGGTGTCGCAGCTTGGCTGTACGTGAACAAGGATACCTGATCGCTCAGCTGTTGTACTGTATACGTCCTCTGCATGCCGTACAACATCATTGGGAGACGGGTGGCAGGAGAGCATTGATCATGTCTTGCGAGAGCACTTCGCGCGCGACGGGACCGTACTCTTGCACGATGATCTGACTAAGCAACCGGTCTTTCTCGGTCTCCAGATGATCGGCTTCTGCAGCATAGGCATCCAGCTGGCTCAGTAATATCTCGGTCTGTCTGATGAGGTAGCGGTGTTTCGCAAGGGCGATGAGGTATGCCGTCAGAGCGGGCGAAGGCTTGTCGGGTATAGGCATCGGTCGGGGCTCCTTACTCCTGACGGTAGTATGGGATGCGGTAAGACTACCGACTGCCGTTTTACGCGTCTGTGCTGCTCTGTCTGAATGGGTCTGAAAGAGTTCGACGGGTGGGGGCAACATGGATTGCATGATCTGCTCAGTCGACATGTCGCGCTGCTCTTTGGTATAGTTGTGCAGTGCGTTGAGATGCTTGGAGAGCGCGTCTGTACGTGTGAAGGTCTTGTCGCAATCTGTCTGTCACGTTCAGCCTGACGACTCGCATGAGCAAGCAAGCGCGTCCGACTGACCTGGTAAGGGACAGATATGAGGTCGTTCGCCCGTATGACTGCGTATATGCGCGAGCAGAGCAAAGCGACTGGACTGCGTCTTGCCCAACCGCGCGCACTTGTTCCAGTGACAGGTGTAGTCTGCCTTTTGCGGCATGACATGCACTGTCCGTGCACTCGAGCGTGAGCTTGCAAAGTCACTCGTCGGTCACAAGTCACCTTGATGGATGTGCTTGATGAGGTCTTCGACCATCCAGTGCTGAGAAGTACAGAGCTCGCCCGGCTGGACGGTCCACTCGCAGTGAGCCAACGGTGTCTCATCTTGCTGATCCTCCTCTTCCTCGTCATCCTCTTCCACAGCGGCTGCCACTTTCTTGCCCTTCTTGTTCGCTGGTGCAGATGGCGCAAGCGTTGGATGAGCTATCGGCGGCGTGGCTTGTGACGGGAGAGCTGAAGTCGAGGTCATCCGTGGCAAGTTCAGTAGCGATTAGTCGATTAGCGGCCGGCTCGCGTGCAAGGACTTGACCAAGTGCTCGACGACGACCGACCAAGCTCATCAAGATGGGCGGCCGCAAGAAAGGCAAAGTAGGTCAGGCAGATGAGTATTGCAAGCTTGCACTGACTGTCAAGCACCTACGTAGGGCAAGACCGACGACGGCTGGGCGCCTAGGGACGACAGAACAGGCGAAATTGTGACTTCCAATGCAAAGATGGAGGCCTACTACAAGGCTCGTCTCGCCAGCTCATCAAGCAAAGCGAACGAGCTCACGCTATGCCCGGGAATGGCAGGCTCAGCACATCCTCGCCAGCGAGGAAGAGCACGAGACGATGTACGCAGCGTTCAGGAGAGATTTGCCAACGACTTTTCGTGTCAATGGATCGAGGCCGTCCGTTGCTTTTACGCGAACAGGCAAGCCTTCCTGATGGAGGATTGTCGAGACAGACTCGCCCAAGACTTGCAAGAGACGATCAAGACAGAATATGTGCCTTTCCTAAACGCGATCAAGCTCGAGAGTGAAGTGACGCCCTCGCTTGAGCCTGTCACTTGGCAAGTCGCTTCCACGAGCGTGTACGCCCGCTCATTGGATCGGGGTCGTGCAGGTATCCCAAACACTATGCCTGGTCTATCAAGATCGCCCGCAAATTGCTACGCAAGACGCCAGAGTACAAGAAATTTCAGCATTTCCTCGTGTACGAGACCGAGGCGGGCAATATCACACGTCAAGAAGCCGTCAGCATGATTCCGCCTCTCTTCCTCGACGTGCGCAAGTCAGATTGGGTTCTTGACGCATGTGCCGCGCCGGGAAGCAAAACATCGCAGATACTAGAAGCGCTATCGGGCTCAGATGCTCCATCTGGGTCCAAAGAGGGCTTACTGGTGGCCAATGACAGCGATGCAAAGCGATGCCATATGCTCATCCATCAGACGCTCCATCGACTTGGCTTCCCCAGCTGCATGATTGTCAACAATGACGCCAGACACTTGCCGACGTTCTGGCTGCCCTCTGAGCCTGGTAGCGCGAAAGCAAAGCAACCGCTGCTTTACGATCGTATCCTCTGCGATGTTCCTTGCTCTGGCGATGGGACGTTGCGCAAGAACGTTGCGATCTGGTCAAAATGGAGTCCTTCTGATGCCATCGGCCTGCATGCGTGGGTGTATCTGTCGAATCATGCGTATATTAGAGCTGATGTGAATCCACAGAATGCAATTGAGGATTCTTGAGAGATGCATTCAGCTGCTCAAGCCGGGAGGTCGACTCGTCTACTCCACCTGCTCGATGAATCCGATAGAGAATGAGGCCGTCGTCGGGGCCGCCCTCGCTGCGAACAGGAGTCCGCACAGAGACTCAGATCATACAATGTGCTAACAGACGTGCAGATCTGCACCTGGTCGACGCGAGCAGTCACCTACCGGAACTGAAGAGATCGCCAGGTCTAACGACTTGGCGCGTACTCGACAAGAACATGCATGAGCATCCTACTGCGTCCCCTTCCCTACCCTTTCTACCGCAAACGATGTGGCCAACAGGAGAGGCGCTCGATCTCGAACGCTGCATGCGATTCTATCCCCATGTGCAAGACACTGGCGCATTCTTTGTCGCCGTGCTCGAGAAGATCGCAAAAGAAGTTCCGCTCCCCGTTGCAACCGCGCAAGAGAATGCGCCGGCTAAGCGAAAGCCCAGTCAGGAGCCTGTCGAACGCGCGCCGGCGCCGAAGAAAGTCAAGGGCGGCAGAGGTGTTCTCAAGGAAGAGCCTTTCAACTATGTGCAGACAGATCACCCTGCCTTGGGGTCGCTCAAGCATGTTTCCTCGTACGCTCTGACGAGCGTGGCTGACAGTCTTGCAGGTCTTTCCTCGGTATCAGAGAGGATTTCCCCATGCAAAATCTGCTCGTGCGGAACGCGACCGGAGAACCTCAAAGGACGCTCACGCTCACTTCCAATATCATCAGGACTATCTTGACGCACAACAGCCCAGAGACATTGCGACTCAAGTCTTGCGGAGTGCGTCTGCTGTCGCGAACAGAGTCGAGCAAGCTCAAAGACTACAAGTCGATGTGGCGATTCACTACAGAGGGCATCGACGTCTTGCGTCCTTATCTGACAGCTGAGCGAATCGTCACTGGCACGATAGACGACCTTCGCACGCTCATCGGACCAGAGCCGAGTCCTACTCTGTCCGCATTGAACGATAGCGCGCTCGCAAGGGCATTAGATCCGCTTGAGCCCGGCACACTCCTCTTGCTCGCTGACATTCCGCGCAAAGCTCAGCAGCTCGCGCTGCCAATGTGGCTAGCACGAGTCTCATGCAACCTCCTACTCGACAAGACCGATCGCAGTGCGCTTAGTCTTAGGCTCTTTGGCGAGGATCTCAGCCCTAAATAGGTAATTGGCTCGAGGGTGACAGAAGCGGATGATGGGGAGGACGAGGCCGTCGATGCTGTTGTAGCCTGAAACTGCACGTTGTGTGCGTCTGGCTTGCGCCACGGTCGTCTCAGCCAATAAAATGTTCCGCCTGGATATACAGGGCACGCGAGAGAACAAGCTGTGTAAAGATGAGGTTTATATAGCGCAAGTCGGTCACCCCGCAATCGCGCGTGTGGTGCAGCGGGTGAGTTGACGCGTTCACCCTATGCCGCACGAAATTAATATCCTTCTCGCAGCAGCATGCATCTTTCGGGTTAACGCTCGCTCCGAACGGAGTATATAGATGAGGTCCCAGATTCGAATTCTGGCTCGCGCCCTCTTTTTTGCTGGCCTGGAAGCCTGCAATATACGCATCTGTTGCTTTTTCCTGAGCTTTCTTACCTGGCCACCCTCGGTCACCCGTCGCACTGAAGTTCATGTGTGATCACAATTTCAGTGCGCACCTTTGCAACGCCGCAGAACATACATTTGCCAACACACAGCCCATAGCAGAGAGGTCTGCCATCTGAATCAGATCGCCAGCAAAGCTCCGGCATGACGAGGATCCTTTTACTGAAATCTTGCTTCAGCTTTACATAGCGAACTGTGTGCCGAAAGGACGGACCGTCTTCTCGGGCTACATCTTTGGCGTTTGCATGGATCTCATGGACGTAGTTCATGGACGAGATTTGCTCATGCTGTCTTCAAGGTCGCCAAAGGGAAAAGCCATGTATTGGAGATCATCGATTCGAAAGAAGCCTTGGAATTGCTTCTTCGGAATGTGATGACCAAGCATGGGAAGGCAAAGTACCCAGCCATGGCAGAGGTCGTGCATCGTCAGCGAGCTCCAGGGTCGACCGTCTTCTTTCACGGGATACTGAGGATTGGAAGAACGCCAATTCTCATAGCGTGTGTACTGCTCCTTGATGTCTGCATGCTGCAGTTTAGCAAGCTACAGAAGAGCAAGCGACCTACAAAATGCGCAGTGGATCAGCATCGACTGTACCGTAGGTCCTGTGTGATCCGCTGTGAAATAGTCAGCTTTGTTCGCAGTATGTCTGTCAGTGCCAACCTGCGGGCCAGGCACCATGGCCCATGAGATAGAACAGCGACTTGAAATCAGACAGCTCGAGGATGTCGCGATGGAGATAGCCCATGCCGATGATGACGAGCTCTTCAGTGACCCAAGGAGTCATCGCGAGTGTTCCTCTCATATCGTCAGTGATGGGTACCGTCAAGTCCTTTGCAGCCCCTTTGAAGCGCTTGAGGCCAGCCATGGAAGCTGTGACATCGACGAAGGGATAATACTTGGGGAACCTCATGAATGCTACATTTCGCCTCTGTGTGTATGGGATGCCCTCTGGTGTAGTCTGGTAGGGACCGTGTGGGTGAGGCGATGGAGGGAACCACCCAACATTGACGTCTTCCAGGCGAGTGCCGAGATACGTCATATCACTGACCTGCAGCCTTGTGCTTGTTGTCATGTTGCTAAAAGATGTCTGCTGATGGGTAGCAGCGAGCAAATGGATAGTTGCGAGAGGTCTCAGGGGTGACTGTGGACGGCGGTGTCGATCAGAAACAGCGTCTGCTTGGCCACGCGAAGTTTAAGCACGACAATCGACGGATACAGTAGTGAGTGCTGGCGTGTGTGCGCGAGCATCACGCTCAGTGTGGACTTGCGTAGATGGCATAGAATGAGAGCCGGGGTGCAAGGCATCATTGAAGGCGCGACAACGTCGAAAAATAGCAGGCAAACGCGCTCCTTAGCGGTACAGACTCTACTGATGTGCATGATCGTACGACAACACATGGCTGATATATCGTCACATAATTACCGAAGATGTCGGTGCTCGCGAGAGTCGCTGAGCTGACGTCTCGGACCTTCGGCTCTTCTCAGAACGCGTCCATCCTGACTTTGATCTTGTGCTTTCTGCCGAAGGCGTTTGAGATCCTTGCGCACTTGTGCGGCGAGCTGCTTGACGAGCACGGCTGGGTCATCCGATGCAATTCGCTGAATGACGCCGTGCATCTCCAGTAATGGCGCAGGCGGATGCTGCTCTTCGAGGCAAGACTCGCAGGCTGTTCGAACCAGCCGAAGCATACCGAGCCTCACAACGGCACGTCGATGTTCCGACAGGCGAAGGCAGACGGCGCGCGAGAATCTGCCTCGACTGAACAATCTCAGCGTGAGCGCGGCTGAGATTCGCATAACACGATGGAGGGGCTCGATGAGACTTTCGTATGGTCCCGCCTTGTCTGAAAAGCTGATGACGAGCTTCTCGAGAGCATCGTCGGCCAATAGCGCCTTTTGCACAGGCTTTGTATCTTCCCGTAGCCTGACGTCGAGGTCAGCACCCGGTGGAAAGACTGGCTGGAAAGCGTACCACGTGGCAATGCTTTCCATGGCTTGGCGTGCCCAGTACGAGTCGCTTAGCAGGGTGAGATAAGTTGCGAGAGTGCTGTGCTGCCCGAGCAATGATCGACACCGCGCAGACGTATGCGCAAAATCGCAAAGGACAGGGATGGCGAACTGGCGCAAAGGTGAGCGGCTCGCGACAACGTTCTGCAGCAGCGGTATGATGCCAGCGACGGCAGCTTCCTCTTGGCGAGCAACAGACAGTCTGCAAAGGTTGTAGAGACTATTGATGATTGGGCCGGCAACGCCCTGCGGCGGATGTTGCGCCTTGCTTGATCGGCCAAGTATAGCGACGAGCTTGTCACAAGCGCCTGCTGCTTGCAGCAGATCCAACGAAGTTGGTATCGCGCTGATATTTTGCATCGTCTTCAGCGCTGGTAAGATGTCTGCCGCAGGCAGCGAGTCGAGCGCATTCGTCAATGCTGGTGTATGCATGAATTGAGCGCAGCTTGAGAGACGAGACAAGATTATGACTTACCCGTCAGAAGTCGTGGCTCTATCATCGATGTCTTGAGTCGCGTATCACAAAGAGAGAAGGTCTGTAGCATCTCCAAGGTCTGCCGACGCGCATTAAAGGCGAACAAAGTGGCGTCAGTCTGACAAGTCTCGAGGACTTGTGCTAGCGACTCGAAGATGCCTTCAAATGCCAGAATCTGGCAGAGATCGCGCCGGTAGGTTGAGGTCTGCTGCAGAGTCAGATGCGCAAAATATGTGCCAGATGTCTTACCTGTTGATGCAGGATGCGATGCAGGCCATCTACTGCTAGCCAAGCAATATCCTTGCTTTCGCTGCCGGCCGCGCCGAGCATCTCGACCAGACACCTCATACCACCGGATGCGACAAGCGCAGAAATGACAGCAGACGACGAGGACTGGCACATTGCGCTGACAAAGATGGCGGCTTCCTGCCGAAGCTCATCGACTTGTCGACTGCTGCTAAGTGGAAGAATCTTCGAGCACGCGCCAAGGTGACAGAATGACGCGAACACTGCTTGATCGTCGGACACGATCGTATTGATAAGACGCAAGAGAAGAGCGATCAGGCTTGTGTCCTGCAGGCGCGAGATGCCCTCGAGCGCGTAGAGCAGCCCATGGGATTTGATGAAATGCTCGCGAGACTGTGGATTCGCGGCAAAGAGATCGATCTATCGGATCTTCAGCAACATCACCATCTGTGTAGTAACGGACGCACCAGTGAAGTGCAGCTCTGTCTACAGGCTGAGTGTTCGCTGTTCGATAGGGCATCGCCGAGCATGGAAACCAAGGCATTGACGCGCGCGTCATCACGCTCATTTGCAAGCGTAGCTGTATCGACTTCAGAAGCGCCATCTTCGAGATCGGCAAAGACATCTTCATCGTCGTCCAGGTCGCTAGCTGAGAGCCAGACCCTGCCTGAAGACCGTTCATGTAATTGCAGAGAATTGGCTCGTGAAGCATCAGACAAATCAGTCGGCGGCTGCCCAAGGTCGGAGAAGTCGTCATCAGCAGATTCCACAAATTTACTGATCGCTAAGATTGGCGTCCGGACAGGCTGCTCGCTCGTTGCAGGTGGCAAAATATCCCTTGGATGCAAGACCGGCTTTGCCCCCGCCTTTTGCTTGAGCTGCGTCAACTTCAGCGCGGCTTGTACACATCAACACCGAACTACCTTGAACTTTCGGATCTTTCCTGCAAAAGGATCGGCTTCACTATCCGATAATATACCAGAGTAATCCTCAATCGCTTTGTCATTGCGCTTCATGTTCGCATCGGATTGCGAAGCTTTTGGCCTTGGTCTGGCGGATCGCGCGAGCGGGCTTAGCAAAGGTAATGCAGCAGACGGTCCGTTCTCGAAATCTGCGTTCCAATCGCCAGAGTCGGCGTCATGATGCTTTGAGAGCGATTTTATAGGGGCAGAAGGGGGAAGTGCTGCTGCCGTTTTGCTCGTCGCACGAATGCGAGACCCCAAGATCTGAGCGACCTGTGACGACGGCTCTCGTCTACTCAACGTGCTGACCGGTACTGCTGCTGTTGCTACGGCCTTGGCTCTCGCGCCGGCGCTTGCATTGCTTTGTGCGAGCCAGCTGTGCCTGAGCAGTCGCTTCGCGTCAACACGAATGTTGGGATCTTTGCGAAAGCACTGCATGAGGAAATCGATCGCTGCATGAGATAGTCCATCTGGAAGTGGGGGCGCATCATCGCTGACGATGCGAAACATGGCGGGTAGAGGGTCAAGATTCCAATATGGCGGTTTGCCGGTCAAGAGCTCGACGACAACGCAGCCGAGAGACCAGATATCGGATGCTGTAGATGCGCCAGTCTGATCGATGACCTCCGGAGCCACTTTTCGTTGTGTGTCAGCAACGTTCAGATGCAAGGATGCTCGGCGTACTCCAGTAAGGCGAGCCCACAACGCTAGACTGCATACTGCCGCCGACGCGTGTAGCAACGCCAAAGTCGGCCAGCTTGGCCTTGCCGTCTTTGTTTGCCAGGATGTTGGACGCTTTGATGTCTCTGTGGATGACGCCTTGCTCATGCAGGTACAATAAGCCGTCGAGAACTGGGCGTCGCGTGAGCGCCGCGAGGCGGCACTAGTCAATGGCGTACCTTGTGCGACGTAGACTGCGACAAGCCGTTCAGTGAACAAGCCGAATTTCTTGCAAGTTGTGTAAAGCGAGCCATTCTCGCAATACTCGAGGATGATGTAGAGCGAATGCTCTGTCTTGACGAAACCGCGATATTGAACAATGGCGGGATGGTTGAGCGCCTTGAGCAAGTCTATCTCTGCCTGTCGCCCGTGCTTGAGCTATGGACGTGTCACTGACTGTCAGCCAGCTTACCAGCACTTCTGGCAACTCCGCTTTCGAGAAACGGCCAAGGGAGATCTGATGCGAGTTCAGCTCGCAAGTGTGGACTAGCCTGCGCTGCACTGACTTGCTTGATAGCGACCGTCTCACCGGTAGTCCAACAGAGGGCTCTATAGACCGACCCGAAGGCACCTTTGCCCAGGATCTCGCCAAAACTCTAGACAAAGGCAAATGAGCTGTCAGCCGACTTGACCATGTTGCAGCGCACATAATCTGGCAGAGCTTCTTTCTCGACCGATGTCGACATCACTGAGCGTCTCTTGAAGCATGGATGTTTGTATCTGCCCCGTCAAGTGCGAGGGGCACACGCTACGATTCGACGGTTCGACACACGCGACGTGCTGTTTACGAGCTCACGCGCATAAGGTCAAAGGCGCCTCGTAATTGAATCATGCATTCTACTCGATGGCGCATCTCTGCGCTTTTGATTGTCTGCTTCTCGCTGGCTTCAGTGTCTATGCTTGCGTGTAGGTAGCAACATTGGCACCGGGAAGTGTCAAACGGAAGACAAAGACTATCAATAAAATCAGTCAGCCATGGTCGCTCTGAGACATGACAGTGGGCTAACCTTGAGTCGGCACATCTGAGCCATATGGGTCCTGGTAGGGTACGCCACCACTTGTGCCGTTCGTAGTGATAAAGTCGTTGTCGCTGGCCGTGAAGAGGAAATAGTCGTCCGGGTAGGCAGGGTCGAGTACAGAGACAAGCGAGAGAGACTCCCATTTGCCATCAATCTGCGCTGGGCTCGTCGTTGCTCCGTTGTTGAGGCCAAAGCGTGCCAATTGCGTGCCGTTGATATAAGTCGTGAAGGCTTGGTAAGTCGCTGGCGTGATCGCGGAGCTCAGAACACCGCCCGGTGCAGCCGGTGTAGCCGGCGAGTCATACGCCGTGTTGGCGATATTGGTAGCTCCAGCGGTCGACATGAGGTCGGCAGACTTGTACTTCGATGGTCCTGTATCACCGTCGCCATTGCCATCGCGCGCAAGCACAAGGAAAGTGTTCGGAGCGACGTATGCTACTTCACTGGCGGCATAGACCTTGCCCTTACTGCTCGTCGGTAGAGGCACGATATACTCCTCGACAAGGGCAGGCTTGTTTACGTTGGCGATGTTGTAGCCCAGCAAGCGCGTGTAGCGCCCCTTGGTATTCGACGAGCCACCATCTTGTACCGTAGCGCTCTGCAACAAGGTATATAGCATGGTGTTATCAGGCGTGATCGTCAGGCCCTCGAAGCCTTGGTTGGCTACTCGGCCGGTAGTAGGATCGACCAGAGCGGTGAAGTTGACCTTGCCATTTTGCATGGGAACGATGGCAGCCGGTGGCAGGATTGCGCCCGTCAGCACTCCGGCAAGATTCACGTGATAGATTGCTGGACCATACTCGTCCGAGACCCAATGCGAACCGTCGCTTGCAAACGCGATGCCCTCAGAATCGAATGTAAGATTGCCATAAGGCAGATTGCTTGTGGCGATTGGCAGCTCAGGTACAGCGCCAAAGGCTGGGCGTATGCCATTGGGATCGAGGCCCGTCGTCAGACGGGGCGAAACTTCCCTGTCTTGGTACTCTTGTCCGCCGAGATAGTTGAGCGGCAACGAAGTTCCGCCTTGGGCCAAAGTCTGATTGGCGGTAGCGTAGTATGGCGTAAAGACGAAGCTGAATGCTTGGACACGGGCAGGGTAGGCAACGGTACCTTGCGTGTTGTGCCCTCTGTCGGGCTGCATGAGCAAGGCACCGGCATAGCGATTGCCGGACCGTCTGAAGGACTTGGGGCTGATTGCAATGGCGCTGCCGAGGCCTCCGAGCGTGTCCCCAAACTGATCAAGAGCCGACGCAGATATGCTACCATAGCCTACCAGTCCCTTATTGACATACGTAACACCGTTGAACGTGACCGAGTAAGCCAGAGATGGGTCAGGCTGAGGCAAAGTCGCGGCCGGAGCAGAAGCGGCAAGGCCGGCAGCGGCAAGCACGAATCCAAGGGCGAGCATTTTGCGCAGAGGCTCGCGGACTCAACGCAGTGGCGACCGTCATGCTTATATCCTGACTGGCAGAGGCAAGAACGTTCGTAACCTGGAGAGGTCTCTCACACAATTTGAGATCGAGAGGTTAGTCTCACGTGGCATGTTGATATCACGCGCTCGGCCAAAAACACAATGTCACGCGCGAAGACAAATCACCGAACAGCCTACTCGCATCTGACGACGCTGGCGCACAGACGCGAAGATGCGCATCAAGCGCGAGTCTACGTCTATGCCAGCCGGCATGACGACTCTGACTGGCGGCAAGCTGAAGCGACGGGCAATCTTTTGTGATGTGGTGTGCGAGGGCATGACACAGGACGGCGCGGGATGGACTGTACCTGAGCGTACAGCTCATTTCCTGCAGCAGCTCGGGGATCCCTTGCCAGCCTTCAGTCCGTCAGATGCATTTGCTTCAACCGCGCTGGCCTCTCAGCCTTCGTTCCTGGCGCCGAGTACAAGACCCCACAACCCTGCTGAGCTGGAGAACCGACTTCGAGAGCTTGTTGAGACCGAATTCAACTATGTTCGCAGGCTCAAAGCGCTCATACAGGTATGCTTCGAGACGTACACATCCACACAAGGGTTTTGAGGCTTGGACACTATTCAGGATTATGCGAGACCGCTTCGAGATTTCGCAAAGCACAAGGAGAAAGCAATTATACCGCTATACGAGGCAAAGATGCTTTTCGGCAACATCGACGTTATCTTAGCAGCGAACGAAGGCTTTCTTCAGGACCTTGAGCGTGTCATGCTGTCCAAGCGGCGCGGAGGATTGGGCGTCGTCATCTGGGAGCATGTGGGTGTCAGTCTTCCGAGCTCTGCACATGCTGACGAGGTGCAGCTGACTGCATTTGCGGATGTACACGTCTATCCAACTTATCTCTCAGGCTACGAGAAGGCAAAGGAGATTGAAAGCCAGATGTCGAGCAAGCGCGGGTTCGTCGACTTTGTCGAGGTAAGTAGCCCATTACATTCGATACTAGAACTTGAGACCGCCGCAGCGAACGAAATACTCTACCGAAGGCATAGGAAATATCGGTCTTCGCGAGCTATTGATGGAGCCCGTCCAGCGCGTCACGAGATACATCCTCATGCTCGAGGGCATTCTGGGCGCCCTGCCTGCGGACGATTCGGAAAATCGCGACTACCTGCTCGAAGCGCATGCTGTTGCAAGTCAAATGGCTAGGTGCGAGGCAGACGAGCCCGAGCGATGCGCGGCTGCAATGTGGGGCCTCGAACGCGCCATCGAAGGCTTTCCCGCCAATATGATCAGCAGCAGTCGTTATTTCGTCGACTGTCTAGACGTCATGGATTCTCCGAGGGCAGCCAATGGATCAAACTCTCCCGCCAGCGCTGCGAGCCGTAAAGCTAACGCGCTCAACTGCACTCTGTTTCTGTTCTCGGACTGTCTTATGATTGCCAAGCGACCCTCCTCTTCTGGTCCCGATGGTCGCTCATTGGCTGGCCTCGAGAACATCGATCAACTCGCCAAGGTCATGAAGATGCATCGCTCGGGCTCACAAATCGCTTATTTGACGAAAGCCTACGAGCCGATGGGATCTACACCGACCAAGGTCAAAAAAGACTGCATGGGTTTCAAAGGCCTGATCAAACTCGAAGAGCTAATTGCTGCGGACGAAGGAGACGACGGTATGTCCCTTTCGTGACAATAGGCTTGTGTCATTGAGAGCTGTGGCAGAGATATCGCTGTGGTTACAGAATCCTCCTACGCTCTCGAGCGCAAAGTGGAGCGGTCGGCCATCACGATCATACATCGTTCGAGCAGCAAGCGATGCAGCTGAACGCAAGACCCGGTTCCTCGATCGCTTGTGGCAGATGCAAGCGAATATCAAGACAATCGAAGCGCGCTCAACCGCCATGGTCACGACGCTGGCTCATTTAGCAGGACCACCTGGACAGTCCGCAGATCAACACATTTCTGTCTACTGGAACTTATACGAAAAGCGTGCCTATCTGAGCGAGCCCATCAAGAGTCGACTCGTACTGCAAGTTGATCCGACCGGCGAGTCCGATAGCCTGTCGTTCGGTCGCCAGACCGGCCCAGCCATGATCGCACGAATCGCTTATCACGACGACTGTGAGTGTTCGATCGAGATACAATTAGCAAATCATGGCCTGCTTCATTCTGATCGAAGCGTGCGTTACGACTCGGCACCACATTCAGTTATAGCAACCGGTTCGTACCGTTAGTAAGCGCAGTCTCATGCTGATCATCGTTGCTAGCGCGAGATTGGGCTTTGTACGAAGGTGCGCTTCGATTGGATCAATCAGTCGCAGCATCCACCGCCACCAGTCCGAGCCCGAGCATGAAGCGACTGAGCGAAATAGATGTTCGGAAAGTCTTTAGCTCCCCAAGTGCGCCACAACGACGTAGCAAATCGATCATCAGCAAAGCCTCTTCGGCAGCGACAGATAGCTCTGCTGTTCGGTCCGAGGCAACCTCTGCCACAGCTGCCTCCTTTGCGACGTGTTCATCCATGTCAGCTTCTACATCTCAAACGAGCCTGCAATCATCAGCCCGCATCGGCGCAGTCGAGGAGCCTCGCAAACGACTCGACTCTGTATCGCCAACGCGCTCTCGTGCCAGCTCAACAGCCGACTATGAGCGGCGAGCTCTTCAAGACATTACAGGGCAGGAAGCGAGAGCCCTCAGTCTTCCTTGCGAAATGTCACCGCCTCGCCCGGCAAAACCAGAACCTTCACTCTCGCTATCACTCTCCAGAACACCAAGCAGGCGCGCACCCGGTGGTCCGAGAGGGCCGCGCCCCTTCGGCGCAGATAGCCCCAAATTGGCGGCTTGCACCATTTCACCTCGAGCAGACGACATACGCAAAGTCTCTGGCGGTATGAAGCGCGGTCTTTCGGAGTCGGCAGATATGACAGCGAGCAAACGAGCGCCATCTTGGTCTCGCGAGCCTTCAGACGATAGCGACGTACGAGAGGCACAGACGGACATTGCACCACGCGGCAGTGAGCAGCACGCCCAGCTAAATGTATGTTGCCTGGCATCGCTTTGTCTTCGTAAATCTGACAAGCCCATTCGGTCTTCTGTGCAGACCGCGTCTACGGATCGGGCTATTCAGGAAATACGCACCGAAGTGCATGCGCTACGCGGAAACCTTGCTCGCGAGCTCGCGCACAAAGAGGCGCAGGCGCGTGCTGGATCGCCGGGACTGCCTCGTTCGCCGCAAAGTCGCAACCTAGCGCGTGTCGGCAAAAGTGACGACAGTCGTGCCTTGGATCTGTCAGCTTTCAGTGAGAAGCTTCGACAGATCGAAGCAACATTAGACAGCTTACAATCACGACTCGAGCCTGCTCAAGATGATCCGATGCTGCGAGAAATCGATGAGTACAGGACCGCACTCGCCGATAGTCTGGAGCAAAACGCCAAATTACGAAGGAAGATGCGCGAGCTGGAGCAGGAGAAGGAAGCCCTATACGAAGTCTTCAATGAGGATTTGGATCGCTTGAGGCGAGAAAACGAGTAGGTCTGCTCGCCTCGACGGATACCATTGCTAATCGTGCATGCAGGCGTCTCAAACATAAATTAGCAAGCGACCCCCGATAAACGTATTGCAATGCTGGTCATGCATTACTCATACTGTCGTCCGACTGCTCCTTCGTCTTCATATTGAGCTTCTTGATGATGCTGAGTGATGATATCGACTGTGCTAGCCTCACTGGCCTGGCCTGCGCAGCTGGCCTGACGAGCTCATAGAACAATAAGAAGGGATTGGCCATAGTGACTTCACCAGCTGTCGCCGGACTGACGGTCTCGTCGCTGATGCGATACCATTCCGATTGCTCCTCTGAATTGGCCAATGTTGGTCGTCGCCGATATGAGATGTAATGGCCGTACGAATGCGAGCCATAGTGCTGCACGACAGAGGAGAGCCGATAAAGATGGCGTACGGGTTGTCTGCCAGCCGTCTGCTCCATTGAGGAAATGGGCCGATCTGGTCGGGTGCTCAAGATGCCGCCGGTAGAGAAAGGATCAAAATCGAGCAGCTCGCGAAATTCGACCTGGCAAGAATTCTTCACCGGATGGCCGGCGGCAGAATACATGGTTGAGCGGCTGAGATGGATGCAAAGCACTGGTGGACATCGAGCAAACATCGATTGCTTGCTTGCTGGCCCGATACCACCAATCTTGTCGATCTTGACAGCATCGTCAATATCTGCTTCGACGTTGCGATTGTCTATTGCGGACTGCAGCTTGTTGACGACCGAGCGGACATCGCGCAGACGTTTCTTCTTCGACACAGTCAAAGGTTCGCCATCCGGATTTGCCTGTGACATCCTCGTGAGCTGGCTCTGGTAGTGCTCGAGCGTGACGGCGAGGGTACATCGTCGACACCGAAACTCGTCTAGCAGCTCCAGACGAGTATAATCTGCCAGGCAAGCATCAAGAGTGCAAGCCACTCTGGGCGGTACATTGAGCGTGGTGTGATCTGAAGGTCCATGTCGGACTGCTTCGGTATAGCCACAGGTCATGCAAGAAATACGGTGAGCCATCAGGCCCGTGAACGGACTCCGGATCCGTCTCGCTTGGCTCTGGCTGTTCTCGAGTAAGGTCCCCAAGCCAGCCGAATCGACGACATCGCCGAGTCCAAGATCGATGCGAGCGGCGGCTTCGCAAGCTGCGAGCTCGTCCGAGACTGCCTCGATGAGCATGACAAGAAACTCTTGAGCATCCTGTTGCTCGTTGTTCATCAGACCCCTCCGAGCCTCTCGCGATTCGAACAGTGCGCGAGCGACCCGAACTGGCTTGAGTACACGCTGACTGGTCGAAGGTGCATTGAGCTCGCTGATGATGTCGAGCAGAGACTCGGCAACGGGAGTAGCCATCTCTAGCGAGCTTCCGAGGGAGCAGACACGCTCGAGATAGGCAGGCAAACTCGAGACGGAAGCCAGACACTGCAGGGTAGAATTGAGAAAGCAAGCATTGCCCCCTGCGCCATTGTACAGTCCTGCCGGGCGGAAGACTGCTCATACGCGCACGTCAGTATGTGCATGCAGAGTATGACGGCACGGGCTTGCCTGCGCCATAGGCTGCCGGCTCTTTGCCTTTGAGGCTCGTCGCGCGGCGGACAGAGCCTCTGACATGGCCATTGCCATTGGTATGCGAATCACCGTTGCCCGGCCGAAGCGGTTCGGCATCCCAGCTGAGATCATTGTCGGGTCTGCCAGGCTTGTCGAAGCCAAGACCGAGGGCAGCGAGTCTAGCTCGGGCAGACTCCATAACGCCCTACGCGGCCTGTCAGCGACTTGCGAGTGACGCTATCGTGAGCTTGGCAGACCTTGAGAGTGTCGTAGCAGTCGTATGCGATGAAGCGCAAGTCGGCCAAGCCGGTCTCCCTGTACCAGAGCACGGAACAGACGAGCAGGCCGATGGCGAGAAGTGCTTCAGTCAGTGAGCCTGAGCCGACGCCTGAGAACCAGCTCGTGTTGGGATGTTGTGTTGACCTGCTGTCTTGATCATGCCATGCCTGTCTGTCCCAATCTGACATGCTTCATGCCCGTCGCTGATGTCACTCAGCAGTTCCTCGTCCTCGTCGTCGTCGTCGTCGGCGTCGTCGTCAGTGGAAAGTCGAGATTCTAATTTTTGGCGGAGGCTTGTCTGCCCGAGGAGGGCATGGCCAGAGAGCCAGAACGACAGGCACTGGCGACTGCCCAGCTCGCCGTACTCCTCTCGCACTACCTGGCGACGGACAGTGCAGCAGGCTCGTCGGCTGATCTGATCGAGCAAGCGGTCTTGCAAGGACGGCTCATCGCCGCTGCTTCAGCAGAGGATCCCTCATTGGCAGAGCCAGTGCTGCAAAGGCAAGCACATGCAACCCTCGAGAGACTCTCGCAGGCCTTGATGCCGGCTGCTCAGATGGTCACTCCGGCTCACTTCGCTCCTGCAATCCTCGAGAGGCGCATCAGCACGAGCGCTAGGTCTCAAGCTCTGTGCGACTTCGGTTCGTCAGTCAGAGACCTTTCTACTCAGGCAAGGCAAGACGCTCTTGACGTCGTGCATGTCTGCCCTCACCGTCAGTCTCCTGTCCCGAGCTGGAGGAGCGACAGCTGTCTGATGGGCAGCGATAGGCGCGCGACACGGCACCTCAAGTACTCTCGGGGGCACTGCAGCTCTCACATCTCCTCTTTGAAGCTTCCAGACATCTTCAAGAGTTCTCTCGCGAAGTCACCAATGCTCCTGCAGTGCGCAAGCTCGCAGAAAGCGCCATCAAGTTGTCAAGCTCGACAGACGCGCACCCCTCTGTCGGTTTCTCAGCTTTGCATCCGATCGTAGGACTAAGACGTCTAGCAGGTCCGCATAGAAGCAGCAGAGACGGTCGCCAATCTGCTATCGAGACATGCTGCAGCGTTGCGACCCCTTGCGAATGATATCCAACAGACTGCAATACACCTCATCTGCTCGAGCGACGAAAGCCTGTCACCTGCCGGTTCCTTGCTGCTCGCAAAGCTTTACCTCACAGCATCGGCATCCGGCGCATCTAACGCGTGGCGTAAGACCGTTGAGGGTCTCGTGGCTTGCATCGAGGCGCTATTGCCCGGCATCGTGACGACGCTCAACGATTGCAAGTTGCATTTCTCGTAGAAGCGTACCTTGCTGACAAGGTCAGCTTGCAGACTCTGTTTACTATGCCATACAACCGTTAGCGATGCCTCTCGTGGAGCCTGACGCTGCCATTGCGTCTTCTGCCTTTGCGTTGCCCGAGGCAGGTCTCCTGCGCCTTGAGCGACTCATCCTCGCCTTGCGCACTATCTTCCGGTCAGTCACAATGCGCCTCGCATATGCCATACTCATGCAATCAGCAGCCAACCCACTCTGCTTGCCGTAGCGGTGCCTGTAGAGCCGCTCGTCAACCTCGTCTATCGGCTGCTTTCATATAACCTACAGACGCGCGTCAAGCCCAACAGCGATCCCGGCCTGCACGCTTTCGAGCTCGGTCTCCTCCCTCGATTGCACAGATCGGCTTGCGCTCTCCTCGCTCAGCTCAGCCTGGGCCTATCAAGCCATCTATGTCGCCATTCTGGTCGGCTTCTCACCACCCTCAGTCAGGTCGCCTCGACATACGCCATCGCAGCTCCTGGACGATCAATGCTCTATCGTACAGCTGATCTGTTGCTGTCTTCTTGTCCTGTCGATCCAGACGAATGCGCTCGATCGGGTTCCCACTTGCTCCGACTTGCTTTGCAAGATATTGCTGCCATGCGCTCACCGCCCGAAGCTGAGACCAAACCGGAGGTCAAAGTGAGTATTGCACTTTTGGTATAATGATCCTTGCATGCTGATGCTCGTTCAGGTGAACGGACATAGCAACAGCCGACAAGCAAAGCGAGCGAGACTCTTTGAGACCGATCAGACATTCAGTACAAAGCCGAAGAATATGCTGGAGAACGTCGCAAGCGCGGAAGCTGCCCTTCAAGGTAAGTCTTACGGTGCTGTCCAGTCGCAAGATCTGACAGTACTGCAGCGTGTAATGGCATCCTGACGTCTGTCGCCCTGCTGCTCGAGCCGAAAGTGTTGCACACGACCCTGCGTCTGCTCATCTCGCTCGTACTTCCGCCTTCCTTTCTAGCGATCACGCCCGTGCCCTCACCTGACGTGCAGTCAGCATACGACTGGGCTCTGGCACACTCGACCGGCTTGCGTCCCCTCATCTTGCAATGTCTCGTCACTTTGCTCCCGCTCGTCACGCGAGACCTGTCAGGCTATATCGATCATTTGACCAAGGTACTGCGAGCATGCGCCAATGCAAACGATCTAGAGCTCAGGCAGATCGCACTGAGCGGTCTGACCCGTCTCGAGCTCATTGTGCAGCCTCGATTGCCGCCCAGGCCTACGAACGAAGCTTCCGAGCTCATGCGAGCGGACCGATGGGGCGGCGAGCTCTCACAAGTAGACGATGACTTGGTGGTGGAGAAAGAAGCTGCTCCCATGCAGCCAAATCGACCAGCATACGTAGACTCAACGTCAGCTGCCGAGCCTGCAGCCCCCGTAAATCAATTTCAGAAGCAAGAAGCGACGCCGTTCGTTCTGTCTGCGGCAGTCACGTCTACTGCATTGCCGCGCACGCTTTACGGCAGATCGCTCGAGTCTACCACGCAGCAATTGGACCAGGATGAGCCTGCAAAAGCTGTCGAACTGGCCGAACAGGAGCCCGGCGATGCGACACTACTCGCGCCGACCGAGCCAGCATCGGCTGCAAGTAGCGTTGCACTCGGTAAACGTCGAGACCGATCACCTGTCGCTGCTCCGGCTGCCCTTGATGAGGACTCGGATGGTCCGATTCCAGAGATCTTCATGAGCGATGAAGATATGTCAGAGGCCGGCAGCCCGTGACAAAGGTTGCTCAGATATGGCTTAGATCCATCCGCATTGCATATGCGTCCTCGCCATCGGCATCTGTGTGCATGTCAGATGATGTCTGCCGGGATATGAAGAGCGAGACTTGCAGTATTTCTTTTCAATGTCGTGAACGGTGAAGCCGAGCGTATCGCGGTACAGGCCAAGTGCAGCTCTGTTGGTCTTGCGCACATGAAGGGACACCGACGTAGCGCCAAAGACGTCCTTCATTGCCTTTTCTGTGATTCGTATGACTAGTCAGCTTGGATGTCAGATCGAACCGACGGAGGGGGGCTCACGCGACAGAGTCATGAGCTTGTTTGCCAGACCGAGTCGACGGTAGGTTCGAAGGACAGAGATAGACGTCACATGTCCAGAGCATTCCTTTGCGTCGTCGTCGTTCCTGTCAAGATGTCGCATGAGCAGGCGCCTGCCCGCAGGAGGAAGAGCGCGTACATCTTTGCGAGTATGTAGCCAACGATCTTGCCCTGCTCGTCCTCTGCTACATACGACAGTTGCGGCCAAGTGAGAGCATGGAACAAGTCTGCAGCGCTGAGATCAACTGTGGAGGATGAACACAAGCCACGGGTGCACTTGCAATACTTGAGCTGGTAATTCTCTGGCAAGTTGGAAAGATTGCAATGGGCCATGCCGGGCAAGTCCTCGATCTGACAAAGCCACGTTAGCCGGAGCGTTTGATCAGCTATACACATCAGCACTGACTCGTGCGGGTCGGATATTCATGATGGCAACGAGACTGCAGCCCGGGCACTTGCTGCTGGTGGTGTAAGAGGAAAACTAGAATTCGCGCGGCGCTGATTTCAAATTTTGTGTGCAGGTCACTGTAAATCGATAAAGGCAACGTGCGACCGAAATTGCGATATCTCTAGCTCTGGTCAGGTCTGCAATCGCTATGCCATCGAGTTCGAGCTGACGAAGAGCCTTTTGCAGACGCGCAGGCATCCGTCGTCAGCATGTCAACGCAGCCCTTGCTCCAGAGAACCCAAAACAAGCGGATTGCGCTGCCAGTCCGAGTCGAGCCCAAGGTTCGCAGAGGCCCTGCTGTCTGCATCCTGTGCCGGTGTTGAATAGATACACAACACAGGTCTTCTTCGCTAACGAACGGACGTTCTTGTCATGGCTCAACTTCACCGTCGTGCTCGGCGGCCTTGCTATTGGTCTGCTCAACTTTGGTGACAAGGTAGGCCAGATCTCTGCCGGCCTCTTCACTATCGTCGGTGAGCTCTAGTACACACAGTCTCGTCGATGCAGAAGCTAACAGCTGGGGCGCGCATCTAGCAATGGCAGTCATGTGCTATGCGTTGGTCACATATCACTGGCGCGCTTCCGCTATCCGACGACGGGGCAGCGGACCCTATGACGACCGACTGGGGCCCACGGTGCTCTGTGTTGCGCTACTAGGTACCCGCTTCTCATCCAGAAGCCGAGAGGATAGCTAACTTTCGCTCTTGCTCGCGCTCAGCTGCCGTTATCGTCAACTTCGTGCTTCGTTTCACTGCCTGACGAGCAGACCGAGTCTCACTGAAGAGTCCTTGGACCGACTGTATACCCTACCCAAGACCATATGTGTCACGCATTGCATGCAACCGCATAGACGCGCTGCCTCTTTGATTTCGTTTCTCTCGTGGCTCGGATCTCTCATCAATGCCTCAACGATACATCCAGTACGATCTGCTTGACGTCTTTGCGACCGATGCAGGTCCATACTCTGGCAATCCGCTCGCCGTCTTCCACGACGGACAGGATCTGTCGACGGCGCAATGTCAGACACTCGCCCGTGAGCTCAATCTGTCCGAAGTGACATTTCCATCGAACGTGCAAGCGAGCAGCTATGATGTCCGCATCTTCACGCCCGGTCAGGAGCTCCCCTTTGCCGGTCATCCGACGCTGGGCACATGCTCTGCACTCCTCAAAGCTGCCAAACTCAGCAGACCGGCCAAAGATGCTGTTCTACAGCAAAGCTCGCGTTCGGGCATCACTCGTCTGGCAGTAGCAGCCGAAGATGAGCAGTCTGTCACCGTAGCTATGACAGCAAAGGCCAGCCTCATCACTGGCAGGCTGCCTGTGAATGCTCAGCTCGCAAAGACAGCGTTCAATCTTGCCAACGCACCCATCGCCCTTCGGCGAGCAGGATGTGGTCTCAACTGGCTCTGCATGCATGTACCGGTGCATGAGCTTGCTTCAATCATAGTGGACACCAAGCAGCTCGGCGCGTGGTCGGAAGACGTCAAGGCATCGGCTGACGCGCAAGATGTCGTTGGCAATTGGCTGAGCGGTTGTGCTGTCTTTGCGTTGGAAGACACCATCGAGGGGCAGGTGAGTTTGAAGGTCAGGGTCTTTTTTGTGGAGCATGGCAATGTCATCGAAGACCCTGCAACGGGATCGGCTGCTCTTGCGCTAGGCCTCGTGTTGCATGCTGAAGGTCACCTGGCGAGCATCTCTCAGGGCGGCAAATACTCTATCGATCAAGGCGCTGCCATCGGCAAGCCATCTCGCTTGGACGGTCACTACAATGAAGATGGTACAGTCACAGTACAAGGCAAATCAATCGTCGTCGGTCGTGGTCAGCTTTTGATTCCAAACGCGAACTAGCGCGTTGGCCACGAAGGATCAATGGGCTCAAGCGTTCCGGCGCCCCTAAAAATCTGCTTGATATTGGCATGCTCGGCCAGAATATGCCGATCTGTCTGCGAGCCAATCTTTGCAAGCTCGCGCCATCGAGCAAAGTCATCGCGATTTCGCTTATCGCCTTTGGCCAAGTCTGGATTCTCCCAGTGGCCCTGTGAAAAGGCAATCAAGCTGGTCAGACGACCCTGTTCGCTGTCGTACACGATCGAGACGATAGTGCCCGTCTCTTCGAGCCAGTTGATTTGCCAGATACCTTTGCGCACGCAGCGATAGATTGCTTCTTGGAAGTTTCGACGGCCTGCCATTGGTCCACCGTGTATGGCATACACGGCTCTGTTCTGTGTCCATCGATGAGTGTACGTTGCTTGATGCGCGACAAGTGTCTTGCCTCGTGCGCAAACCAGAGCTCGTATTCCCATAGCTCCGTCTTGCCGTCGACCTGGACTTCATAATCGTACACGAGGTGAAGATCCTGTAGCGCCTCCTGAAAGCTCATATTGGACCGATACACACGCGTGAGGTCAGAGTGATATGAAGGCAATGAGGTTGTTGAGCCAAAGCCTGCGAAGAATTGCACAGCGTTATCGAGGCTAGGTGCGTGCATAGCCAGTACAACAAGGATCATCGTCATAAGTGTCCGTGAATGTCCGTGCTTGTCGTGAGATGATCTACAATGCGTGCATGAGGCCTGCCAAGCCGATGGCGAATGCGAGGCTCGAGACAGACGTGAAGGTCGCTTTGCCACTTTGCATTATTGGCGTCGAGCTGGCAGTTGTCGTATTGCTTGTGCTCGAACCGGTGCCAGACGAAGTGCTACCGGTGGCCATAGAAGTATAAGTCACCCCATTGAGGGCAGCAGCAGCGGCAAAGACGGAACCGTTGCTCGGTATCGAGTAATAGTCAACCAGAACAAACGTCGGATACGAGCCGTGTTCGCTCGCGCAGCTCTCTGCGTTGGCCTCGATGGATGCTTCCGAATTTGTCGTGGGTAGTGCTGCGGTGTCTGGCAAAGTGCCTAGCGTGCTCGTACCGATCGTGATATTGGCGTCGAGGAAATGGTTGACGAGATACATCTGGTCCGAGGCTGTTCCATTGATGCGATCGATCGTACATGGGAAGGTGGAATCGGTGACATCGTATGGCGTCTCCCAGATGTTCGTAAACTCGTCGATGATGTAAGGGACAGTGGCAGGATCGGCGTTGAAGTCCAGGAAGTTGACAACGCGCGTGTTGTTACTGATGAGTTCTTGCAGCGTCGGCCATTGCGATTTGGGCAAGGGAAACGTCGGGGGTGTGTAGGAAACCGTATCTAATCCTGCTGCGGCGTAGGCCTGTCCCCAGACGGCAGGGGAGAGTGTTTCTGGATTCGTCATGAGGATGGTGATGACTTCATTCGGATTGGCATCCAGCCAGCTCTTGACCTCTGACAGATAAGCTTGTGCTGTACCGCCGTCGAAGAGCGTGCACGACGTGTGACACTGTGCACGATGACGGGTCGTCAACACCGAGCGCAGCACTGACCGCAGCACAACGTACGAGATGGAGTGAGCCATTGAGCGCATGGCCTTGACCCTGGAGCAGTCTGATGCCGTCATCGAGCTGTACGGTGACGTTGTAGTTCTGATTGGCTGCTACGGCGCTCTCGCCAGCAGTCCCGTTGACCGCGTAGGAGTCGTGTGCGCCGATGTAAGTCACATTGCTATACTGACGCGAGCATAGCTCTGCATGACCATTGCATACAGACTGCGCTCGAGCCAGGCTCGCTAGCAGGACCGACAGGAGCGTGCTCTGCCGTAGCATCGCTGAGATCTGCCCCAAAGCGAGGCGCGAGGCGAGACGACGAGAGAAAAGGGCCAGGCTAGTCGAGAGATCGAGAGTGGATGAACTCTATTTTTCTCGCGACCGTGTGTAGACATTGCCGACTTCTCGTGCCTTGCAACGTCCACGCCAACTCCCGCCTGCAAGGAAGCACAGGAGCAGCGACTCGTCAGGCAGCCTTGTGCGTCATCGGGGACACGGGTACGTTCGCGCAGACGGTCTTTGGCGACCGGTGGAGATAGACTGGGCAACCCCGTCCAGTCGTCCAACGAATACAATAGACTTGGCCTTGTCAATTGCCAAGGGGCAGCTCTAGACGACGTTGCGACCTTTTGTCGCTCAGACTGCGCCATTCTAGACGTGCAGCAGCGCACAACACGCTCGTCAAGCATATCTGTACCAGCCTGCCGGCTAGGCAGTCAACACCGTTCCTTCAGCTCAGCGCAGCGCGTCAGACTGTCCAGCGAGTACACAAAGGCTAGCCTGCTCACTCGCAGCAGGTTCTACCATCTGGCGCGATCGGTTTTGAGTCGGTGTCAGAGCAAAGCTCGACGGAACGCACCAGCTTTTTGCATAGTCAGCAAGTCGCCATCATGTCAGCGCCCGACATCCAAGAGAAGATTGCTGCTGCCAGGCGAGAAGCGGAGACGCTCAAAGGTCAGCAGGAGGCGCCGGTTGCTATGATACAGAGCTGACAGTCCTGCCTCTACAGAGAGGATACGAGCCAAACGCGACCAACTAGGCGATACATCCTGTGAGCCGTCCTTGCTATCCACTGCTTCAACACTGACATGCTTTACCGAACTTCAGTGCGAGCGATGGCACAAGAATTAGACCCGCTGCCGCGCATCATGATGAAAGCCAGAAGAACATTACGCGGTCACCTTGCAAAGATTTACGCGATGCATTGGGCTCAGGATAAGCGACATCTCGTATCCGCTTCACAAGACGGCAAGCTCATCGTCTGGGATGCTTACACAACCAACAAAGTCCACGCGATACCGCTCCGGTCGTCCTGGGTCATGACGTGCGCCTACGCGCCCTCTGGCAATTTCGTCGCTTGTGGCGGTCTCGACAACATATGCTCAATCTATAACCTTCGCAGCAAAGAGGGCAGCGTCAAGGTTGCCAGAGAGCTATCTGCCCACACGGGCTATCTGTCTTGCTGTCGATTCCTCAACGACCGACAGATCGTCACGAGCTCGGGCGATATGACCTGCATGCTCTGGGATATTGATGCGGGCGTGCGAGTGCTCGAGTTTACTGATCATACAGGCGATGTCATGAGGTATGCCACAGACCTCCATGGCTGACGACAAGAGCTGACGCGTAAGACAGTCTATCCGTCGCGCCTTCTCAGAATATCTTTGTGTCTGGGGCTTGCGATGCAACTGCCAAGGTCTGGGATATTCGGACAGGCAAAGTCGTGCAGACCTTTCACGGCCACGAGTCAGACATCAACGCAGTACAGTGAGTCCAGCGTAGTGCTCAATCAGACATGAAGCTGATGCCTCGGGCAGGTTTTTCCCCAATGGGGACGCGTTTGCTTCTGGCTCAGACGATGCATCCTGTAGACTGTTCGACTTGCGAGCAGACAGAGAGCTCAACCAGTACACTCATGACAACGTTCTCTGCGGCATTACCTCTGTCGCCTTCTCCGCCTCCGGGCGCATCCTCTTTGCTGGCTATGACGACTTCAACGTCAACGTCTGGGACACCCTCAAAGGCGAGCGTGTCGGCGTTCTGGCCGGTCACGAGAACAGGGTCAGCTGTCTCGGCATCTCTCCGGATGGCGCTGCGCTCTGCACGGGCAGCTGGGACAGCATGCTCAAGGTATCTCCTCACTATTTGAAGACGTGCAACCTGCTGATGCGCCATCAGGTGTGGAGCTAGGGCCATTCTTGCAGCGGGGTAGGTGCAAGTTGCAATTGTACAAGCCTCGTTGTCGTCGTTACGTTATCCTCTGTGCAGCATTTGTGTCCGCTTCACGCCAGCGTATTCTTGAGATAGGCGGGCGGGCCTTCTGCAGGCGAGCTCGTGCTGCGTCGGTCAATGCGTGCTTCTTCTAGCTTGCTCAATCCGACAGAGGAGCCGAGATCGCCATCAAGCTCCGGCAAGAGGTAAGGGTGAGGCTGTACACTTGTCGCGGAGCTTGAGGAGGGCTGACTGGCAAAAGTCGGTCGACGTGCAGACTGCGGTCGCTTGATAGCAGAGAGCGACGAAAGTGCGAGCTCGCTGATATTATTCGTCTTCTTGCCAAAGCACGATATGAAGACAAAGCAGATCAGCAAGATGCCAAGCAGGCAGACGACGACAGCCAGGATGGCGATCTTTGTGCTCTGATGCGATGCGAATGCCTTGCCTTCGTGCAGGCAGTCTGTACTGTCACCTTTGAGAACTTCGACTTCGCCGCTCGAGTAGATGTCTCCATTCGAGTCCACAGTCTGAAAAGTGAGGTTCGTGCCCGGCGCTTGATCGACTTCCCAGCCTACGAAATTGCTGTAAGTCGGTCGGAATGTAGTGAGCGTACTACCATCGTCTGCAGATTTGACGTAGAACGTAAACGGTCGCGAGCCGCCTTTGGTGACAAAGGTGATGACGTTGCACGTCAGTAGAGCTGGCACGCCTTGGATGACGGCTTGTGCATTGACGGAGGCTTTGAGTGTAGCGAGGAGAAGAGCGAGCGATAGACTCGTGCGGCCAAGCATGATGGTGAGCTCCCGGTAGGGGATATCAGTCTTGCTCGTCGGCGAGCCCTCTCAGTCCACACCGAGATGGGCAATCACTAGGGCTTACGGTCGTGTGGAAGGACAGACTCTCGCGGGACATTGCTCATCTTATGCAGGGCAAGCCGATAGCGAGCTCGGCAGACGCGCTCGATGTCACGGACCTCGCGATCCGACAAAAGCCCAATCCCGAGCAAATTTTTGCACAGACTCGTCTGTGCATCAGATGTGGAGTCGATGCATGGAAGAATGTCTTTGAGATCATGGGCGGGCAGAGTGGAGTGATGAGTAGGCTGCATGGACATCGTTGAGCGCTGTGAAAGTCACGCGCGCCATTTGGTTCATTTTGTTCGTCGTCATCGCATCCGCGAACGAACAACCATCACCCGACATGGGCTCAGGCACAAGACAGATCAGGCACGGCAGAGGGTCTCTGGTGGACGATAGCGAAGATGAAGCGGCGCCAGCGACGACGACCACGGAGCAAAGTGATGTCACCTCATCCGTCTCGCCGGCGCGCACACGACCAGACATAAGCTCAAAGGCGCGAGGCAAGCAGAGAGCACTAGGTGCGGACATTGAGCCGGCAACTTCGACTGGATTGATGAGCAGAGCAGATGCCGAAGCGGCAGGGCGTGCATCTGCTCCCACCGAAAGGACAAGGCTGCTGCTCTCTGCGCCATCAAACGAAAGCGATCAGACACTGTGCGAGCAAGAGGCTCTGCGCAGGCGACGACCGAGGATGACAGCGAGCGAGATATGCTGTCAGCTACTGATAGCGCTCATCTGTGTCATCTTCATCGTCTTTGCCAACTTTCACATGGTCGTAGGAAAGGTCATGTCGGATGTCTCACTCGCCTCTTGCGCCAGCTGTGCGCCTCTCTCGCTCTCGGGCGATCCAGACAGTGAGCGTAGACAACGCGAGATGGTACAGCGAGGACTTCGATGGACTGGACCTCATGAGATCGAACTAGATCTCAACTCGACTGCGCACTCGAGCGACAGCATTGGTGTGATAGCGACATTCAGAGCGGGCGTAGATGTCCGCAAGGCGCTGGGCTATGCTCCCTCTACAGCAGATCCCTTCCAGCTAGTCCTCATGTCCGGCAGCAACGTCCTCCTGCCGTATTCGCGTCATGGCGTCAGCGGTACCTGGTTCCACAAGCTCGAGGAGCGGATGTTCGCTGCTGTCATCAGAGAATGGTCATCAGTCGACGTCAACCTACGCTCTGCCTATGTGTGGTCCAACGGTGCGCACGCACAACAGGATGACCAGTCAGCTATCATCAAGCTTGCGCTCGGTTGCGACGGAATACGCGTGCCTCTCGTCTACGGCAGCGACGATACAGACGACTGGCTACAGACGGTGCTCGTTCCAATGCGTATTTCTGTCCCCGATTCACAAGCGCTTGCATCGTTTGCGAATGCTACCCTTGCCTTTGCCGACCGCGAGCAGACAGTCGAGCTGCAAGTAGCTGTTAAAGACGTTCGTGTACAGCTTGGCAGCTCGCGTCCGTCAAATAGTCTACTTGGCCGTATCCTTGCGCGGTACCGCAGGCAGTCTATAGACGTGGTGGAAACGACGCTCCGTGAGACTCGTCAGTCCATTCGCTTTCTCAGCTTGCAGACTAGCTGATGTGCATTGGTGAGCAGTGCCCGCTTTGCCCAAGGGAGCGCGCAACATCTCCTCGCTTGTTCAGCTCTCGTCTTACAGGTTCTATCCGATCAACAGCACCTCGCACAATATTACAACACTCGCACTAGAAGCCACTGCCACGGTCTCGAATCCCTTTGTGCTATTCGATGAACTCAAACCTTTCGACCTAGACGCTCGCATACCCTGGAGGCTACCTTTCAGCATCAGTATGGCACTGGAAACCAATGCTACAGCTTCAGCACGGTCTGTGCCCCTCGCCCAAGTACACACTCTGCCATTCAGCCTGCGCAAAGGGCAAGCAAATTTCACCCTTGCGATCGAAGGCTCGATGACGCCTTTCCAGACCATGGATCCAAGCAGCGCCGAAGCTGCATTTTCCACCTTTCTCACACGATTCGTCAAGGGCCAAGATAATCTCGTGCAAATACAATATAGCGCCGCACAAAGGGGAGCAGGATCTGCACCTCCTGCCTTCTTGCAGCCGCTGTTGAAACCCTATGTCGTGCCAATGAACTTTCCGGGATCCAATTCGACAGAGCAACTCATCAAAGATCTGCGAATAGAAAACATGAAGATCGATCCTTCTGGCGGCGATCTCATGTGTTCAGGCAAAGTAGTTGGCCAGCTCAATCTGCCCGAAGAGATGGCGACTCTTTCCAGTGTGCTTGATATCAGCGCAATCTGGCCTGACATTCTTGTCTACGATGGCGATGTCACGGATACTGCAGATTCCACATCTAACAGTTGGCCGCCTTCACCTGCGCCTGCCAACGCATTTGCACGACTAAGAACGCCAGACTGGCAAGCCGCGCAAACGCTTCATCAAGGCAATGTCAGCTATATCGTGTCGGAGATCAAGCAAGTTCCTCTCGACCTCTTGCCGGGCAGGAGTGATGTCTTTCGACGCTACGTCGGTAAGATACTGTTCGGCGGAGGCTCATCCGGCGTTCGCACAGGTATCAAGGGCAGATCCGACTGCCAGGCCGATGTACAAGGCCTGGGTCAGATCTCCCTTCGGCGCCTTCCGGTACAGGGTAGCTTTGCTGTCAAGCCCTAGACCTGTCGTGGTTTCATTTTGTTGTTGCTTGAGCCGTGTCGACCTCCTTGATGTCATGATCAGTCCAAATCGTCGCGTTCGCGCTCGCGTCCTCGTCAGACTGACCAGATGATCGACTCGCGAGAGTCTCAACGTACACGACGGACAGCCTCTCCCGAAGCATCGACAAGTCTGAAGCCATGGGACATCGGATGCAGCACAAAAGAACAGCTACACGGCAATTACAAAGCCTACTACGGCAAGAGAGACGAAGCTGCACATTCGCCTGATCCTCGCCTTGCTGCACTTGATCCTGCATGGTTCAAGCATGGTCGCATACTCGATATTGGCTGCAATGTCGGCAAAGTCACGATAGAAGTCGCGAGACGACTGCAGCCTTACAAAGTCATCGGGGTCGATCTGGACGACAGCTTGATCCAGCACGCCAAGTCAAAAGGTCAGCACGACGCGGGTTTGCGCTGTGATGTCAAACGCTCACGGCTCGACACTGTGGACAGTAAGACATGCTTTCTCCGTACAGCAACCTTTCCCCATCATCGCCCGAGAAGCGAAACGGCGCAAACAGTCTCGCGGTGACGATGAAGAGGTCTGCGGCGATCCTGACTTCAGACCACGGTCGGACTACTTCCCGGACTGCTTTCCCTACATGTTCGGCGATATGCCCAAGCCGCGTTCTCGTCTGTTGAGACACTACGAAGTTCTGACGCAACAAGACGAAGTCGAACGATCCCATCGACGAGGCAAAGAGGGCAGAGGCAAAGTCATGCCCAAACTCGTCTCGCCCTTTCCGCTCAATATCGAATTCAAACAGCGCTGTTGGCCCAGTGAAGGTATCTCAGACGATGACAAAGGCTACAATGTCATTCTCGCGTAAGTCGCATCATCCGCTCCGATGGATGGATAGTTTGAGCTAACCATGATGTAGCTTTTCTGTCGTCAAATGGATCCATCTGCATGGTCTCGATGCCGGCTTGCGCCAATTTTTCGAGCGTGTCTTTGTATCACTGTTGCCCGGCGGTCGCTTCATACTAGAATCACATCCTGCAGAATCATACAATAAAGCTTGCAAGCGCTTCCCTGTACTCACACCTCGCAGAGCTAGCCTACAGATCACACCCGAGCAGTTCGAGCGCATTTTGCTCGACGAGATCGGCTTCAAGAGCGTCGATCACATCGGGGGCAGCGAAGCGCAAGCTGAAGCCCTGACTAAGCAAGCTGGATTCAAGAGACCGCTGTCGGTATATCATAAAGCCGATGGCTCCTGGTTGTAAAGCATACAATGTGATACAATGGCATGAGCATGCGTCATACCGGCGCAACGGGCGTCGGCTTCTTCGAAGATGTCGTTCGTAAGCTGTAGTCGTCTCCCATCTGTTTGCCATCGGCGTCAGTTCGCACATGAAGCTGTCCATATCAACGACGTGCCTGTGTGATGTATCTGACCCATGGTAGTGCTTGATAGCCAGACTTTTCGACGATTTTGAGGTATCGTACTTGAATACCGGATACTGTAAAGTAGGGTATCTCAAACTTGACGCTAATCGGCGCTCGATTGTCAAGCTCCTCTGTGGCATGATTCAGATCAGTCTGTTGCGAGTTGTATCAGACATGCACGGACCTCCTTTGACGGACGGCAAGCCGAAATGTGCGCGCATGAGGTACTCCTTCCCGCCACCCAATTGTTTCACTTTCCAGACGAAGCAAGACTTTTCTGGCAGATAATGCACCGTGCCAACCGATGCCTGTACAGCAATCAGCATGATCATAGTGTCTGTTTATGACCTACTCGGAATTTAGGCGAATCTGCGTCTTCCGGTACCGGCACGTAGATCTCGACATTGTTGGCCGTCGATCTCCGCTTGAATTGAGCTTTCACCTGCAGACGGCAGCCATCTGTAAGCAATCTCATGACGCCTTAGCAAGGATGCCCTGCCTTGACCATGTATTCTATTCTGCTGCCCTGGTGGTGTTCCACGAGCGATTCTGCCCAGATGAGCGGTTTGACTTGTGTATTGAGCCGATAGCTCATGAGCTCGAACTCGCCGTCGGGCGGGATGAACGAGATGGTGCGGTCGTTCTCGAAGCGGGATAATCGTACGCATTGGTGGAACTTGACGTCCTCCATCTCGATTGCTTTACCGCGCGATGCTGTCAAGCCAGGCGAGCTATCAGCTCTGACAGAGAGAGAGAGGAAGAGGCAGAGCATGCAAACGTACTCCGGCCTGTGCTCTCGAACATGACTTTGTCGTTGAGGCCGAGCCTGAGCTCTGGCATGCCAGACAGGTAACATTTCATCTTGACTGCGCCCAAGATCTCTGACCGTACTACATTGCCAGCCGAGTTGACCTGTCCAAGCATGATGATGATGTCATCCTGAGTCTCTTGCTGATGATAGAGTCGCGACGGACGAGCATATTGACCGATTCGACGACATCGAGGAAGACCTCGTTCTTGCGGTAGCGAATGCCTTCTGATCTCCACGAGACGGCGTTGGTGACTGCCATTGGCGGCCGCACTTGTACTTCTAGCTTGTGAGACTCTTGCGTGATGTATCTGAGCGAGCGCGTCAGTCACAACGCGCCTTGGCGATGGCAGCCAATTTACTCCTGTAGGATCTTGCTCTCCGTCGTTTGCGGATAGCCAAAATCCATCATTTCGTCTAGCAGCTGTCGTGTTTCCCTCCCACTGATCAGGACATGACGATGCGCTGGAGGGCTGACAAGACGGACCTCATAGATCGTGACAAAGTTGTCGCGACATGATTCCTCCTCAAACTCTTTAAAGTACTCGACAAAGACCTGTGCAGGTTGTGTCAGCATCGAGCGTCCAGCGACAGAGTGCAGACGCACGGATGCCAGCTTGTGTAGAAAGGTGAGCAGCTCGGCAGCGTTGGAGTTTTTCTTGGATAACGCGAGCACTGTGAGCATCCGACCAGGAAGTGAGCTCGCCACAAGCTCATTCACTAGTCCGACTGACGGTAGAGGTTGTTGTGCCTTATGTACTGGTAGTTGATGCCGTTATTGGTGAAGCAAGGCGTTGCAACATGTCCCTCTTCCTCGGCTTCGAGGATGAGCGGCATGAATTTCTCCACTGCCGTCTGGGGGACATCGTCCCGATAGCTCCTCTGGATCAAGCTCTGCAGATGCACACAGCTCTCGGAGTCAGCATCCGCCACGGGTTGACGGTCAGACGAGCGTGACTGACTTTGCCTTTGAGATCGAGTATGGCGACCAAGCTGGCCATGCTCGCGACCTCGAGCCTGCCAAGCTAGAGCGATAGCTAGCAAGACTCGACTGTGAGCGGGCGTCTGCGTCGTCTGACCGGTCTAGCTGTCAGCCGTGCCTGCCACCAAGCCCAGCAGCTGTTTGCCGCTCAGAATGAACGAACGCGTCGATTGGCTAGCCTGGCGACGATCGACCCCAGCGTGTCTCGACCTCCTCCTCCGAGCGACCATGTCAGCCAGCAATGGCGGTCAAGATGCACGGCTGAACTTTGAGATGGCCAACAAAGTCGAAGCACTCGAAGCGGACAAGGTCCCGTCCCTACAGAGCCAGGCCATCCTTGAGATTCGGGCTGAAGCGCTTTCTGGTGGCAGATCTATCGCTACGATGCAGACGAGCAGAAGCGGATCGGTGCGGCTAGACCTTGGAAGCAAGATCCGCACTACTTCAGGGACGTACGCATCTCGAGCGTCGCCCTCATCAAGATGGTGCACTCTCTCTCATCTTACTGCGACGCTTGAGCTCAACATCATGCAATGTCAGGTGATGCATGCCCGTTCGGGAGGAGTGCACGAGATCATGGGCATGATGCAAGGCAAGATAGACGGCAACACTTTTGTCGTCATGGACGCTTTCGCTCTCCCCGTCGAGGGTACAGAGACTCGCATCAACGCCTCGAATGACGCAAACGAGTACATTGTCGAGTACACCGAAAAGTCCAAGCTCGTCGGCAGACTGGAGAACATCGTTGGCTGGTATCACTCCCATCCGGGCTATGGGTGCTGGCTCTCCGGCATCGACGTCATGACACAGCATACCAACCAGACATTCACAGATCCCTTTCTCGCCATCGTGGTCAGTGATCTCTCTATTCAAACCAAAAGCATGTACAGATAGTTCCGCCTGGCAGATCGATCCCAATCGCACCATCTCGGCCGGTAGGGTTGACATTGGCGCGTTTCGCACCTATCCAGAGGTACGCCCTCTGGAACACTGCACGAACGCCTCTCTGAGATCTGCTCGCAGGGTTATACACCGCCTGATTCGAGCTCGATGTATCAATCGGTGCCACTGGAGAACGTAGAGGACTTTGGCGCTCATGCTTCTCGGTACTATCCGCTCAATATCAGCCATTTCAAATCCTCGCTAGACACCAAGCTGCTCGACCTGCTCTGGAACAAGTACTGGGCCATGACGCTCAGTCAGAGTTCGCTGGTCTCCGTGAGTCCACAGGGCCGTCTCCGGCAGTCACTGACGATGCGAGGCACAGAATCGGGCATATATGACTTCTCAGCTAGCTGACCTCTCAAGGAAGCTGAGCGATACCAGACGGTTCATCTCGGGCAAAGCCGAAGTCGCAACACTCCTGCCCGAGCTCATGCAGGGTATTGCGGCCAACAACAAAGCGAGCGACAAAGGCAAAGAGGCGGAATCCTCTCCCACGCCGACAGCAGGCAACAAGACGGCCTTGCAAAACGTCGTCCAGGACTCCCACAAGCTTGCTTGCGAGTGCTCACACGGCCAGATGACCCAGGTCATCAAGGATCTCCTCTACAACGGCTCGAGAGGACTATCTGATCCTAAAGATCTCGAGTCGCTACATGTGCACATGCTCGGACACTAGAGCACTACAGAGATACGATCAGCAGTGCAGTGAATCATGTTGTTGTCCTTGCATAAGATGCATAGATCTGTTCATACGTGTCCGCCGCCTAGCGCGATCGCCTGGGATAAGATCAAAGCGCGTAGCTAGCTGCAAGTGCCGCGCCAGGCTCAGGCGCTCAGGCTCACATTGCATTCGAGCGAGATGACGACGACCCGCTCGAGCTCGAAGCAGGGCGGTGCGGACAGTTCGGAGAGCTTCAGCTTTTGCGTCGGCAAGTTAGGTATGCTCGCTTGCAAGATGTCCTCGTGCTCCACCTCGCTAACACGAGCGTACAGATGCAGGCATTGCCGTTCTACTCTCTGAACAATCTCATCTGATCGAGTTTCCCTCGATCCTGCTACCACCGGGTTGTCAGCCCGGCTCATTCGTCTCTATTTCCTGCTCGAGGGATCATCAGCTCGAGAAACAGCGCCTCGACGAGTTTTGGCAGCTGCAAGACAATATAGTCCACACATACGGTCGCAAGACACCGCAGCCGCCTCAGCTGAGGCTACGTAATGTCACACAGACCAGCGTCACGCTCGAATGGGATCCACTCGATCTCGCTACAGCTAAATTGCTCTCCTTGACCATCTATCGCAATGGGCAGCGTCTGTCAAACATACCCAACCCTCAGACGACCACGTCGACCAAGCTGTCTGGCTTGGATCTCAGTGCAGACTATACTTTCCAGCTCGTTCTGAAGACGACCGCAGGCGCTTACAACTCACAACAGCTCAAAGTCAAAACACACAGCATAGCAGAAACTTCTGGCATCCGGGTCTGCTTCGGCATCGTCCAGCCGCCAGAGCTGCTCGAACAGACAAAGCAAGCTTTGCAGTCAATCGGCGCGAAATGGTCAGACAAAGTACAGATAGAGACGACCCATCTCGTCTGTACTTCGCCCTCACCGGGAGCGAGCTCTTCCGGCTCGCTCGGTCATGGCAAGACGACGAGCAGTACATCAGACGAGCACAATCCCAGCGTACAGTATCAGCGCGCACTGCAGATGTCACTCCCCACAGTCCTGCCATCTTGGGTCTTGGCCTGCGCCACAGAGAAGAAGATGGTGCCCATTGCGTCACACTACTTAGGCTCTGGCGCTCCTCAACCAAGCACATCATCTGCATCGATAGCTCGTACGCCTGCTACCTCTTCATTGCCGACCGTGGCGATACATCCCGCGCCGGCAGACTCGCCTGTAAACACCGAACCTGTCACGCGAGCCGCGGAGCCCGAGCCCGCCATTGCTGACGCCACTGCGACCTCACCCAACATCGACGAAGACGCTCCCGGAGTAGCTTCGCCCGAGGTCACACAAGTGAGTGAAGAGATGGAGCAGGTGGATTTGAAAGACACGTAGCGATGATGTTCAGGCTGTTGTATTTGCAGACGATGCATGTTACGATGCAACCAATATAAGCCAATCAACATATGCAATCGCAGGGGGCACTAGGCGGCGGCGTTTTGCCGCCTGAACATCTCGTTTAATCGGACCATGAGTGACTTGATGACGAAGAGCCGGCGCTCGTGTATCGCAAGCCTGTGATCCGGCGAGGCATTACGCGTTCGTTTGCGTAGATGCGTCGCTCGTGCACCCGCAACAGCAGCAGCCTCCGCGTCGCCCTCGCTATCACTCGCAAAATCTTGGTCTTGCTCAGGGTCAGAAGCGGCTGAAGCGACGTCGAGTGAATCAGATCGAGAGCTCGGTGAGCGAACGGCAATCTTCCGGATACCATGGCTCAATCGATCGACTCTGCTATGAGAAGATGTGGGCGGCGTCTGCGAGCCTGAAGTTGGGCTCGAGTCAGACGAGCTGGCACTTGCCAGAGGCTGCGCATTGCCATGCCCCTCGAGCACAGATTGGAGCGAAGGGAGCGGCGCACGGGACGCGCCGCGGTTAATGGGCGCAAGCTCGACAGATCCTTCGCTGACCGAGCTCGAACGGGATCGTTCGCCTTCGAATGTCGAGCGCATCGATGAATCTTTTGCGGAAGACGCTATGCTCGATCCCGAGCTATCCTGCCGTCGTGCCATCGAAAGTGGTGGCGCGCGAGTGAGTAGATCGATGCGCTTGTAGCTAGGCTCGCGGATATGGTCTGGCGCGATTTGCGGAGCAGGGTATGATCGCTCGAGCCGCGTGGTCTCATAGGCCTGAAGTGAAGGATACACGCCGTAATCCGGGAGAGCCGGTTCCGCGTTCGACAGCGGCGGCGCGAAGCCGGTGGTCTGTGGCGCCCACGGAGCTTCGCTGTGCGAGAAATGCGCAGGATCGAAGGCAAGGTCATGCGAGAGCGATCCTTCGTACTGCTGACCCAGTGAAAAGAGCATCGAGTTAAGATTGTCGACATCATCTTTTGACATGCTCAAATTGGTAGTATCTGAAAGCGTATCGAGTCCATCTGACGCGGGCGAAGTGTAGCTCAGCGCGGGCGAAGTATAGCTCATCGATGGGTTTGGAGATGGCGAGTGAGCCGATAGTACGCTAAGAGGCGAAGCGACGGAAGAACCAGAGCTATCCGTCAACGCGCCAGCAGGAGCCAAGTCAGGTATGCCCGCGTGCTGCGTAGACGCAGGGTCGAAGATGAATGCCGATAAGCGATCCAGCGATTGTTCGTCTGCGAAGAGGATGAGCTCATGCATGGTTTGAGCCCAGCAATGGACATACCGATGCTCGGAATGGATGGGTCGGAGCTGCTGACACGCCGACGGCTGAGCGAGCCGAGGAGCTCATCCGCGGCTACGTCAAAAGGGCGTTTGCTGCCTGTGCTAAACTTGCGAGGAGGTTCGTACTCATGGGCGTCACTTGAGCGCTTAGCCGGACGAGAGAGCTCTTGAGTCGCTCCTGGTACCTGTGCAGGAGGCGTCTGCAGCCAGTTACTTGGCGTTGCGCTCGGATAGGGCATGTAGGGCGTAGGGCCTGGCGTCGGTAAGGCAGGATAGAGGGGCGGATGTGTCATCGGGTAGCCGAGAAGTCTCGCCTGGTTCATTGCCTGCTGATGAAGCAAGATCTGTTGCACCGATGCTTGCTGTACATAGGCAGCATAATCAGGCTTCACATCGAATTGCTGTCTCGGCGGCTGCAAGTGCGGCTGCAGGTGCTGCCTGGACGAGTGACGAGGACTGGCTTCGGGACTGGCAGATAAGCTCTGATGGCGCGGCGCTGAGCTATGTAGCGAGACAGGCGGCGCAGTATAGACGGGCGCCGGCAAGGTCGCAGCAGGGTTTGAGATCGGTGCCGGCTGTGTGACGGCTTTGCTCTGCTTGTGCGAGTGGTGGTGTTGTTCGGTGTGAATCTTCTCGTGCTTCTTGAGATCTTGCGGACGCTTGAAAGACTTATCGCAAATCTGGCGCATTGCATGTGAGCCCGAACGCCAAGCCTTGGCAGGTGCGCTTACCGAGCAAGTGTGTGGCTTCAACGGCGTGTGGACTCGCATGTGAGAAGTTATGTGATCGCGTTTGATGCATGTCGTTCCGCTGTGCCGGCCTGGTCAGGGAAATCACGCGAAAGGCAGGCAAGCAAGCATACCAGGTGTCTCCGGCGACGTTGATCCGCCAGTGGCACTTGAGCGACAAGTTGCCTGTTGACTTTCGACCGACGTGCTCGTGACACAGATGCGCATAGAGTGTCTCTGGACTATCAAAGTCGTCATTGCAACCGATCCACTTGCACAGGAACGACGAGGATCGTCGCTCTCGGCTGTGCGCTGCCGGAGAGTCATAGGAGCCAGAATCCGAATCGAAGGATGATGCTGATAAGCTTGCAGCCATATGTGACGCCCGCGATGGCGATGTTGATTCCCGCTTGACGATAGGCACCGACAGGCCTTCAAGCGACGGGTACATCGACATCTTGGCTGACAGTTGCTGCGGCCGACCTCGCTTGTACAATTGAGTACTCCAACTTACAAAGAGGAGCCACCTGGATCTGGGAAGTAACGAGAGTACAAGGGTACAGTCCGCACGAGGTGCTGAGTCCGCGCGAACGCTTTAGTGGTGACCGACAGTGTCTGCCAAGACTTTGCCAAGAAATTGACGGCCGCGCCAAGCTCACACACAAATTCGCGCCAAGATGAATGACGTGGCCATACAACCAACAAGAGCACAGCGTACACAGCACTGTCTACGTGCTAGAACTCAAAAGTCTGGAAGTTCGGAAAGACAAACTCGTCCTGCGAGCATGTGTCAGTCCATGAGCGAGATATGCGGAACTGCGGGACTCACTTCCAGCGTCTTGCGTGCGACATCGAGAATAAAGGCTTCGACTTTGGCCACGTTGCGCAAAGTATGTTTGGAGGCTTCGCCCACTTCTGATTCCACGACGAGATCGGTCAGTAAGCGCTCACCAGGGCGCGCTCTGATCCTGGATGCTTGAACGCTTTCGGTGCGCAATCGCCCACCACTGCTCGAGCTGATCGAGGCATCAGGTGCAGTGTCATGCGTGGGGTCGAGGAGTGAGATGTGCAGCCGCTTGCGAGCCTGCCGTCGCCGTCCGCGCGAGTTGTAGCGTGTCCGGGTTGAGCTCTCGTAAGCGAGTACGATGACACCGGAGAAAGCCAACCCGGTGACTTTAAGCGAAAGCGGCAACGACATGAAGAAGGGTGAAGGGTAATTGATGAGGAGCGAGGTCGTCAGCGAGATGCGCATGCTGCCCGAGTAGGTGATTTGCAGATGCAGCTGCAGCGAGGTGTGGGGTGAGCCCGTCTCTTCTTCCTGCACGTCTCGCTCGTCCATATCTGGCGAGGTCCGATAGTCAGATGTACTTCGCCGTCTTTGCGGCACGTAGGCGTGTCGTACGCTCTCGTCGTCACGTCCATCGCCATCGTCAGACCAGGTTAGGGAATCAATCAGCGGACTCGGTCGATGCGCATGCGCTTCTAGCTGAGGCCCAAAGTATCCTCTTTGGTCGCCCGGAGAATGTACTTGCGTCTCATGCGGATGCGCGTGCGATGAAGGCGTATGATGAACGTTGAGCAGACTCGCTCCTCTGCTGAAGCCGGGCATAGGTCGAGTGATGACACTCTTGACGGAGCCTCTGTCCATACCTCCGCCGGCTACAGACGAAGCTGCTCTGGACATGAGTCCCGGTCGCTCGCTGGGTGCCGAGCGGGACAGTGACAATCTGCCAGAATCAGATCTGCCTGACCTCTCGAACGAGTTGACGCCCTCGTCTGAAGCGCTATCTGATGTACTGTCATCGTCGGAATCGACGAGAAAGTCACTGTAGATGTCTCGGATGTCCACAAGCTGCACATCAGGCTGCACGTCGCCAAATGCAAAGCTGGTGATGTCAACCGGTCCGAGGAAAGATGGCCGTGTGACGCTTGCGAAGGACCTATTCAATTGATCCACGATCTTGCTCGACAGCGACGAGTCAAGCTGATCCCAGGCAATGTCAACGCTCATGCCATTTCATCAGTTTCTCTTGCATTGATATTCGGCGCGCGTCATCATGTCAATTTCAAGAGACTCGAGAACGAGACCATCCGCTCAGAGGATACCTTTCTCAGCGATGTTCTGACTTGCAGGCAGACGAGTAATCACGCTGTACGATGTCAGCGGGAACAGCAAGTCGTGCAGAGTTCTTACTGCTCAATTCCGTTTCTGCCACCCCCAATGTCAACGTCAGCGCAATGTGCCGATGAGAGCAGCTCAATTTGCCTCAGGTCTGCGCAGACCGAACTGAGTGGAGAATATGGAGGGTAATAGCCAAAGGGAATCTCGATCCCTGAAACAATAGCCTCGATGCTGAAGAGAATGACGGCGAAGGCGCACGAGAAAGGGATCATCGATCATACGCCACGAAAGGTCGGTGACGAGCGTGAAGGGGACGAGAAGGAGATAGAGAGTGACACAGTGCTTTAATGCCATGAATTGCCGGCAGAGGCATCAAGCCCAATCGCTCGACTTGACCAAGCTCGTTGATGAAACGCTGGATGTCGCCGTTGATCGCATTATAGCCAGCGGCGCCGACAGAGTCAGGGTAGCCTTTCATTTGCAGCGCGCATAGTAGAGCGTGAGCGAGTGTGCGATTCAGATCGGCAGGGGAAGGTACGGCTTTGTAGAACGGACGGGCTCGTCGAATATGTCGTCGACATTGATACTTGGTCGCCATCGCATCCTTGTGCGACGACTTGACTTTCTTGTGAGGTGGTCTCCGCACTTGAACTAAAGTAATCGTGTCTGCTCGTGCGCCGTCTCTGCAGAGATGACAAAGGCCGAGGAGGCCTGTCCGACGCTAGAGACATTCATCCTCTGCGTAGTTCTGTCAGCATCATCGCAAGCAAGCCACCAGGCGCACTTCGTCCGTAGAAGTGGGACGGCTGCCAGGTGGAGACGCGAAGCTCGATTGCCAATGACTGCGCGGCAAGTCAGTCTACGCAGTGAAAGTGGGGCATGACGAGACAGATGATACTGACCAGCCCCAAGCTTGCTGGTCTCTTGGAGAAATTCGCAGGGCAGAACTGCATTTAGATTGTCCTAGTGAGCGCCATATAGCTCTCTGACATGTCGCTTGACATGAATGACGAAGCCGGTGAGCAGTCTGAGAGCTTTGACTTTCTCCTGATCCTCATCGGGATGGCAATGGATATTGATCCGTGTGTAGCGTGCCATATTGCGGACAGTGTTAGTGAGCGTCATGGACGTCACTTTACCGCTGCCCCAAATTGCCATAGGCGGTGGAATTGCGGTGAACGAGCAGCAAGCCGACAACCTAGACAAGCGTGTCAGTATGCTCTCTTTGACAGCAAACGATAGTCTCACGATGGAAGGAAGGCGGACGACATCATTGGCGAGTTTCCGATCGCGGCCAAAGCAGAAGTTAGCGAGAGCGATGAGAGGTGACCAGGCGGTGATGAGGATGAATTCGCGTCACACGCGCACGATTGCCGAACCACGAAGCTTGAGCACGTCACTGAACCAGGAGATTCTGCCGTGCAGCAAGGGCTTCTGAGCAAACTCTATCTAAGCTGCTGCGAGGTGTCGGGACAATGCGATTGCGTCGGCGTCTGAAAGGGACAGATGAAGTGTTGACGTATCGACTGAGTGAGCAGTCGAGCACAACATTCTGAGAGCTCCGGACCGGAGCTGTAGACACGCGGAAGCCATGGGCGAGAGTCAGTGAGTGGGGGTAGGGCAGTGAGCATGGCTCCGGGACGATGCTGGCCTGGGAGCCAAAAGTTCGGCGACCTCGAACGGCCAAACTTCGCGTCGATAGAATTCACAACGCAGGCAGATTGAAAGCGCTCACGAAGATGACGGTAGCACATCAGGTATCGATCCCTCACGGGCTGCTGCGATCCCAGCTGACAGATTTGCAGGTCATCCTGCACCCTTTCGTCTCGTCAACGCTCAAGGTCTGGTCAACAACAGTCGGCCGCGACAAGACTTACCGGTCAGTATCGGCGAGTTCCTCTCACCGTGCAGAGCTGACTGCCTGCTGCTCGACAGAACGATCCAATACTTCTCGCGGTTCTTGGCATGGTACTGCTTCCGAATGGGCTACACTCGCCCTACTATCGAGCGCTTCCAGAACCTCAAGAGCGCACTCGGTCTAAGCCGGAAGCGTGTGTTCTTTGTCCAGTCTCAGCGCAGAGAAGAGGCTGAGCAGAGGGGCAGTCATGAGAATTGGCAAGCCGCTCGAGCATCTGCAGTCGGCCATCAAAGCAGTCGACCAACGTGATCCTGTTTTGCGCGTCACCGCCATTGGACGACAGCTCGGCTATGCCGCTTACCTCGTCCACGACACACTCGCTTGGGTCAGCTGCGTTCTCTCCCTCATATCTCGGAGGCTCACAAGTCGGGCAGGTCCATGGCGCCAAGGTCAAGGTGTTCGACAAGGACACGATCAGCCGCATCAATAGAAACGCTGCACGTTTCTGGTTCTTCGGTCTAGGTCAGTCGCAGATTGTTTGAGCTCAGTGACATCGAGCTCAATCGATCGACTTGGACAGCCTGCTCGCTCTTGTCGGGCGCTTACAAGATGCGCGATCTGCGCGTCAAGGAGATCAAGGCGCGCAAACCTCGCCCTTCGCCCGAGAAGGAGAGCGAGCGCAAGAACGAGCTCCGTTCGATTGCTGCACAGCGTTTTGCAGTCCAGTACCAGCTCGTACAGGACTCGCTCGACATCCTCTTGCCATCTGCCAGCCTCAATTGGCTCGTCCTCAACGATGGCCAGCTCGGCCTGGCCGGCTTTGTTACTTCCATCATGGGACTCCGAACGCAGACCCAGAAGGTTTTGGGCGCAAGCAAATGATTGTCTGAGTCTGTGTCCCACTTGCCAATGCATCACATCTTACATCGTCATCAATCGTCTTTTACAGCGCAAGGTTGTATTCGTACTCGCTGTCTGCGTTCTGAGCTACCCACAGTATGCTCGCACTGCTTGCAGGGTTAGGAAGATGACTTGTCACAGAGATTGGTGTCCTGCTCACCTGAGCATGATGCAGACGTTTTGGACGACATTTGCTATTCCCCAATAAGTCGTGAAGCCGTACTCTGCGCTGTAATCTGGTATGATGTACTTGATCACCAAGAATGCCTGTCAGCAGATCTCACGCTCAGCTCATGAAGGGGCGAGCAGGTCGTCAGCTTGACGAACGATTGAACCAGCCAGGCCGGCGGCCATCATGGCAAACCCGATGAACAGGAATAGCCTCGCTTTCCATGCCACGCCGCCGAGCATGCCCCCTTCATCGTCGCTGTCGAGCCTTTGCTTGTCGATCAGGTTGACGATGATCATGCCCAGAGTGGCCAACAAGCCAGGCAGCCAGTCCTCAAATCGTACGTGAACGGGTACGCTGTCGTAGGGTGCATCGGGGGGCGGATGGGAGTGCGAGCTCTGTACGCATGCGTCGAGAAAGAACCACCATCCTATGGCAAACTGACATGGGCCTCCCTGTAAGCTCGAGCCAAGGGGATCCGTCGTGCGACTCGAGCGTACCAGTGCACCGCTAGCGTAGACGCCAAACTCACGCTTCTTCGGCCCTAGGGTGATCCGTGGCAGGGAGATCAGACAGACTCGCCGAGGATCGTACGAGGAGCGTGGCAGCGACATGAGGAGGTCGTGATGTCAGCGAATGACCGTGAGCCTGATCCTGTCGTCGTCGTCGTCGACGCGCGTCTCTCCTCGCTCGCTCGACGCCAGAGGGATCTTGCAGGCCCAAAGCAGACAGAGCGAGCAAGACGGGCTGGCGCCTCTGCATTCGTCGGCTGCTACGGCTTTGATGTCTAGCAAGCTGGCGTTCCCTAACCCTAGAGACTTCTTCCTGCTCCCTTGCGGACTTGTTCGAAGACTCAGTTGCGATTCATTGGCCCTTTCTCAATGGTTTATCAGGCCAACTCGATCGTCCTGACCTCTCTGGCGCTCGCTCGAGCTCATCTACATCGCACAAGATGCTTCCGTCTCTCGCAATCGGAACGGAAAGGGCGTTTGTCAGAGGTGGTCCGTCGAGGAAGCGGAGGGGCTCCCCCGCGGGGTTCCTGAAGCAGAAATACCCTTCAGTCTGGCTGACTGTCCCGTCCGACTGTCGCACGCTTTGGATCTCGGATCTCGCGCGCGTTCGAGCTCCAGAAAGTGATGATGCTGTCCCTCTCTATCTACGCGTCTACGCCTGCAAGACGGCTGTCAATCTCATCAGACAGAGGCTCAAGTTGAGTGCCAGTCATGGACGCCGCACTGTGGTGCATCGAATCTGCCATGACAGATACAGACTGCCTTCGGGCCGGGACTTCAGCTCCGTAGACTGGTGCAAGCTCGACCCATTGACCGTCGTCAATGCGAGAGTGACAGACTCGAAACGCACGAGCAACGGCTTGCCTTCGGGTAGTGTCAGCGAATGCCGGACGATGCACTGTCGCGTTCAGGACTCTTACGCGAAGCTTAGGCTGAGCAAAGAGTCTGGCGCTGCTCTTGCAGTACGGGTGGTCTGTCCTGCTGTATAGAGCCAAGTGCTCGCGTCCTGTCACGGCAAACCAATTGCGATTGCCTCGATAGTATCGGGTGCTCGCTTGTCCGACTGCCGCTCGAGCATCTGCATAGGTTGCAGCCACAAGCTTGCTTGCAATCTGGACACGCTCCCCCATGGCATCTGATTCTTGCTTTCTTCCTCCATTATCCGAGTCTACCCTTCGCATCACATGATGTACAGATGCAATTTCACATAGGTTTACCGGGTTATCAGGAATCATCTAGTCTGCCAGAAGTTCTTGCACCGGGGCGTTGATGATCTGCTCAACAGTCCATCGCTTGCCGCCGCCGAGCTTGAGCCCGATGATGGTGCCGACATCATCACAGGCTCGGATGACGGTATCCAAATCGTCCTTTGTATGCGCCGCTGACACGCAGAAACGTGCTCGTCCGGAAACGAGAGGCGTCGCAGGCTGCTCGCAAGTCATTAGCGCTGGACGTGCCATGTTGAGCTGACGAGCTTACGTAGGCTACCACGACGACGACGATGCCCCACCGGTGGAGCATCAGTTTGCTGAACCATCGCAGCTTACCAGGCGAGAAGATGAGCAGAGGCACAATGGGCGAATCCCGATGGCCATAGATGATGAAGCCGAGCTTGCGTAGCGCTGCACTTAGGTAGCGCGCATTGAATGCGATCCTGCGCAACCGTTCGCGACCCTCGGATCCGTCTGCGAGATGAGGCGGCAACGTCTTGGCAAGGTGGGGCAGGACGTCGATTGCTTCGGGTCCCATGATAGACGCCATCGATGTCACGATCTGCATCACGACGGGTGGGCTGATGGCCTCGGTATAGAGCTGTGAGTGGCAGATCTGTCGAATACTGTCGACGAGCTCCTTACTGCCTGAGATGTAGCCGCCAGCGGCGCCAAAGCTCTTTGTGAAGGTGCCCATAAGGATGTCGATCTCGCCCGGATCGACGTCAAAGTAGTCACAGACACCTCTGCCCCTTGGACCGAGTGCGCCGATAGAGTGAGCCTCGTCGACGTAGAGGAAGAATTTGTACTTTCGCTTCAGATTTACGATAGCAGGCAAGTTGACGAGGGTGCCTTCCATCGAATAGAGACCTTCGACGATCAGGAGGATCTTACGCCAGGGGCGGTGGGTCTTTGGCTGGCCCTGTGAGATACACTCGCGGAGGAGCTCTTCGAGATCGTCCATGTCATTGTGCTTGTACTGTCGCACCATCGCGCCCGAGAGACGGGAGCCAAATCGAATAGACGAATGATTGAGCTCGTCCGAAATGATGAGACAGCCCTTTGAGCAGATAGCAGGCAAGGTTGTCGAGTTGGTCGCAAAACCCATCGAGACGATCATGGCCGACTCTGTGCCGAGGAACCGAGCGACGAGCCTCTCTGCATCGAGGTGCAGATCTGATGTGCCAGCCTCTAGACGTGGACCGCCTGAAGCGATACCGTATGTCTTGATGCAGGCCTCTGCAGCATCGGCACATGCACCTCGCGATTGTGCAAAGCCGAGATAGTTGTAGGACGAGATGTTGAGCGCTTGTGTCGTCGTTCCTGTGAAAGAGAACGAGTTGAAGTGATCGTCAGAGGTTCGATCGAGGCAGGTGATCGTCCTGCCGGGCACGCCTGTGACGGGGCGAGAGAAACAGTCGTCTAGACGCGTCTTGAGCCGGCGCGTGTAGAACGAGTCGAAATCCGAATTGAGCGCCGCATATCCCTGCCCGCAAGCCTGTGTCAGCGTGCGTTCATGTGACAGACATGGGAGAACTGACGTTGTATGCCATGAGATGCTTGTACGAGCTTTTGTGGGTTCTCTTGCCGACAAAGTCACGCATGTGACCGATGACGATCAAGATGAGATAGGAGAAATAGGTCTGAAAGTAGATCATATAGCTTGGCTCTTCGAGCGGCTCTGATCCTCCAGCTTGCAGATGGTGTGCTGACTTTCTCGTGCCGGCGGCGTGAGAGGCGCCTTTCTTGAGATTGGCAGAAAGGGCATCGCTCAGATCCTCCAGAGGCTGGTATCGGGACTCATACCGATACGCTTCGTTGTCGCAGTGACCGAACTGGGCATGCTTGAGACAGTGAGGGTCGCTAGGATCAGGTACCCAATCTGGGTCATCATCGAATGCGATCGATGGCGTGATGTGGACCGCATCGGCAGGCGGCTCAAGTGTGGCTAGCGTACCCTGTCCTGACGTAGAGACAGAGGAGCGATCGTACGTCGCCACGGAGGGGTTGCCGAGCGGAATATGGCCATCGTCCACCTTTTCACCGGGCTTGTTGTGACTGGCGTGGCCGTTGCTGTGTCCGTTGGCGTACCCGTTCATCGTCATCGTCGCCATCTCTCCGATCCTGATGGCCTCGTCTGGTCTTGATGCAAAGGGCCGTGCACTTTCAACCGCCCATCGACCCGCGCCGATACGCCAGAAGTCGCGGAGTTTCGCGCGCGTTTGGCTTTGGCGCGAAAAGTCAACAGCCGTCAGACTGGCTCAGCCTCGTCATCATCGTCATGCCCAGCACAAAGCCCTTGCACTGTGCCTTTCGTCTCACACTCGCAACGCTGCTCCTCACTCTCACGATGGACAACAATGCCACTCAGCTGAGACCACTCTACGGCTCTGCAGCCGACGCTCATGGAACCCTCCTCGCAGTCATTGCAGCCAGCACGACCCACCTGTGTCCTCTTTTCGGTGATGACAGGCATCTGGCCGGACTTCTCGCTACTGTTGTGGTTGCAATGACGCGCTCAGGCCCTTGGGCAAGATCATTATCGACTTATCTGGGACCGACTGTCGGCGCACTCTCGGCTCAGGCCATGCTCACCCTACCGCTGCACAATTTCCTTGCTTCCTGGTCCAACTTCAGATCCTACAGAAAATTTTCGCTCATCCTCATCACATTTGGCTCGATCGTGCTCAGGCCCTCTGTGGCGAGAATTCCTCATTGCGAGCAAGCTGCCTGGCTTCTTGTACTCACCACTTGCTTCAGCCTCAGTGCGGTCAGTAGTGTAATCAGCGACCTTTCATCACCAAATTTTTCCCGAGTCACGCAGTCAAAAGGGTTCAAGCGTATCAGTTTTCGATTCTCCCTCATCGTCGCCTTGAGTGCCGTGGTCCCGTACGCGTCGTACCATCTTAGGCCTGTCGGTTGCGGCAAACTGTCTTCATCGGGTCGGAAGGAAACAGACGGCGTGCGCGTGTTCGACCAAGTATGGTCCACGACGGGTCTCGTCCAAATCGCCGAATATCGGCTCGACAATAGCGATGCCTGGATTAGAGCGATGAGATGCGATCATTCGCTCCTCGGGGGTGTCTGGATCAATACGGACGGCCCTTCTGGACCCGAGTCGGTCTATGCGACCTTTATCCTGCAAGAAGCTATTCGCTTCGTCGAGCGATCAGCAAAGCATGACGAATCGCCCCGCGCCCTTCTGATCGGTTTAGGTGCTGGCATTTCTGCTCGGGCGCTGCATGTGCATGGTCTCAATACGACAATCGTGGAGATCGATCCGGCTATCTATCGATACGCGCAAGAGTACTTCGGCTTGCCTTCACCTCGAGGCGGCGCTCACATACAAGACGCACGTCAATATCTCACACAGCATGCTGCGCGTCAAGCGGAGCCGTACGATTACATCATTCACGACGTAGTACGTTCCCTGCTGCTCCATCATGACTGATCTCACATTGTCTTGCAGTTCACCGGCGGATCTGTCCCGTGAGCACCATGCGATTTACCTGACCTGAGGTTGACTTGAGCAGATCATCACTGTTCACTGCTGAGCACTGGCGCGAGATCAAGGGAGCTCTTCGCAAAGATGGCATTCTCGCTGTGGTCGGTCGATCATCGTCTCGCTTGCAAGTCTGACATTAGTGTGCGGACAGAACTTCGTTGGCCATCTCACTTCGCCTGGCACACGGGCCGTACTGCACACTATACTCGCCTCTTTCCAGCATTGCAAGGCTTTTGCAGACGGCTCAGCTTCGTCCGCTGACGATGTACAGAACATGGTCAGTGTCTCGCATGAGTCCGAGGTCTATCTCAGATCCAAGTAGGTCATCTTCTGCTCACCTTCACGCCCAATCACACTGCGTCCTCTGCACGACTCCGACTCCCTTTCATCACCTCTACGGCATCGCGTCTTTGAGAGCATGCAAGACAACGACATCGATCTGCGAAGCATATCTGAATACGCTCCGGTCCTGCTCACTGATAAGGACACGAGCGCGCTCGATGTGGAACAATCGCTCAGCTCGGTAGAACATTGGCATGTCATGCGGCGGGTGCTCCCGGCCAGAGCGTGGGAAAGATACTGAATGTAGATTTTCATGGCCGAGTGATCGTCCATACCTGATCGATGATCGGCCAGCTGCAGCCAGGCGTGTCTGAGATCATGAGCCAGCGTGGGCGCGCTCCGAGCTCCGTGCCAGCCAAGACACATTGATCAGAGGCATAGGGCGCTGGCAGACTTCAGAGCAATCATACCATCATGGCGAATGACGGCACAACCAATACGACCGCTGCAGTGAGCGTGAACGGCACAAAGCAGCTCAATGGCAAACCCAAGGCAAGCCGACATCCTCTCGACCCTCTGACGGGCGCAGAGATCTCAGCAACCTCTAAAGCTGTGCTCAAGTATCTTGTCGAACATGTTGCCGGTCCCAAAGCCTTCAAGATCGTCTATGTGACCTTGCACGAGCCACAAGACAAGATCGCTCTCTTGCGTTATCTTGGCATACCGACTTGCCCAGAGGAGGTCACGCCTGGCGGTTTCAAGCCTGACAAGTCCGTCTCCCTCGCGAGATGTGCAGAGACTTGCATCATCAATGCAGCCAGCGGCCTGTCATACGTCGTCAGGAGTACGCTCGACGAGTCGCTCAAGGTCACCATAGATGACTTTGAGCAGCTCGAGGAGCACGAGCAGCCCGCTATCACTGTCGAGGAACTCTTCGAATGCGAGACCGTCATTCGTGCAGACCCAAAAGTGCAACAGCTCTGCAGAGATGTTGGCTTTGAGCCAGACCAGCTCTTTGTAGATGGATGGGCGATAGGCATTACCACTCGATTCGAAGGCATTCGATTACAACAGGGCTTCTGTTACTTCCGTGTCCGCGACGAAGGCAACTTTTATGCCCACCCTGCTGACTTCGTCCCGGTCATCGACTCGAACGCTATGAAGGTCATTCACATTGACTTTCCAACACAATCCACCTCGCAACATCCAATCTCATCAGCAGGTACGACTGCTCCGCCAAGCTTAGACCAGGACGCGCTCAAGGCTGCTGGGCGAGACCGCATTGCGCCCCCTATGCAGCCCTTCGACTATCTGCCTGGGCCCTTGCTCGCTGACAAGCAGTCTGGCTTCAAGTATAGAGACGACATCAAGCCGCTTCATGTCGTACAGCCAGAGGGTGTCAGCTTCAAGATAGACGGACATCATGTCAGCTGGCAAAAGTGGGACTTTCATATTGGCTTCAATTGGCGCGAGGGTGTCACTCTGAACACAGTGACCTACAATGACGATGGCACGATCAGACCCCTGTATCGTTCAATCAGCATCGCCGATATGGTCGTCCCCTATGGCGAGCCCGCCTGGCCAGCGCCAAGAAAGTGCGCATTCGACAGCTCCGAATACGGAATGGGCACAGTTGCGAATTCACTTTCACTCGGCTGTGACTGCCTTGGCACGATTCAGTACCTTGACACGGTCTGCTCTGATCATGCAGGCAACCCTGTGACGATCAAGAATGCTGTCTGTATCCACGAGGAAGATGCCGGTCTGCTTTGGAAGCATAGCGATCTGAGACCCGGTGGCAAAGCACATGCCACCCGAGCCCGCAAGCTTGTCGTCAGCTTTGTCTGCACCGTGGCGAATTACGAATACAGCTTTGGCTATGAGCTATTACAAGACGGCACACTGACACTCGTGACCAAGCTCACGGGTATGCTCAATATATACGTGCTTGCCGAAGGCGAAAAGGCAGGCGCGCATGGTGTCGAAGTTGCGCCAAGGCTCAATGCACATCACCATCAGCATCTGTTCTCGCTGCGCATAGATCCGATGATCGACGGCATCAGGAATAGTGTCGTAGAGACAGACATTGTACCTATGAAGGCAAAGACAGGCTCAAAGGAGAATTATTTCGGCAATGGCTGGACGAGCGAGAAGACACTGCTCAAGACGACAAAGGAGGGCGTCAGAGATGCAGACTTTTCAAAGAGCCGCTCCTGGTCGATGATTCAGCCCGGCAAGACGCACTACTCAAGCAAGCAGCCCGTTGGCTGGAAGATCATGTGCAAAGTATGTGCTGCGATCTGTCACTGGATTCGACTGACATGCAAACAGGACATTGTACCCTTGCTTGCTCAGCCAGACTCTCTCGTTGCTACAAGAGCGCCCTTTGCAAAGCATTCACTCTGGGTTACACCGAACAAGCCGGACCGCCAGTGGCCCGCGGGCAAGTGGGCGACTCAGTCGATGGTCACACCGAAGGATACCGTGCAGGCCTGGGTCGAAGGCGATCAGAAGATTGACGACGAGGATATCCTCATTTGGTTGACGTTCGGCACGTCGCATATCGCACGACCCGAGGACTTCCCTGTCATGCCCGTACGTACGCTCTGACAGGGCTCACGCGGAAGTTGACCTTGTGGAGCAGGTCGAGCATCTTTCGGTCACGCTGAAGCCAGTAGGCTTTTTCAATGTCAATCCGGCACTCGACGTGCCGAGCACAATCGATGCAAAGTCCAGACTTCACGAACACGGCTCCACTGATCAATTGACAGCAGCTCAAGACTCCAGTAACGGTCATGCCGTCCACGTAGACAACGCTTGCTGCGCTTGATCAACTTTACCCGTCAATGCATTTCACGTACACTCGCGTTCGCTGAGGTTGTGTTCGATGTTCTGTGCGTTCATTGGTTGTCGTGTTGTGATCTACAGTATGATTGGCCAATCGAGGTCGTCGCCGTAGTAATGATGCACGGATTTAGTCTCCAGATACGCTTCCAGTCCTTGCAGGCCGAGTTCTCTACCCCAACCGGATTGCTTGTAGCCACCAAAGGGTATCTTGGCGTCTGCAGCGACGTATTGATTGATCCAGACCGTGCCTGCTTTGATCCGGCGGGTGACGCGATGTATTTGATTGACGTCTGTTGAGTGGACGCCGGCTGCGAGTCCATAATCCGTTGCATTGGCAATCTGAATCGCTTCCGCTTCGTCCTTGAACTTGATGACAGCTGCGACCGGTCCAAAGATCTCGTCAATCGCAATAGCGTTCTCTTGAGATACGTTCTCGAAAATCGTTGGCTCTACAAAGTACCCCTTTGTGCCTTTTCGTACACCACCCGTTGCAACTTTTGCGCCTTGTTGCTTGCCCTTCTCGATGTAGCCCATGATTCGCTCAAAGTGAGTCTTTGAGATTTGTGCACCCATAAAGGTATCGGCATCGAGTGGATTGCCAACCTTGACCGCTTGAGCTGCTTGTACGAACAGCTTGATGAACTCGTCATAGATAGATTCTTGTACGAGCACGCGGGATCCGGCAGTGCAGGACTGTCCCATGTTCTCGAAGACACCAAACGCAGCCTGCCGGCAAGTCGTTCATCAGTCGTCATTTCCAGGCTTCGCGAGACGAGACGTACCCATTTCGCCGCTTCCTTGAGATTCGCAGATGCAAATACAATATTGGGCGACTTTCCGCCGAGCTCGAGAGTGACTCGCTTCAAATTTGTCTTTGCAGCAGTGATGGCGATCTGTCGGCCGACCGCGGTGGAGCCTGTGAAGGCGACCTTGTCGATATCCATATGCTCGACGAGTAGTTGACCCGTCGTCTTGCCGAGACCGTTCAGGACGTTGAAGGCGCCCGCTGGATAGCCTGCCTCGTGGACAAGCTCGGCAAGCTTGAGTGTCGAGAGCGGCGTATTCTCAGCGGGTTTGAAGATGATGGCGCAGCCTGCAGCGAGTGCAGGGGCGACCTTCCACGACCACATGACGATGGGATAATTCCAGGGGCAAATCTGCAGAACGACGCCAATGGGTTCCTTGCGCACTGAAGCATACTTTTGCCGGTCGTCAACTTCAATGGTCGCGCCTTGAATCTTATCTGCCGCGCCGGCAAAGTAGCGCAGACAGGTCGTGGCGTCGCCGATATCTGCCTTGCACCAGCTGATCGGCTTGCCCGAGTCTGCGCATTCTATGGCAGCTAGCTCCTACACGTGTGGATCTGCTCAGCTTGCATGAGACTCTAGGATGATCGACCAACCTCTGTGGCGGCATCCATGAGATCTGCGAGCTTGAACATGAGTCGCCCTCGCTCTGTGCCTGCGGTGTTGGTGCCCCAAGTGGTCTCGAAGCATTCTCGAGCGATAGCGACGGCATTGTCGACATCTGCCTGATTGGCCGTCTGTACTGTACCGAGCGTCTCTTCTGTCGCCGGATTGACTGTGTCTAGCGAGTCTCCATGTCCTGCAGTGTATACAGATCAACGTTATGCTCACTTGCGCTCTTCAGACTCGCCTGGCACGAATTGGCCGCCGACGAAGAGGCCGACTGGCACGCTATAGCTGCCAATCTCGACAGTTGGGACGGCAGAGCTCATCTTGCGTATAGGTGCAGCTCGGCGTGCAGTCGATGTGCAGCGACTCAGACGAGTATACGTGGCCAAGCGTACAAGCTTCGTGGAGCTGGCGAGCATGCGCGTGCGAGCTTGTTCCCGCGAATGCGCTTGATCGAGGGAAACGCGCGGAGACGGAGAGACCAGCCCGCCTTCCCTATCGCAAACGCAAATGAGTGTGGGCGCGACCCTTGGCGTTCCTATCTTGTTCGGCTACTGTCTCCTCGAAGCTCTGGACGCCTGGACAGCATGACAGCCCAGGAGCTGCAACGAACGTCAATTGAGCAGTCTTCGCAGTCGTCGGGCGACGTTGCGGTGCTCAAAAAGAGCCTGACGACAGATAGCAAGCAGCCTACGAGCCATGTCGTTGAATCTGGCTTCGTGTCGAGCGATGAAGCGGATGCACAGGCACTCGCTGCTCTCGGTATCGAGCAACAGTTCTTGCGAGACCTGGGGGGATTAGAGATCTTCTCCATTGGCTTCAGCATCTTTGCCGTCGTGCCTGGCCTCGCCGTCGTCTTTGCCTACTCACTCGAAGGCGGTCCCGTGGCCATGGTCTGGGGCTGGCTCGTTGCATCGATCTTCATCGTCACCATCGGCCTCATGATGGGCGAGCTGGCAAGCGCAATGCCCAGTGCAGCAGGCATCTATCTCTGGTCCTACAAGCTTTCGCCGCCTTGGTGTCGCCGACAGATCTCCTGGACCGTCGGCTATCTTTCCACCGTCACGTCGACAACGGCGCTCGCCTCTGTCAATTGGGCCACCGCCCAGATCATTCTCACCACAGCTACAATCAAGACGGAAGGCTCATTCACATACTCGAATGGCGCTGTCTTTGGTGTGTGCACAGCGGTGACACTGCTAGAGACGATGATCTGCTGCCTGTCTACAAAGGCTGTCGGACGGGCCGAATTGCTCTTCCTCGCGCTCAATATCGGTCTCATCTTGGCCGTCGTCATAGCCGTGCCTATTGCTACCCCCGGAGAATATCGCAACAGTGCGAGCTTTGCTCTTGGCGACTTTGAGACCGGTCTTGGCTGGAATGGCGGCTTTGCCTTTGTCTACGGCTTGCTCGGCGCCTCCTGGACGATCGCCAATTTTGACAGTCTGACTCGACTGAGCGAAGAGTGCAGCAACGCTCAAGTGGCTGTCCCCCGAGCACTCTATCAATCCATCTCCATCGCTGGCGTGTTCGGCACCATTTGCCTCGGTGCGATCACGTTCAGTATGGGTACAGATCTGGAAGCGATCAGCGATACAGACCTTGGCAACCCTTTGGCACAGGTCTTCTACAACTCGCTCGGCAAAGGCGGCGCGATTGCCATGTGGATTTTCATCATCCTGGCTCAAATTGCGCTCGGAACCTCTCTTTTGCTTGCAAGCGCACGTCAGGTCTTGTGAGTCATTCCTTGAGCGATCAGACACATGCTGACAAGACGGCAGCTCTTTCTCGCGCGACGACGCTCTGCCTTTCAGCGGCTGGTGCAAGACAGTGCGCGCCAATATCCCCATCAATGCGACGATGTATACTGCCTTCGTCACCACGCTCTTCACAGCCATCTCTGCCTCTTCAGACTATTCGAGCAGTGCCATCTTCTCGGTCAGGTCAGTGGCGTGCGATTCGCGCGTGCCTGTTGCTGATGAGGAAACGCAGTATTGTGAGCATGTATCTGGGCTATTCGGTCCCGCCCATCTGTCGATACGGCTTCTACGACTACAATAAAGACTTCCGCAAGGGACCCTGGCATCTCGGCCGTTTCTCCTTTGTCATCTATCTTATTTCCGTCGTATGGATGGGTATGCGCATTTTCTTTGGTCATCAGAGCCTTGCTGACCATGGCGCGACAGTCTTCATGACCGTCATTGCGATGTTCCCAGCGAGCTCGATCACGAGCTTCTCAGAGGCCAACTATGCCGTGCTCGTCATTGCTTTCTGTCTCTTCGTCACTGCTTTATATTGGGTCTTCCCCTTTGGTATCGGCGCACGACATTGGTTCGTAGGACCACCGGTCGAACAAGATCCAAGTCTGCGGGATCAGATCGAACCAAAGCCGATGACAGAAACGTCATAGATCAGTCTGCTAACATTATGTTCACGATGCTTGCTGGCTGTAACTCTAGGTTGTACGAACAAACAAAGTCACATATAACTCGCTTCTTGATCATCTAAGAGATATTCATACTGAACTCGGTCAGCCCTGGCTGTCATGCTAACATTTGTCGCGTGACATGGCAGAGCAGTCAGAAGGAACGCCTCTGCGATCGAACACTCCATGTCGCGACTGTCACTCTAGCGTCCTACCGCGGCCTTGCAGCTAGCTCGTCCTACTTCTCATCAGCGTCTGACTCCCAATCACGTGTCGAGTGAAACAAGTCTTGACCCGCCGACAGCGCAAGCAGCGTCAGCAGAAACACTTTCGCTCCTCAAGGTTGTGTACTGATCGGCGGCCCAAGTGGACAGGTATCGCCGAATCTCCCGAGCAAGCTCGCCATACGGACCTCGCGCTTCCATTGCAACGGTTGCGACCGTCTCCTGCCCAGAAGATACGATCATGCGACATTGCGGCATCTTCGTGTTCCCCGATGACGAGCCAACCGATGCTTTGTGGGAACCTGTCTCTGATGCCGTAGACACCTACCTACAAGCCCGCGCGGGTCACGACGAAGCATCCCTGGAAAGCCTGAAAATCTGCAAAAGACACTTTGACCGCATGAATGTGGGCGACGAGCTCGTTTTCAAGGCAGTCTTGAACCAGAGAGGATGTTACGCTTCTGGTGTCACTTTTTTGCCGCAAGATCGCTCCCATGCAGTGGGACTTCGCTGTCTACGGCCAGATGCTTGAGGAATACCTCGAATGATCAGCTCGCAGCACTCCAGTCGATGAATCATGCTTTCAAACTGCTCGAGGAGGAGCATCGAGGCTTTCCCCCAGGCAATCTTTACATCTTTACCGATGAGACGGCTAATGCGCTCTTTACGAAATACCCATGGATCAGAGCACCGCGCAGCTATCGCGGCACAGTCAGGGCCACCATGATCCCTTCTGGCAAGCTCGTTCTGGGAGTCAAGTGCGCTCTCAAGGCAGCGCACTGCGTTTTCGAGTCAGGCAGCGATGTCACATTCAACTTTGATCATCTCGGAGCCATCCGTTTCGCGAGAGCTTGATGGCAGGTTTGCCGCGATTCTCAGGGTGGCCAAGGAGGCAAGTATCGAACGTTGTTCGTGTGATGCATTGCACGAGCGAGCTAGCAGTACGTGCCTCTCGTTATACAAAGACAGGCATTTGCCGCCAACGATGCTTACGCACTGTACTGTGGGACTCGAGTCATGGCGGCAAGACGCTGCTGTCCGGCTCATGCGCGTATGCAGAAGCACTGCAATGCGCGAGTCGAGGAGAGTCGTCAAAGTCGTCTTGAGTCCGAGTCGGGGGAATCTCGAAGGTCAGTGTGTCCACGTTGAAGCTTTCCTCTTCGTCGACCACACAGCGTGCCATGCTTCACAAAACAAGATGCAAGAACTGATTGTCGCCGCGATAAGTGTAGGCGGCAAAGGGCTCGCCCACAGTAAAGCCAAGCTTCTTATACAGCTCTACGGCTGGATATAGCCGAGGCATCGTCCCTGTCTCGAGGGATAGCCTCGAGAGGCCTTGTGTGCGGGATTGCTTGGTGATGTGCTTGAGCAGAGTCGTCGCTGCTCCCTTGCGCAGATGCCTGTCCTGCGTGCGGAACGTCTTGAGCTCGCCGGTCTCGCCATCGTCTAGCAGCTTGAGCGCGCCCACACAGGCCAGATCGTGATCGAACCAGAGCGTATGGACGGTCATCTTTGGATCTAGATAAGGCGTAAAGTCGGCCACGAAGGGAAGAGGTAGCTGCATATCGCTGTGTCTGAGCTGCATTTGCTGAGCCAGAAGTGCTTTGGTCGGCTCCGAGAGGCTTCCATGCTCGACTTTGAACGTCACATCGTGCGAAGGCGGCATGGATGGAGCAAGAGTGCAGGAGCACCCAGCACGTGCCACGTGTCGCCTCGACGCTCGAATTTCTTCTCCAAGTCGCGCCTGTTGGTTTGTAGAAGCGCTCACTCCCGACGAGTGCCCAGTGTGCAAGGATGGTCGCAAAGAAGAAGGGTGAGTCCTCGTCTTCATGTCCAGCCGACCACGATCGATCCGTCGACGTCCACGAGCCGCGACGAAACATTAGAAGGGGCCTGGGCACAAGTGGTCGAACAAGGACAATGCTATGGAGCGTGGTGCCCCAGCATCATTTGCCGCTTCCTCCGCATCAAGCGAGCCTTTCCTCCATACGATATCATCCAATGCACTGAGACTGGGCGCTTTGGCCCGTCTTGTTGACATGTCTGCTGCCTTCGGATCGCAAGCTCGTTCAAAGTACCATGCCGATCTGACAACTTCGTCAGCAGCTACGGGTGGTGCCATCAAGAAGAGATCAGCCTACAACAAGTACATGAAGGTCAGTCTGACCATACCTTCGTATCATGTCTGCATCAGTGCAACCCCTCTCTGTGTGTCGGACTTGCCCCGCGCAGACCGTCATTCATTCGGGATGTGCTGTCTCTGATGCCGCTGCCGTCTGCTGCAGGGAGCCCTTGGACGCATCAAGGATGAACATCCCGACATGGCCCACAAGGAGCGCTTCACGCTGGCTGCTCAGCAATGGAAGACGTAGGTCATGCGCTATCGCTTCCCAGGTCGCAGCTGATCCTGTCCTGATGTGCAGTCATCCCGACAACCCGTGAGACAGATCAGACGGTACTCGTACTAGATATTGATGCACGTACGCAGCAAAAGCAAGGCATAAGCCCCTGCTCCTGGGAGCTCAAGTACCCCGCATGCTCAGTACCCAAACCAAAAGCTCAACGCAAGTTCATTGGACGAATCAGATGTTGCAGAATCATGCTATCGTGACGACTTTTGCTGTACTTTGGCTTGCTCGCGGAGCCGCTGTCATGACCAATGTATCTGGATACCCTCTGTCGTGCGATGCTGTCGGTGATCACGAGACAGCTTCCATCTCGTCGTCGGACAGATCTTCGTCTTTCAGTGAGCCATGTGCCGGTCCTGCAGTCGGCAGAGGGGCTGAGCGACCACCGGGTGCCTCTTGGACTGCTTTGGCGGCTGCGAGTGACTTGAAGGCAGGAGCGAGCGAGTAGAGACCTGCATAAGGCCCGCTTGCGTTCATGATGGCGACGTCTGTCATGATCTCCTTCAGCCAGGCATCGGGTTGCGCAATTCTCTCTTTCTGCAGCAGCGTGCGCGATGAGCTGCGCTGACATGCAGTGGAAGGAAGCCTACGATGTTACGCAAGGACCAGTATTCGTGAGTGGAGAAGAGGGCCATGATCTGATCCGTGACTTCTGCTCGAGGCGCGCGAGCCAGCTTCTGATCAGCCGCTGTTTTTGGCCTTGCTTTCTGCTCGATTTGGATACATCAGTCTGTCGCTCGATACGCAGGGCAAAGGTGACGGACGACCAAACTAGGCGTCATGAGCGATTGCTTCAGTCGCAGAGCACCCGAGGCCAGTCTGTTAGAGGTAGCCATGTCCTCGTTGAGTGCCTGAACGACTCGTTTGGGCTTTTCTGCCACTTCGATTCGTTTGCGGATGATGGCTCGGTAGACGTCTGACTCGAAATCAGGGCGGGCCTGACATTCGTGTGCGACGCGGCCAATGTAAGTCGGTTCGCCTGTCGCAATGACCCTATCAGCACACAGCTCAATCATGTCGAGAGGCTGGTCGACTGACGAGGACGTTTTTGATGCTGACGTCGGACAGCTCGAACGCCGTCGGTACTATTGGGCGCGACCAATGACTGTGGAGTAGACACCTTTTCCGCAAAGACGTAGGCGTTCTTGGTCGCCTTGTTCGTCATTGTGAGCTCATACTCTGCAGGTATCTCGTCCCCGCTCGCTCGTGATGACGGGCCTGCGACACCGGTCGGGAGAACGAGTGCCATCTTGGGTTCGCCATCCGGTCCTTTGCTGAGCGCGCGCACCGAGATGAGCAGTGTTCAGCGATGACGCAAGGCTGGCGTACCTGTCGGTGGAGATCCTGAGATTGCCGATGACGGCATTCTCGTCGGTGATGCTCGACCATCGATCCAGCAAGAAGTTAGGCACCTGTCACAGTACATCAATGCTGCTCTCTGCCCGCGCAGAGCCAGGGCGGACCTTGACGAGCCAGATGCTGCTTCCTTGAGAATGAGCGGGTATGCTGAAGTCCTCGCCCTCGTCATCAGGTGCATCTACTATCTCGCCTGAGTTGATCTGTGGTGTCGCCTTGCCCTTCCCCTTGAACTGTCGTTGAGGGCTCGTGTCGACTGCCTCCAGATCTTCCAGGTCTAGATCATCGTCTGCATAGCCATATGACATCTTGTCGGCCTTGGGCTGTCTGCCCGTGACTGGCTGGCGGTAGGCGTGGGATGCAGTCGTTGATCGAGTCTCGGCGCGATGCTGTCATTGCTGCTCGAGTCCGACTGTCCTGCCCCTCTCAGTAGATGGTCAGTCTGACGAGTCAGCCCTCAGGAAGGACCAGCGATTGACTCTCGAATCTAGTCCACGACCAACTACCTCGTCTCCGGTACTTCTGCAGCGAGTCTACAGAACAGGGATGACGTCGGTCACGCCAGTGAGGTGTGGTGTCTGAATTGGTCCAAGAGTGGCCTCGTCGCTAGCGGATCATGCGATGGGACCTTGAAGACATGGTCAGAGCTGTCCGCCTGACACTCAGCTCAGCGATTGACTCGCAGCGCTCTCAGGAACCCAAGTGATCCCAATGTCCCTCTACGTACTTTCGCGCCAAACCCATCTACCGAGCAAAGTCGTTCGCTTGGCATCGTCTCTGTCGATCTGGAACACTCGCCTACGTCTCCCAGCTTCCTCGTCACGAGCGCTGTCCATTCTGTCTTGAGACGTTACAATGTTAAAACAGGCGATTTGCAAGCTAGCAAATCGATACCGTCCGGTCAGTCGGCACGTGCAATGCGGGCCATTCGAGACTCATACGGTTTATCAGCGGGCGCGTGGCAGGTCTCGCTACATCCCGACATCACACTCGATCAGATGGTCACTGCCGGCACGGGCTGCAAAGTGCGCATACTTGATAGCAAGAGCGACACTTTCGGCACCGAGCTAGCAGCCACGACATGCAGGGGCAAATTCGCGATGTGCGTCAGCTATGTCAGTCATTTACCCTACAGGAAAACAAGCCCAAGCCCAGACTCATGCCGAGTATAGAGTCCTGACGGTCGGCTCATCGCCACTGCAAGTGACACCGGGCAGGTCGATTTGCTCGATGTCCAGACGATGCGCATCGTGCAGTCCTTCCCAGGCTAGTAGCTCTTCCTGTAAGAGTGTTGGCATGCTGATTTAACACCTCACACACAGCTCACGCAACAGCGATCCGTTCTCTGGCGTTCTCGCCAGATTCGAGCTTGCTTGTGACGGGCTCCGATGATCATCGCATGAGCATCATTGACCTACGGGCGAGCCAGTCGGGTGACAATGCCCGCAAGTCGCGGCAGAGTGTCGTCTCCAGCTTGGCCGGCCACGCTGGCTGGGTCACTTCGGTATCAATCAAGTCGGATGCTCGTCTTCTCGCCAGTGGTAGCGTAGACGGGTTCGTTCGAGAGCATCGCCTTCAACTTCGCTTACATTGGGGCGCAGGACGATCAAGATATGGGATCTCCATATGCCAGGCAGTGCACTGACGACGATACAAGATCAGAAGAGAGACGTCTGGGCGCTTGCTTGGCGCCCGGATCCTCCTCAGCCTGATGCTCAGGTTCAGGGCATCTCTGGCTCGCGCCTGGGTGGCGGCAATTTCGTCTCGGGTGGTGCAGACGGTGCTCTTAGATGGTACCGCAGTGCAGGCAGTTGATGAACGCCTCGATGGACAGCAGCCCCGCGTGAAGCGTGCGTGCTTCCAACAGAGCTCGGCTTTCGAATTTGTTGTACGTGCGACTTCGGACTGGCCAAGCAGAACGGAGCGCGTCGCGTTTTGTTAGCCAAGTGCGCGAGCCAACGGACGGTCGACGTAGCAGTGAGATGGCGTTTCTGCCAGTCCTACAGACTGTGCCGATCGTGACACGAGCCTTCACGGTGGTGATCGTGCTGTTGTCACTCATCCTGACCGGCTTGCGGTTATCGCTAGACGACCGTGATGTCAAGGATGTCTTCAACGGCGGTATGGACAGCACGCTCGCCTATCCCTGGATCGTCCTCGTTCCCGGTCAGGCCATCTGGAAGCCATGGACGCTCTTCATCTCCAGCTGGGTCGAAGTCAATCTGTTCGAGGTCAGCAAGAGCCTCACTCGCGCCCGTAGGATTGGCTCAACCTCGCCCTCTGCGCAGATGATCTTCTCAGTCCTCACCTTTGTCATGGCAGGCCGATACCTAGAGCGAGTTTGTCCGTGGCCAAGCATCTCAAGCGACACGGTCACTCATGGCGCAGCTACCCATTGCAGGGGGCCCGACAGAATTCCTCAAGTTCATCGTCGTCGTGACCGTGGCTTCGAATGTCATTGCGGTCGCTGTCAACATCATCGAGCACATCCTCTTCCAAGGGACGGGCTTGTTCTTGTTCGTCGTGCGGTCACAACAGCGTCCACAAGAGCAGCTGACGCGACTGTTTGCCCAGATACGGCATGTCATATCACGGCTTGATGGGCCTACAAGCTGGCTTCCTCGTCGCGTTCACCCAATTGATACCGGAGCATCAAGTCCAGCTCTTTGGTGGTCTCGTCAAACGTCGGGTCAAGGCAAGTTTGTCCACTCTGGTCGTGCGTAGTTTCAGATAGCCCAGCAGGACTTGCCAATGATCTATGTCGCCGTCTCCAACGTAGCCTGTATCATCGGCTACCAGTCGCCGTGGATCCTGATCCAATTCGGCTGGCTCGTCTCATGGTTCTATCTGCGATTCGTCAAATGGAACGAGGGCGCAGACTTCCGAGGGGATCGCTCCGATACGTTTGCCTTTGCAAACTGGTTCCCGCCTTTTGCCCAGTCAGTGCAATACCCCTTTCATAAATTGCCAATGTACTGAAGCAATCCGGCAGGAAATATGTCGCCAAACTGTCAGAGTTCGTTTTCAGTCTGGCGATACGGCTGCGACTCACAGAGCCCTGGGCGCCCAACGACGCAGAAGCAGCCGCATATGCTGGCGTACCTGGCGGTTCACGCGCAGAAGCAGAGCGAAGGAGGCAAGCCTGCAGCTTCATTCCACGCGGCAGGGTGCTGATGCTCCCGCAGGGCGATGGCGCTCAAGGCACTCGATCAGCGCATGGCGTCCAAGCCGCCAACTCGGCCCGCACCTGCAGCATCGAGCGAGCCTAACAGTGCAGGCCTGAGTGAGGTCACACATGCTTCTGCCATGCCATCAGCGCTCAGCGCGCCAAATGAGACGGTCTTTGACGCCTCACAAGCACTGGACATGAAGAAGGAGAGAGACTAGAGGCGCGACACGCTCTCGTCGCCGGGCACGATGTGACGATAATTGCAGCATGCATGTAGTCTGTCTACATTCGGATTTGACATACAACAACGCTTTCCTCTGAATGACGGATAAGATCCATCTTAGCCAGGTCCGACCTTGGGAATGTCGTAGTGCTCTGACAGGCTCTCTAGCTTGCTGTTGAAGCTGGCCACACGATCCTTGTGAGTGACCTGGGCTTGCTTTGCCACCTTGTCCGCGAGCTGAAGGGCAATGTCAGCGTGTGGGAACGGGCTAAACGGTGTACGGGCACTCACGCGCTTCCTCTGAGTCTCTTCGAACCTCAGCTCAGCAGCAGTCTTGTGCGGCGGGGCATAGCGAGCTTTCTGAGCTATCTCGCTTGTCCCTGTCCGAGGGCTCTGACTGCGCTCATTCGTCTTTCGCGCTTCGTCCTGCTCAGTCCGCGCTACCGCGCTGCCCTTTGGCAACTCGTGGAGGGAAGCGTCCGATGTCGACGAGCGCTTCTTCTTGCCGCTCTTGCCCTTGAGCTTGAGCGAGCCGCCTATGAATTCGCCCATGGCCGAAGAGGCCGAGCGTGCTGATCACCCGGGGCGTGGTGGCAAGCCAGCTCGAATCGCTTTTCCTCGCTTTTCCTTGTTCGCGACTGATTTTCGTCACCGACCATTATCACCTCTTGGCAGCACAATGCGGACATCGACCCAGTCACAGTAGTGCCCCGGGCCCTCACTAGCGCTCTCATCGGGCCAACAAAGCCTTGACGAGATCGACAGAGCCTCAGCATCGCTGTCAGCCGCGATGGGCGTCATTACTATCGAGACCGATGTCGATAGCATTTCAACGGCTCTGGCCGTACTGGGCTTCTACATCGTCATCATTGGTCTGGGCTCCTACACGCTCAAAGAGAAGCTCTACCTGTCAGATGCGCTCATCGCCATCATCGTCGGTATCATCGTCGGACCCATTGGCACAAACTGGATATCGCCTTGGATCTGGTCAGACTATGACGAAGAGCTGAGGAACAAGATCACATACGAGTTCATGCGTATCGTCATTGGCATCCAAGTCTTGTTCTGTGGCATCAGCTTGCCCGTCAGTCTGACTCCACATACTCTGAGCACTGCTCACTCGGACAAATCGTGCAGGGAAAGTACTTGCTCAAGGCATGGAAGTCACTGGCGATGATCTTGCTGCCCGTCATGACCGCGGCCTGGTTCGTGTCTTCACTCATCATCTGGGGACTCGTGCCCGGTCTCACCTTTCTCGAGGCGCTCTGCATCGGCGCCTGTCTCGCCCCAACAGATCCCGTCTTGAGTAACAGCGCTCTCAAGGTGAGCTGACACGAGTTCACACGCGCTCTCTGCTCACGCATGCACACATCTGTCAGGGCAGATTCGCTGAGAAGCACGTACCCACTCATCTGCGCAATTTCCTCGCCGCCGAGTCCGGCGCGAACGATGGTCTCGGGTTTCCCTTTATTTTTCTGGCGATAGATCTCATGAAGCGGCGTGTCGAGGGGCATACCATCGCTGAAGGTCTCCAACAATGGATAGTCGCAACATGGGTCTACCAGATCGTCATTTCCTGCCTGGCTGGCGTCATCATCGGCTGGGGCGCAAGTAAGACCTTGCAAGAAGCTCGCAAGCGGCAGTTCATAGATCACGAATCGTTCCTGTCATACGGCTTCGGTCTAGCTGTCAGCTTCTTGCTACTCAGACGAATTTTTGCTGACAATTCATGCACAGTTCTTCACGCTCGGCGTGCAGGGCCTCATGGGGTCAGATGATATCCTATGCGCGTTCATAGTCGGCAACGCTTTCACATGGTACGCAAAGCTCTTATAGCCGAATGTGCATATCGCTGACATGGCTGCAGGGATGACGTTTATCGACGAGAGACAGAGGACCACAGCTTTCAAGACTTGATCGAGTCACTCGTCAATTCGGCTGTCTTTATCTACATCGGCACAATCCTGCCATGGTCAGACTTTGGCAATATGGCCTTTCAGCTGACAGCATGGCGACTTGTCGTCGTCGCCATCCTCATCTTACTCATCAGACGACTGCCCTGGGTCTTATTGACATACCCTTGGATTCCCGACATTGTCGACGCCCGAGAGGCAGTCTTTGCGGGATTCTTCGGTCCCATGGGTGTTGGTGCCGTATATTATGCCCAAGTCGCCTTGCGAGAGCTGCCAGAGGAACGCACACATCTACGAGAAGTGATTGTGCCGACGGTATACATGGTCGTTCTGTGTTCAGTCATCGTACATGGCACCACTCTGCCCATCTCAAGCTTTGGTACGAAGGTCGTCACACGCACGCTCAGCACCTTTTCGACAAGCTCTGGCTCGGGCACTCGCGCAAACAGCGACGTCGAGAGCGGACCGCTGACGCCGACACTGAAAGATGGTCAGGAGCATACGCACGAGGTTCCCAAGAATGGCTTCTTTGGCGACGGAGATCATGATCATCGGACAGCCTCACGACCCCACGGAGCCGCAAAAGCCGGCGCAGGCAGCGGCGGAGGAGCTAGTGGCGAGGACAGGCGGGTCGCTTTCGCCGGCGACGAGGCCGGAAGCTCAGGCAGCAGCGAGACTGCAACCGGTCACGACCAAGAAGCGAAAGAGCATCCTCATTCCAAGGACATGAAGGAAGCCATCGGTCGACGTAACGACGAAGACGAGGTGTATCGCGAAGGCAAGTTTGTCGTCATCGAGTGCAAGGACGGCACAGTACGTAAAGAGCTCGCGAGCGATTATGACCGAGAGAATGCACAGTCGGGGGAGGACAGCAGCGGCCAGAGGAAGCAGTAGACTTATACATTGTTGTTGCATTACGCATTGCCGAGCTTGAGCTCAAGCCCCTCGTCGCGTTGCTGAGCCGACCCCGCGTCCGCGACTGAACAGCACTTCAAGCCAGTGCACACAGGTAGTTGCCTTACGGCGAAGCCTTGCCCGCACTTGGTCACGACACGAGTTGGCTCACACGAAGAGCCTGTGGCAGCAGCAGTGCGAGAGAGCAAGCGTTCGGGTTCATCGCTTATTTGGGGATCGACGCCCACACGCGTGCCGTAAAGTGAGCCGATCTCACCGCCATTGTGGCTAGGGCGCGACGATAGTCCGGCTCGCAAACGACAAGCAGCGAACGAAGACGCTAGCAGGCACGACTGCTGACAGTGCCGACAGGGTGTCGCTCTCCACAGCGTGCTTGTGCCGAGCAAGATGATCGCGATGCCTTTGAGAAGGATCAGCTTGGTAGCTTCCAAGCATCCTATCGAGCTCGTCGTCTTGGGCTTCATCCTCGTCACGCTCAGCTACTTCCAGGTCGTCAGGATAGTGAGGACGTCAGAGTTTCTCAGGCAGCCGGATCAAGCTACGGGCGCTCATACTGCCGTTGGGCAAGATCCCAAAAGCTGGCACGAGCGACTGATCACCTTTGAAAAGACATCTGGACAGTCCTTCTGGGCACAGGTGTCTGCATCTCCAGCGCTCAGTGATGATCAGATCGTCGTGCAAGAGGTCGTCGTCGCTCTTGATCGCGCAGGCCAGCCCACGCCGACGAGTCCAGATCAAGAGACTTTCGAGGCTTACCTTGATTCGCTAGCGAGCGTGTTGACGCACGACGTCGCCATCAATTCGAGTAGAGGTCGCACAGACAAAGCATTAGACTACGCTGCACTGTGCTATCGAGCCAATCCGAGCGACCAGACTTGCTTGACGGACAGCATCTCCTTTGCCACCGATAGAAGCGAAAGAGATTATGCCTACATACCACCTGCAAAGCAGTCCGCCAGCCTTTTCTTTGCGCTCAAGGGTGACGCGGAAGACGTGCGTCAGTGGGCTGCGGCTATCGCTGATACATCGCGCCTTGAGCCTTTGTTGGCGTCACATGCCTCTAGGCCTTCAACGGCAGACTCGCCAGCACGACCGACAGCCACAGCAGTGACGTCGAAGCCCTTTTCGCTGGCCAATAGGCCCTTAGATGTCAAGCCAGGCCTAGGCTTCACCTTCAGCTTCAGCCCCAGAGCACGGTCGCCTGAAGGTACAATGACGATGGATGAAATGCAGAGCTCGAAATGGGTCATATACGCCTTGAGAGCATTCTTCATGCGCTTTCTACACTTAGCCAGAGTAAGTGTTGCCTTTTCGTATTTAAATTCGAGCGTCTGACGCGTTTGTGCCGTATAGAAAGCAGACTCTGCTGATATTTTCGTCATGCTCATGGGCTATGTCGTCATGCACGGCACTTTCGTCAGTCTCTTTCTCAACATGCGCAAGTTGGGCAGCAAATTTTGGCTAGGCAAGTCTCTCACCCGACCTGCTCCGAAGAATCGCTCGGATCCTGACGCTCGGCCCTTTTGCGCACAGGCGCATCAGTGCTACTTTCATCCACCTTTGCTTTCTTCGTGGCTCTGTTGATCGCTCACTTGTCGAGTCTCAAGGTCAATCCAGTACTGCTGTCAGAGGCCTTGCCTTTCCTAGTCATCACTGTCGGCTTCGAGAAGCCATTTCTCCTCACAAAAGCCGTCTTCGATAATCCCGCCATTGCACCACTGGGACAGCCAGATCGTCCTGGAGGCGAGGAGAACTACTTCGTGCCAAGATCACATCGCAACCAATTCAGAGAGACGAGCTCAGGCATCGGCAGCCCAACCGGTGACCGCACTCGTAAGGTCGGCGTTCGCTGGGCCGCCCCCTGCTCTGCAAGCGATATCGTCGTTGCTGCAGTAGAAAAGACAGGCAGTGGCATCGTTCGGGATTACGTTATCGAATTCGCCGTACTCACTGTTGGCGCAATGAGCGGACTATCCGGACTCAAAGAATTCTGTCATCTCGCTGCTCTCATCCTCGTCTTTGACTGCGCCTTCCTCTTCTCGTTCTATGTCGCCATTCTCACCGTCATGGTTGAAGTACATCGCATCAAAATCATGCGCGGGCTAAAGCGTAACGATTCCTCTGCCGACCTCGCGCGCATTCTAGACGATGGCAGCACAACTTTCTATGACCCGCCAGCACCTATCAGCAACCTCACAGCTAGTCAGAAGCTTGTCAAGCTTGTCACGGGTAGCGCGCCGGGTGACAAGGCCATGCAATCCAGCCCGACAGCTCGCCTGAAGCTGCTCTTGCTGATATCGTTCCTCGTGCTCCATATCAGTAACCTGCTGACTACGCTAAGACCCAGCACAGAGTCGTTCGCGACCAGTCTAACCAGCAATGACTCGGCCAGCGCGCTCGCTACATCGCCTAGCCTCACTCCCTTCTTGTCAGCGCTTGCAGGCTCGACATCTGGCAAAGTCGTGGCAACGATCGCACCTAAGGTCCAGCTGCGTGTTTTCTTGCCTGGCACTGCAGTCGCAACCTCCAGCTCCCTGGAAGTGCTCGGTCGCCTCATGGGCACTTGGAGTCATATCGTTGGCGACCCTGTCATGAGCAAGTGGATCATCATCGCTCTGGCAGTCAGCGTGTTCCTCAATGGCTATCTGCTCAAAGGGTTCGCTGTCGGCCCAGGAGGAACAGGCGAGGGCTTTGCACCAGCTAGCGCCGGCGAGGCAGCCGCGCGCATCCTCATCGCGTCCACGCGCGCTCATGCAAACGGTAAAGAAGCCGACGGGCGCATGAAGATGAAACGCAGATGGTCTGGTGGCGTTGAAGGGCTCTCGAAGCTGCAAAACGATTGGACGCTCGCTGACGCTGCAAGGCTCGCCAAAGAAAGGCGACTCAAGATGGTGGCAGAGGAGGAAAGACGTGATGCCGCTTTCCGCAGGTTGAGTCATTCTTCACAAGACAGCAATTCGCCCCCTGCATCTCCCATCTTCGTCAGACCAAAGGCTCGGCGACCAGATCAAGGGGAGACTGGTAATGGGGTCTCGTACAAAGAATTATCAACAGAAACGCTCCGACCTTTGTCGACGCAACCCACGATCGCGGTCACGCGCAGTGATGACGCAAGCTCTGCTGATTCCGAAGCCAACTCGAACTCATCGGTCTCTGATCCCGATTCGTCAGAGACCAATTTCACGCCGGCAACGACCGTCGCTGGCGAGAGCTTGCCCGTCACGCCAATCTCGGCGTCAATCAAGCTCAACGCAAGGCCACGATCATTCGAGCAGTGCATCGACATATATGCGGCTGGCGAGGGAATCGATCTTCTGGTCGACGAGGAAGTCGTTCTGCTCGTGCAGAAGGGTCGCATTGCAGCCTATGCCCTCGAGAAGCTTCTCAAAGACAACGACAGGGCAGTGCGCATCCGCCGCGCTCTCATTTGTACGTTTGGTCCTTTGGCTGGTTTGTGTGTACTGATGGTGTATGCAACAGCTCGAGCGTCGACTACAAAGTCACTAGAGAAGAGTCTGCTGCCATTCCGTCATTACGACTACGACAGAGTCATTGGCCAGTGCTGCGAGAACGTGGTCGGCTACATGCCCGTCCCTGTCGGCATTGCAGGTCCCCTCAGAATTGACGGTCATGCACTGCCGATACCGATGGCGACAACGGAAGGCGCGCTCGTCGCTTCGACGTCCAGAGGCTGCAAAGCTCTCAATGCAGGCGGGGGAGTGACCACGGTCTTGACACAAGATGCCATGACACGTGGCCCAGCGCTCGAGTTTCCTTCGATCACGTCTTGCGCCCGGGCAAAGAAATGGATCGATTCGCAAGAAGGGTCAGACCTCATGAAGGCGGCTTTCAACTCTACCTCTCGGTTTGCCCGACTTCAAAGTCTCAAGACTGCAATGGCGGGACGTACGTTATTCGTGCGATTCGCAACGCAAACGGGCGATGCGATGGGCATGAATATGATCTCCAAAGGCACCGAGAAAGCACTTGAGATGATGATGACCGAGCACTTTCCGGAGATGATTGTCGCATCGCTCTCCGGCAACTATTGCACCGATAAGAAGCCAGCTGCTATCAATTGGATCGAAGGCCGAGGAAAGAGCGTCGTCGCGGAGGGAGTTATCCCGGGAAGCGTTGTCAAATCTATCTTGAAGACGACTGTGGCAGACATCGTCAAGCTCAACATCACTAAGAACCTCGTCGGGAGCGCAATGGCAGGCTCGATTGGAGGGAACAATGCCCACAGCAGCAACATCTTAACGGCAATCTTTTTGGCAACCGGTCAGGATCCTGCGCAGAACGTCGAAAGTGCAAACTGTATGACGCTCATGGAAGCGGTCAACGGTGGCCAGGATCTGCTCATCACATGTACCATGCCCAGTATAGAGGTCGGCACAGTCGGAGGAGGAACGACGCTGCCGCCGCAGAGCGCAATGCTAGAAATGCTAGGCGTAAAAGGTCCGCATGCGACTGCGCCAGGCGATAATGCGCGACGACTGGCTCGCATCATCTGCGCTGCCGTCATGGCGGGCGAGCTGTCCTTGATGAGCGCTCTTGCAGCCGGGCATCTGGTGAAGGTAAGACTTCCTCGTCTTTTTGCAAGTGAGACTCATGTCCGTTGCACAGTCACACATGCAGCACAATCGCGCGCCTGCAGCTGCCCCTACTACGACGGACATCACCGGTCATACCTATCTGACGCCCCTGCCGACTAGGCCGAATACGCCTGGGCCATCGAGCCTCGCATTGAACCGGTTGGGTATGATAGGGCCTCTGACGCAAGCCACACCCTCGCTCTCGCCCGCGACATCCTCAACGCCTACGCATCGCTAGTATACCGGTAGTCAGGCTCATGCTCGTGCTCGATGCAGCGCTCGACGCAAAGAGGGCTCTTACCCGAGCAAGAAGCTGCTAATTCGATACCCCCTGTCAGTCCGTGTACGAAACTTTCGCAAACCTGTCATCAGCCCAACGCACTCTCGCAACTTGCAGTAAAAGCGCTCAACAGAGCTATCACGTCTGACTCTTGTACTGCCGCGCGGATCGAATGCAAATGCTCATTCCCGCCACTGATGAGCTTTAAATCTCGTTGAGTTGTGATGACGCGCGTGCGATAAGCTCAGTGTATGAGATTTGGCAGCCTCACAAGATCCTCTAGGCCAGCTTTCCGAGGACCTCTCTTGCAAAGATCGATCGCAATGTCGTCTGTCCTGCAAGCGACGACAGTGTCTGTCGAAGCAGCTACCAACTACGCTCGATCGAAAGTGCAAGGCGAGCGCAAGCCAGATGAGCGAGTACTCACGCTCGATTCGATCAATCACAACGTCAAGACGGCAGAGTATGCTGTGAGAGGTGCAATCGCTCTACGAGCAGAGGAGCTGCGGGTCAAGACGCAGAAGGGCGACACGAAAGACCTCAACTTCAAGGAAGTCGTGAGCTGCAACATCGGTAACCCTCAGCAGCTGGGACAGACACCGATCACCTTCTTCCGACAGGTAGACTGTCTGTTGATGTCATGCCTACACTGGCTCATGCGCTCATAGGTCGCTGCACTGTGCGAGTGTCCCGACTTGCTCGATAACCCGCTGGCGCCAAAGCTGTTCGCTCAAGATGCTATCGATCGAGCACGCGAGTATATCAAAGCCATCGGAAGTGTCGGAGCCTACTCTCACTCGAAAGGTGTGCCTCTGATCAGACAATACGTTGCCGACTTCCTCGAAGGCAAGAGCATCTTGTCGTGCGTTTGTGGCCACCCAAACTAACGCGGCTTTTGGTAGAGCGAGATGGTCACAAGGCAGACCCAGAGAAGATCTATCTCACTGCTGGTGCATCGGCAGGCGTGTCGAATATCATGCAGCTCATGATCGCCTCGCCAAACGATGGCGTGATGATCCCCATTCCTCAATATCCCCTCTACACGGCCGCGCTTGCACTGAACAATGCGCAACCGATAAGGTACTATCTGCAAGAGGAGAAGCAATGGTCTCCCGATGTGGAAGGACTCAAGCAGGTCATCAGTGAGGCTCGCGCTTCTGGTATCCTCCCAAAAGCAATCTGCGTCATATCGCCCGGCAATCCTGTCGGCAATGTCCTCTCGCAAGAGGCAATCGCAGACATCCTCAAGTTCGCCTACAACGAGCGACTTGTCGTGCTTGCCGATGAGGTTTACCAGACCAATATCTACCACCCGTCCCAGAAGCCATTCGTGTCGTTCCGCAAAGTATTGCGATCCTTGGGCGAGCCATACAGCTCCTCTGTTGAACTCGTCTCCTTCCACTCAATCTCAAAAGGCCAAGTCGGCGAGTGCGGTCGAAGGGGAGGCTATTTCGAGATCGAGAACTTCGATCCCAAAGTCGAGGAGCAAATCTACAAGCTCGCAAGCATCCAGCTCTGCCCTCCGCTGCAAGGTCAGATTGCAATGGGCAATCTGATCAGGCCACCTCGCAAGGGCGATGTGTCTTACGATGAGTACACCAAGGAAGTCGACGACATCCAAAAGACGCTTGCCAAGCGCAGTGACGTGCTTCACAAAGCCTTTAGCGAGCTAGAAGGCGTCGATTGTCAGCCAGCAGAGGTACGCTCTGTCTCCTCCCTCGGGCCTCTCGCGCTGACAGTGTCCGAACAGGGCGCGCTCTATCTATTCCCCCAGCTAAAGCTGCCAGCCAAAGCGCAGAAGGCAGCTTCGGAGCAAGGCAAGAGCGTCGATGCAATGTACTGCATGGACTTGCTCAACGAAACCGGCATCTGTGTCGTCGCCGGCTCCGGATTCGGACAGGAAGCCAACACATTTCACTTTCGCACGACTGTCCTTGCGCCCGGCACGGAAGATTTTGTGCAGAGACTCAAGGAGTTCCACAACGACTTTTTGCACAAGTACTCTGACTGAACTCATCATGCTGGCCGCTATCCCTGACTAGACGTGTTGTAGCACATTCGAGCAGTCTATCCGGAGCTCTGGCGCGAACACCCCGCGTCGCGATATCGCGCGGAAGTCGAGACGCGGCTTGTGCATGCAATTGCGTACTTTGCTCGTTGGCTTGGGCAACGGAGACAAGCAGTACACTGCAACACGTCACTCCGTGAGCTCTCCCTCAACAGCGCGTCATCGCAGCTGAGCGAATCGGCGGGCTATTTAGCTCGGTCGATATGCGCTCCACGAGCTTCGAGCAATGCTCGACATGCCAGCTATGCGCTATGACAGAACCCTAGGCGGCACACACTCGTCGCTTATGATCGGCGGACGTCAGCTCACGCTCTACGAAGCTCGCTCGTTCATGAATGTCTGCGGCCCATCGATAGCCAAGGCCGTCAAGCGGTTCGAGCCAGACCACCTCATTGTCATGCATGACGATCTTGACGTCGCTCCCGGCATGCTTAAATACAGCAAAGCGGGCGGCACGCGTGGCCATAATGGACTGCGCAGTCTCGACGCAACTCTCAAATCCCCCAGAAGGGAACTTATCCGGTTGGGCATTGGCAGGCCGAGCTCAGGCAGCGTTGCAGACTACGTACTCAGCTCGCTCGGTCATACGGAAGCAGGCGATTTCGCATACGACGCCGTCACGCGTCAGCCTGGGGCAGCGCTCGAGCAGCTATGGCAAGTCATCCAAGACGCGATGGCGAGCGCAAGCGCACAAAAAGAGGCGCATGCAAAGTGATTACAAGCAACAGTAGCCGGTCTACATGGAGGCCGAACGGTCATTTTATCACCATTCGCCGAGACTGTAGAGCTCGAGCAAGGCGTCACCGTAGGCCTTGCGCTTGTCAGGCAAAGCGGTGGTCGTGTCTGCCGTCGCAGGATCCAAGCCGCAGGTGAGCGCTAGGAGCGCTTTCAGCGAGTCTACATCGTAGGGTATTGTTTTGCTAGAGCGCAAGCGTGCCACAAAGAGCTGGACTGCTGTGTCAGCAAGAGCCAAGGCATCGGATATGAGCGACGTACTTCTGCGCTGTTTGCGACATCAGAGGTTGCAGTCGTGTTCAGCATTTGCCAGAAAGCCCTGCTCGAGTCGAAATTGACGTCCAACGGCCTGTCGCCGAGGTTTTTTAGATTCTGCTGAAGAGCGAGGATGTTACGCATGATCTTGGCGAGACCGTGCGAATTGATGGACCGTACATAGCGCACATTGTACACAAGTACGCTGTCGATGTACAGCGGCAGGCCGTCCATGAGGTAGGATCGCTCAGCAGGGGCTAGCGCGGAGCGTAAAGCATCATCGAATTGAGTCAATTCGCTGTTCAGCTCTATGATATCGAGATCAGGCTCGAAACTGGCACTGTCGAGTTGATAGTTGCCTTCCCTCGCAGATCTGTCAAGAAAGCAAAGGCATCGAACGCGCAGCTCTGTGCGAAGCGCTGCTAGAATATATTCAGAAGACTTGCGATAGGTCTTGAGCAAAGCATCGAAGCGCGTCGCATAATCTTTGCTGAAGGGCAAAGCATTGCTTGTGTCTGACTCAGGACCACTTTTGTCGCCCTGCATTGATTTGATCTGCTCGCGAAACCAATCCTATTGCACCCTGTTAAGCACGTTCGTGACCCTGACAGCTAAGCACACACCAAAGATGCGTAAAGCGTGCTCATGCTCTTGGCCTTCTTGACGGGTACATAGTCAAGCTGATCGCCTGTGGACGTTCCTTTGTACTGCAAGTGAAGTCGAAGCTCTTCTTGTAGCAATTGCGATTTCTGCGCGTCATCGCCAGCAGTAGTGCGTAGGCGATTGATGACCGTGGCCAGAGCGTCTTTAGATGTCCACATGGCAGACGTCTTCAGCTTGCTTGGTCCCCGTGCGATGAGCGAGTCTGATGAGACAGTTTCTGTCGGACTCGTCAAAGATGCAAGGATATGCTTGTGTAGTACGTACCTTTGAAGCGAGCCTCGCAGCATTGGTAGTACTGGACGATGACACTGATGATGAGATCGCTGTAGCGATCGCGGTGAAACGGCGTGTTGCGCAACATCGCGCACAAATTGGAGATGAGGCCCACCACACTGATCACAGACTGTGCATGGCTTCAGTAAGCATGCAGGCAGCGATCCTCGTCTGACATACCTTGTAAATGGGGATCTCAGAAACGCCGAATGCATCTTGGAAAGCATCTGATCCATTGACGGCATGGTTGAAGACAGCCAGAACTTTCTCTTCGAGCTGCGGCAAGAATGTTTTCTCGACAAAATCATCCAAGAAGCCTCCAAACTCGGTCGCACCAACTTCGCGAGACGTGCCGCTAAGCTCTCGAGCATCTGGGAGCACTTCCCGAATGCGATCGAGGAACGCAAGCGTGGGGCCGAAGAGAATGCTGACATTGAACGCATCCGGCCTGAGCAAAATACGATGCGTTTCGCCAATGCGCTTGAACCCATATCGCTCGTCGCCGGCGCTAGTGACCGCTGTACTTGTCGCTTCGTTGAGCGAGGTCACTAGGCCAGGCACAGAAGCGCGTAAAGCCCGCATGAGCGAGTCTTCGTGCGCTTTGAGTTCTTTGGCGCGTTCCTTGCCATCGCTATCTTTCGATCGGTACAGCGGTTTACTTGCGTTGCGAGCATATCTGCCTGCCCGAAGTATTTCGTTGATCGTCTGCATCGGAAATCGAGACGAGACGGTTGCCTGTTCATCGCCAGTCAGGTAGTCATTCAAAAGTGCCCTGACTTCCGTCTGAACAGGCTTCCACACGTCCAGTAACGCTTGTAGGAGCCCATCGCGCACGCCATTGCTACTGTTGAGCCCGCGACGCTGATTGATCCGAAGGCAGACCTCGTATGCCACTCGGAAGCCCTGTACGGCGGCGTCCAGCTTCGAGTATAGTGTCCAGAAAAGGTCGCGCAGCGTTTCGGCGTTTGCTTCGGCCGCTATACCGTCGGCTGCTCCCAGGCGAAGCAGCGATGTCCGCAAACGCGCCTGTGACTTTGGCAAGGTCGTCGATTTAGCATCATTTATGGCGATATAGAGACCGGAGCTTGGGCGGCCCGCTTGACCGGCTGCAGGTGCAGGTGTAGTCCGCTCTCCAACTTCATCAATAGTCGCATCCACAAGACTGTAGATTTCTTGTGGAGTGCGCTGACAGACAGCATCGATCGCATTGCTGAGCTTGCCCAAACTGTTGGCACTTTCCAGCAGCATCTCGATGTAGGCGAAGGAGTCTGTCTCGGGGTTCGCGCGTTGATTATCGCGCTCGTGTGGCGAACTTGGCTCGGCTGAGGTTGCTTCTTCGAGATCTGCGCCCGCTTCCAAGACAGGGTCATACGAGGTCTGCATAGACAGTGTGCGTAGGTAGACTCGCAGACTCGGCGTACTGCCCGGCACGTTGGTCTTGTCGACTAGATCGCGGGTGTCTGAGCCGTCTATAGGTGGCAAAGCTGTTTGGCCTCTTTGGTAGATTCTCCAACGCGATTCGCAATAGAAGGACTTGAGATAAAGATGGGCGTGCAGCTCATCGACCAGGATCTCGAGTAAAGCCTGAACACACAAATCGCTTCAGAGAGGTATACAGCCATCAGAGGGCCCTTACTGTCTCTTGCGCGATGAGATAGGCGCGCAAATCTGCGATAGCGCCAATCTCCGCCAGCTCAGGCTTGTTGATCAGTCTGAGCGAGCGAACGAGCAGGACAGATGCAGCCAGGAAGCGCTTCTCCGACATCAGCGTCTCCAATTTGTCTGGAACCGCTTTGATCTGATCACTGCTCGTTATGTGGTAAGCCCAATGCGAGCACGGTGTGAGCCGGTCGCATACATCGAGTCAAGAATACGTTCCATCTCTGCAAGCTCTGTCCGCCTGCTTTCCAGAGCAGCGAGCTCCGTTCGGCGCGACCCCAGCGCTTCTTTGACGGCACGCAGCGTCGAACGCAGACCGCCAACTTCACGTTGCGCCGAGTTGAGACCAGAGGACATACCGTTGTACGCCGTCACAGAGGCATCAAGTGCTCGGTAGTGCTTCTGTATATGCTGCTTCGTCGCATTGGCCACATCATTTTGTAGCTCTGCGAACGCATCCAATCGCATTCTTCGGCCTTGCGTTGAGTCATCTATGAGTTCCAGCGCGAGGGTGACAGGATCGAAGGCGTCTGTCTGATCATTGGGCAGTAGGACTGGCCAGTCGTTGTGTATCCTGTGCATGACACGCTCGATGTCCGCGAAGGCCGGATCTGCTCTCAGAGCGCGATCGGGCGGCTGCGCTTGTGCATCTGTGCCGCGCCGCGGTCGCGCTGCCTTTCTCGCGGTGACATTGGCCCGCACACTATCATATCCAGTCGCTACAGCCTGCTCCTTGGCTCTGTTCCGTTGTCCGGCCGCCGAAAAGGCGGACAGCACGTCCTGAACCGACTTTTGATTCTGCGAAGCGGTCCTCGTAGGCACTTGAGGTGGGCGTGGCTGGCGTGCATTTGACCGCGATCGCGATAGCTCAATGCTGGCTGATATATCTCCTGCCTGCTGTTGCAATGTCGTCCTAGCGAACGAAGGCTCGGCCGAGCCAGTCGATGAGGCAGAGGAAGCAGAATCGCCCGAACCTCTTCGTCGGCGCGGTACTGCAAGCGCGCCATTGCCTCTCGTTTGGGCTGATGGCTGCAACTGTGGCACAGGCTGATCGTAGCCGAGCGCAGCTGCCAGTGCTCTGCTCTTGCCCGTCACTCGACTGCGGGCGTCGTTGGCAAGCAGACCATTCCTGCCTGCCGGTGGTCTCTCGCTAAGTCCCTCTCGCGAGTAATCGCCACGTCGGTCCTGCGAATGAGCGTACGCGCCGTCCGCACCATTCACTGGAGAAAGAGAGTAGCCGTCAAAGTCTGCAAATCCGCTGGCTTGTTGGAATGAAGCGGCTGGAGGTGACCTAGCCGAAGGACTCTTTGGCTTTGGTCTTAGAGGGGCGACCGCAGGCGGATTCGGCCGATTCAAGTCGGCGGCATAGCTTTCGACCGTCCGCCTGTCTGATCGCTGCGGCCTTGCCGGCTGCATCTTCACTTGATGCGAGATCAAAGCCGTCGCATCTGACCGCGCGGCATGGCTACGCGTGCTGCTTGTGATGTCAAGCGTGTCAACTCTTTTGAGAAATCGAGTAAGTACCCGCGTTATCGCGCGTCGTCAGGTCGGATTCACATTCTACCGATGCATCAAGTCAGACGAGGCCATTCTGCTCGCACGGTCGGGCGAAATGCTGTCGGCTATAGGGCCTTCGGGTGCTCAACCCGCTGGCGTGGCTCCGAGCGACAGCATCGTGGCGGCTCAGGCCCCAAGCTCGGCGATTGGAAGACCAAGCAAAAAGACCAAGAACGTCCTGTAGCGTATCAGATCACCTTTTTCTGTAGCCGAGCGGCTTTGATGCCTTGTAGCGTGTCAGATCCCTAGCTGCGCGCGAGCAGAGTGATTCTGCTTCCAGGAGATTGTGGGAGATATCGCCATATAGCGCCGGGTAACAACCGTACCCGCTGCTCGACTCTGCTTTGTTGCACTCCTCAAGTTTGGACTATCGCCACCGTTGTGGGGCGACAGTGTCATCACGTGGGCTCATTCGACTCGCAGTTGACGGTAGCATGGCACGCTGTGTGGTCGACGCAGAGGAAAGCTTGAATGTGGACCTTTGAGGCTCTCAGTTGAACACACCGACGTTCCAGATTTCCTCAACTCGGACTCAAGACGACTTTGACGACCCTTCCCGACTCGCGCATTCCAGTGCTTCTACATACACGCATGCGCCGGACAGCAGCATGTTGCCGCCATGCTTTGACTCCCGCAGTACGTAAATATCGCTGGCGGCAAATGCCTGTCTTTGTATTAGAAGAGGCAAACACTGCTAGGTCGCTCGTGCGATGCATTATAGGATCGATATTTGACATTCATCTCGTTGCCCTCGATGAGAACTGCAAGAAGGGCGAATTTGATGAATCGGGAGACACGATGATAAACGAGTCAGATGAAAGGATGTCGCCTGTGACTAGACGATTCTTCTTGCTGTCTACCGGAACATATCTGATTGCTCGCTGGCAGTCATCCTCATGTGCGCATCTGTGAGACTGCACATCGAGCTTGCTGATGCGCGAGCGAGTGCAGGGCTCCGACAGAGGGAGTGCGCGGTGCGCTCGCCAGATATGCAATGGCTGCATTTCATGAAAAGATGCACATTCGGCAGAATGCGTCATTCGAGCACGAGATATGCGTCTAGGCGAGTCGGAAGCCTTGCAGCTTCGGCAGGAGCGTCTCTAGCTTGTTCTCTTTGCTTGCAGCAGCCTCATCGATAGATCGTTGTCACTCTTGTTCGGTAAGCGATGTATCGTGCTGCGAATGCATATATCGTCCGTCAGCGAGCCATCAGTAGTATTCGATTTCGAGCTATCAGATGAGCGTCAGCTTGGACAGCGATCATACAGGAAGCCTACGAATAGGTAGCCAACGCTACGAGGATCTATGAGGTTGAGACTCGCGGGATTGTAGACTGTTCGGTTGACTTCTTCGATCTCTTTGTCAAACTGGGCCATCTCCTGTGGTCACCGTCAGATATGAGAATGTGGCTATGAGAACAGACACACTCTGCCATAGTGACCTTGCGTGAGAATGGTTGATATGTAGAGCGTCATAACCGCAAGCACATTGTCGAAGATAGATTTATAGGGATCGTATGCCGACGCTAGGCGCGCATTGAGTTTGTTCATCACTTGCAAATGTGCGGTCGGCGTGACCTGAGCGCAAACCAGCTGTTCAGCACAAAGAGCCAGATTGAACGCGTGCGAAGCTCACGCGGCCCTCTAGCTCGATGGGGAAGCCACTCCAGAACTGAGGTAGCTCGCCAGCAGTGTAGTCGCGTTCTATTCGTACAATCTCTCTTGGCTGCTCGGGCACACTCAGCATGCTTGCGAATGGCTGAGTGTGTCAGAGCTGACCTTGTGCTTGCCAATCTGGCCTACCGGCGGCGTCCCAAAGACTTCGCGATAGGGATCAATCGAGGCGGAAGCAGCAACGGGCGGCTTGGCTTTGCGCTGATCAGCTATGTCATTGGCAGGCATGCTTGCAGATGACCTCGCAGCAGTCGTGATTCCTGTTGCTTCGGTCTGCTGAGAGGCTCGCTGGCCATCAAGTGTCGTGCTACTTGTGGAATCACCCGACGTGTTGCCTGTTGGCCTGAGCGGCCTATCGTCATGTTCAGACGATGTTCCTGCGGCTGACGGGGACGATGCCAAAGAAGTAGGCAGGATGTCTGCAGTCGTTGGAACGCCATCGTGAGCCATGACTGCTCCGCTGGCTTGCGTCGCTACGTCGTCTGATCGACTGGCGACGAGGTCGACGAGGCCCGACGAGGAAGCGCGTCGAGTACTTTGGCCGGTGTCACTTTGCCAAGGAACACGGCAAGCATGGCAGAGAAGCAAGTCGAGACGCTCAAGTCTCGCATCATCAGTAACGCAGAGTCGACGCAATCCTATCTCAAGCGAAAGACTTCCCAGTCAGTCGGCCCTGCAAAAAGAGCGTCATCGCCGTGCTGACCGTAGGATCACTCTCAGACTCGATCAGGAGGTCTACAGACCCACAAGCCGTGCTTACAAGGACGTCTTCGCGGCTCATCCCATCGCGCTCACTTTTCTGAGCCTGCTCGCAACCACCTCGGCCGTCCCTCTGCTCATTTTCGCCGGATTTGCCGCCACGACTTTGGCGGTCTTATTGGCTCTGTCGGGCGCTTTCATCGCGTTTTGGTCCTTCATCGTCATCGGCTCAGCGGGTATGCATGGTCGAGCTGCTCTATGTCTGACCTGACGCGCACTTTAGCTCTCGTACTAGGCTTTGCTCTCAGCATCACTTTGCTCGTCTCGCTCATTGGCACAGTCAGCCTATTGGGCGCCTTCCTCACCTACAGATTCTATCATCACATCACAACGTCACCTAACCCGACAGAAGGCATCCAGTCGTTCAAGCGAGAGCTCGCAGACCGCTCTCAGGCTTCAGCTGACGCTTCCAAAGAGCTACGTCAGAAACGCAAGCAGCTCAAACAAGAACTCCAAGCGAGCAGAGATAAGCTAGGAGATGTTGCAGGCGAGGTCAAGGAGGACGCTGCTGAGCATGTCAATTCGAGCGCTGCCTCCATCTCGGGAGAGTCAACACTCGCTGATTCCGACTCACCCAAGGCAGAATGAACACGACGACACGACTTAAGTTCGATGTATACCAGAACTGTTGGATCAATACACTTCGTTCCATGTTGCAGAGAGCTAACAAGGCACAAGCTCTGACTGATGTGCACAGACCACGACTGCGGACGTTCTACCGAGCAGGCTGGCCCATGCTTACCGCACGGACGTCTTTCGATCTGAAGCTGCTTGCCTTCCGAGGAGGACGCTAGACAATCAGTGCTGATCCGTATGCTCTCAGAACGTCGCAGTCGTATGTCTCGCTGCTGCTCGGCCAACGAGAGCTAGCGGGCAGAAATCACGACGCTCAGGGCCTCCCACATTGGTAATCCTGCCAAGCTGCCCACATTCGAGCTGGGATCATGGCCAAGGCGCACACCCTGTCACGCTCGACGAGCGTGGATCTGCTCATGGCACAATTGCAAGAAGTCATCGACTCCTCCTCTTCAGACGACAATCACCATTTCGTTTCGCCCCTCAGTCCGCCCTCGGCATCCACTGCGCAGTCACAGGCAGCTAACATGGTTGGATGGCCTTCAGCCTACGATCAAAGTGACAGGGACTCGTCTCCTTTCAGCTCGATTACGCCCTTCTCAGATCCAGACAATCCACTCCGGTCAGGTGGCTCCTCGCACGACTGCTTCTCGGCAGAATCGGGCTACAGCAGTATCGCACCGGCTCACGATGATCCCCGTGCCAGCGCGCCCGTCAAATCTACCCCTCAGTCTGATCTTATCATTCTGCGCTCGTACGCGTCGACCGGACAGCTCTATGTGCACCCCGGCATCGACTTGAGCCCCGCTGCTTCCTCGAGTGACTTGACGAGACGTGGCTCCCAATCAAAGCGAAATTCTCTTCGAGTCGCCCCGCGGACTCGCAAGACGCGTCTCGTCTCGTTCTCAGGCCCTCTGACAAGCTATGGGATCCCTGAAGGCAAATCCGCCGCTTCTCTGTCTTTGCGTTGTTGACTTTGCGGCCCATAGATACGACGCACATTCTGCTTCGCGAAAATCTTCGACAGAGTCCTCTGACAAAAGCGCTCTCAAAGCCGAGCTTCGCGACAAATCTCGTCTGCTTGGACCTGGCGTGAGCTCTCGCGCAGTTCATTCCGAGTATGGTCTGACTGTTAGCAGATACTGCTATCTCGAGACCCTGCCCGATACTATCGCGTGCTTGATCAGCCTTGAAGAGCTCATCCTGACTGGCAACCGCCTTGCCAATCAAAGACTTCCGTCTTGTATAGGCAGTTTGCATCAGCTGCGCATGCTTGAACTCGATCATTGCGATCTCCTCGAGCTGCCGGATTCACTCGTCGAACTTACGTTGCTCGAAAGCCTTAGCCTTCGCCACAACGAGATGACGACTTTGCCAGGCTGGCTATGGCGTCTCTTATCTTTGCAGTACCTAGCAACCGAAGGCAACCCATGGCAAGCAGACTGGCGCGAAATTTTAGCGCCGCTCGAGCAAGCTGGTAAAAATGCTCCGGCATCACTTCTTGCCGAAAGCGGGAGCATGTACGGCTCCCTACGGGCCTCTCGTCCAAAGCTCGAGATCGCTGCGTCTCCGCCTCAAATACCTCAAACAGCTCAATCGCGATGGTCGGCAGACTCGATCGCTGCGCCCTCAGTGCAGAGCGATACAATGTCGCCCTCTGGCACCTTGCGACGGAAGTGGCTCACGCTTCGTAAGGCCCGCTACAATGTACAACCGCGGGCTGCACTCGAAGAGGCGCTACAGCCTTTGCAAAGCATCTCAGAGGTTGCCATCGCGCTCAGTGCGACCAGTCTAGCCAATTTCGAAAGCGCGCAAGCGGCTATACACGACCCCTCCCGAATGTCCATCGGCATGAAGCCTGCGCTCGCCATCCTCAAGACATACTGTCGTGATGTTGACGATCTCACGAATCGTGATACAAGACCGGTCTCATACAGAAAGGCAACGTCCGCTAGTGCATCCACTCGGTCTTCGCTTGCGTTGATAGATTCCCCGCTCGAGCATCCACGACTGAAGGACGATAGCTTCAAGCGCCGTCACGTGCTGTGCGAAATACTCAATACGGAGCGCAAGTATCTTGCCACTCTGAACGAGCTCGTCACCGTCTACATAAAGCCGGCGAGCGAGCAGGACATACCCATCGCTGTCAGAAAAGTCTGGTTTGCCAATATCGAGGACATCTTTGCGCTACATCGCGACCACTTATTGCCCGCACTTGAGGAAGCGCTCGTAGCTATCACTCGACCAGCCTTGGAAGAGGGTCGCAGTCCGGTTGGCAGCCGTATCTTGTCCCGAGCTGCACTCGATGTTGCAGCTGCGTTCCTCAGATTGACGCCTTTGCTTCGGCTCTACTTGCCATATGCGACAAGTTTCGAAGAAGCCGCCACTCAGCTTGAGCATCTTACGACGAGTACTTCTGAGAAAGTCTTGCAAAATCAGGCCCCAAAGGCAGTCAGCCAGAAAAAGCTCAAACAGTTTCTCAAGACGCGTGTATCAGCGCCTAATCACTCTCAGATCTCTCTACAAGCTTATCTTTTGTTACCGATACAGCGTATTCCGAGATACAAGCTCCTAATGGGCGAGCTCGTCAGCTGCGTTCCCGACGGTCTGGATCCTTCTCAGCCCAACGCGACTGTTCAGCGCGCTCACCTAGAGATCTGCCGAGTCGCGGTAGAGATGAACGAACGCAAGCGAGAAGCAGAAAATCGAAGCAAGCTCTTGCGATGGCAGCTCAAGCTCACACTCACAAAGTTCAAGAGTCCTCTCGTGCAGCCTCATCGCTTGCTCCTGTTCGAGACAACTTGCGTACTCAGCAGAATCATCACGCGTAGCAGTACGCCAGATGTTGGCGCGAAGGTGCTAAGAACCCAAGAAGAGCAGCGTGATCTCGTGCTTCTGCTTTGCAATGACATACTCGTATTGCTTCAGCCGGCAGGCCAGCAAGTCTCGCTGTTTACAGTGATCAGATTGGTCACATTGGCGGCGGAGCCAGACTCCATCAGCTTGTTTGGCGCTCAAGATCAGTTCGTGCGGATCTCTGACGGCCGAATCTTCTACTTTGACTTTTGCGCCAAGACGCCAGAGGAAGTCCAAGAGTTCATTCGTGCCGTGCGCTGCGCAGTGCAGAGCTATGTTGTCGAGCGTGAGGTCACTGCATAGACGCTGTAGGGGTGGCAGGAGAATTAGGTGTACTCGGTGCTTGATTCCGTGCTTCTTGACGACTCGCAAGTGCATCGAGCGAAATTGCAGGTCTCGGCAATGCTTCAGCAGTAGCGGTCAGCGCCTGATTGCCAGGAATGCCAATCGGAGCGGAATATGTTGATGTTGGTCGTGCTGGACCGATTGCAAGAGGTTGAACAGCGGCATTTGGCTTTGGCTTGGGCAAGGCAGTTCGAGGCTTCTTGGTCACACCGGGTGTGCTGTCTGTCGGCTTGCGCTTTGAGAGATTGACGAGAGCCTGCGAGCCACCTCAGATCAGTAAGATACTTCAGACGAACCGGCAGCGTACGTTGCCCGTCTCTGCGGTCACAGGCGGGTGCTCATCCGTTCTCAGACGATGACGCAGGTAGAATCTGGGTGCGGCGACGAGCTGCACAGTCTCCTTTGCAGGATCGTGCGTCGCCTGTGCGCGAGCAATGGCGTCTATGGTGTGTCTCGTCACATTGATGAGCTCTAGCTTGGCCTTCCACGCCTTTTGAGCATTCTTGGCTTTCGTTTTTGCTTTGGCGTACGGCGCTTTGACTTGATCGGGTGACGCTAGCGGATCGGGCGGCTTCACGAAGCTGGGAGTAGGCTGAGTGCATGTATCTGCATTAATGAAGACTTCGATGGTGACGAGGCCGTCATTGGCATCGCCATGAGGCAAGCGAGCAACGCAATACGTGAACGCCGGCGGTACAAGAAACTGATCAGTTGACGCGTCTTTGAATTCGAGCAGCAGTGACCATTTGATCGGCTCGGGCGCAGATGTTTGTACTGGCGCGGGCTGCAGTAAGGGTTGCGGTACAGGAACTGCAGCAGGCTGAGAAGGACCAGCAAGAGGTGCAGTGGCAGTGAGCGATGTCTTTGTTTCCGACAATGGCTCAGTGCTTGCGAGGGTGGAGGGCGCTCTAGAGACAGGACTCGAGGTGGCAACGGGAGTAGAAGAGACAGGCCGCGCTCTAGCCTGCTCGAGCCTTTTGCCAAGTATGCTTATCAATCTAGCTAGTCCTGCGAGCTGTGATTCGCTAGCCTGGCCTGCTGCGGCTAACTTGAGCACAGACGCGAGTACGGCGTCCGACAGAGATGCTTTGTTGAGTTCTGCGATGAGTTCTGTAGAGATGACGGCCGGCGGGGAAGGTGCGGCAGGGCCTGCGAGCAAGACACTCTGAAAGGAAGGTATCGGCGGAAGCGTCGGTACCGGACGCGCTTGGCTGTTCGTGGGCTGCGGCGGTCCCCATCTGACAGAGTACAAGCGCGTCGCAGGAAAGCGATGGGGCCCAATGATCAGATCGCATCTTCCGGCCGGCAGTATCGTGTGGCTCTTTTGTGATGAGAAGGGTCAGATGAGGTTACAAGATGGGCAAAGGGCAGCAGACCGGCTGGGGTATCTTGACAGCGTTTTTGGCTTTCGAGGTTGTAGAGAATTTAGCAAGGACGGCGGTCGTCCATCTCTGCCTGGATCTGATGAGAGAAGCCATGACAGTCTTACTATTGCACGCCGCATGAGTGGCAGTGAGCTCCAGACACTCCAAATGTGCAGCGACCGACCTGTCCTCGATAGACCGCAGAGGTACAGTCTCGAGCCCTGCAACCTGCCCGGACAGCGCTTCCTCCCTGGTCTCGCATGTTGGCAAGATAGTAGTCTTCTTGCTCATCTGTGCGCGAATGGACCGTCAGATAGATCGCAGCTGTCAGTCAGAACGTCAGTATCAAAGCGACGCGCAACAAGCCAGATGCGCGCACTGATCATGGTGCATGCTTTCATGGGTCCGACAGACAGTACCCAGCAGACCACACGGTCATCCGGACAAGGAAGCGAACAGAGTCACGAGCACTTTGCATCACGCCATGCAGATTTGGCTACAACAATGTCAATGTCAAGATTGTGAAGGAAGCGTCGGCTGTCGCAGAACAAGACGTTCTCGAGTCTCTCTCTTCTTGTGAATTGTGGAATACGGATGATGCGCCGATCTAGAGCGTGAGCGTGGTCCCCCTTAAACGCTCACGGCTTCACACGGATGACTGGTCTCGCATCCACCGATGTAGAGGCTGTCGATCCTCTCCTCAGCTTGCGGAGTGCCTTTATCATACGATGAGCAGCACAAGGCGTCTCGCGACCCCCATTGCGCTGGTTGGACAGTGTCGCCAGGCTGCTGACTGCTGAGTCGGGTGCGAGAAACGCGCGCGACGCTGGCTTGATATAGTCCTGCGGGGATACGGGGATTACTGTGCATGACCGCATCGCCAACGCGGAACTCGTCTTGACTCGCAATGGCAAAGGTGAACGGACATGCAAGCGACGCAGAGATCTCGGCGCTCAACGATGCAAAGACGCACGTGGCCCGCGGCATCGGACGTTCTTCCGATCTCATCTTCGAAAAGGGAGAGGGCAGCTGGGTTTGGACGGTGGACGGTCACAAGATCTTCGACCTGACTTCCGGAATCGCCGTCAGTGCTCTCGGCCATGCGCATCCCGCAGTCACAGAAGCTATCGTCAAGCAAGCTTCGAAACTCATCCACACGAGCGTCAATATTGCCTACACCCGTCCTTATCTCGAATTGACGACAAAGTTGCTCAAGGTCATGCCGGACAAGTCACTGGATACTGTCTTTTTCTGGAACAGCGGCTCAGAAGCAGTCGAAGCAGCCATCAAATTGGCAAGAGTGGCAACCAAGAAGCAGAACATCATCTCATACCAAGGCAGCTACCATGGACGGACGTGGGCAGCCATGGCGCTCACTCGATCGAAGACAATCTACTCCAAGGGCTACCATCCGCTCATGCCGGGCGTGTATACCGCGCCCTTTCCGTACGGCTCACAGTATGGCTGTCCTGTCCCGCTTTCCGAGGATCAACTCACCCAGGCAGCCCTGCGCGACTTGAAATTGCTCTTCGACCAGCAGACTGCTCCCACTGACACGGCAGCCATCATCATCGAGCCAGTGCTTGGAGAAGGCGGCTACGTACCTTGTCCGCCTGCTTACCTCGCCGCTTTGCGTAAGATATGCGATCAGCACAATATCCTCCTCATCTTTGATGAAGTTCAAGTGAGTACCTGCAAGATCTGCATGCGCGATCCACTGATGGAGAAAGTAGACTGGCTTCGGAAGGACTGGCACCTACTTCATGACAGAGCAGACTGGCGTGCGACCCGATATTCTCATCTTGGCAAAGGGAATCGCCAATGGCCTCCCACTGAGCGCTATCATTTCGCGAAAGGAGCTCATGGACATGCAAGAGCCTGGTACGCAAGGTGGAACATACAGCGGCAATGCGGTAGCCTGTGCCGCGGGCATCGCCGTTGCGGATGTCATGCAAGAACCAGGCTTCATGAAGAATGTTGCAGCTAGGTCAGCTTGACTTCCTCTTGCCATCGTTCCCGATTGACGCTCGCGATCAGATCGAAGCAATTCTTCGATGTACTCCACGACTTGAAGCAGTCGCCCAAGACCAAAGGCATCATTGTGGACGTAAGAGGCAAGGGTCTCATGATCGGCGTAGAGTTCGACGGACCGCTGTACCCGAGCAGAGATCAGAGCAAACCTGTTCCGGAGGGATTAGCGGCGAAAGTGCAGAAGAAGTGCATGGAGAAGGACCTCTACATACTCACAACATCGATCTTCCAGGTCATCCGGCTCATCCCTGCGCTCATCATCACCGGTAAGTCGTCTGCCCAAGCGCAAATGCATGCTGATCTTTGATAATAACAGAGGAAGAGACAACGCTCGCGTGCAAGATTCTCAGCGAGGCCATCATCGAAGTCGCGAGCGAGCTGTAGTCACACACACACGATGCATTCTGTTATCACGATTAGATCGTTTTTAGCCAATCAGCGAGGATCCGATTGAATTCGTCGGCGAAGGATACCGTGCCAAAATGAGGTGCACCTTCGATCATCTTGATCTCGGCCTTGACACCTGCACTCTGGAGATGTTTGAGCTTCGTCTCTGGGAATTTGCGGTCGATTGGATAGGCGACATCTTCTGTACCGTGGACGATCAATACCGGACAGAGTACGGTACTGTCTTTGCTCGATATGCTCGCCTCGATGCCATCTCGCTTGAGAAGTGCGTTGAAATTGATCATGATCTGATCGGCCGTCGATTGGGGTTCTAGTGAGGCTTGTACTTTGTCGAACGACATGGATGCATCGATTGGCTTTCCGAGCGAATTGGCAGCAAAAGAATAAGACAGTGATCGCTCGATGACAGCTCTGCCCCAATCGTACGATTTCTGTGCGTTTCTCAAGCCTGCCTCTTTGCCGTACTGATCGCTCGCTATGCCATCTGCAATCATCTTTATCGCTTCTAGCGGATTGCCCGAGCGAGCTCTGTCGGCGGCAGCATTGGCGGTCTTGTAGTACTCTTCCACAAAGTCCTTGTGTTCGGGCTCGGCAGAGGATCCAAAGGAGAGCACGCCAGCAATGAGAGGTCGCTTGTGTTGGCTCCTTACGCGTTGGGCATCGAGCAGTGCGCCCCTCAGACTGCCGAAACCTCCCATAGAACAGCCAATACAGACTGCTCTCGAAGGAAAGCCATCTGATTGGGGTCGGTCGAGCGTGTCTCCAGATTCGCCGAGCACGGTGGAAGCAATCTTGACGATGGCGCGTGCAGTATCTTGGATGTCCCACTGACGTCCGTAGGTGGGTGACGTGCCATGACCGGCTGCATCGAAAGCCAAGCACCAGTATCGTCCACCGATGAGGTCGGATTGCAATTGGGGCTGCCAGTACTCGCTATTGTTCGTGAAGGGGTGGGCAAAGATGAGCAATGGATCGTCATCTTGTGTTGGCTCTGTGGGCGCTTGTAAGACGTAACCGATCTGCCAGTCATTCGGTCCGTCTAGCTTGACATGGCCGACTTGTGACCGCTCAGTGCTGGCGACCAGAGGCATTCTGACTGTCTGCGAGACGATCGATGACGCAACCGGGCCAAGCTAGAACTTAGAAGTCGCGTCGCGATCGAAGATGCCAATATTCGGTATTTCGAGCCACCGTGAGTGCACAGAGGACAAGCGTCTTCCGCAGTTCTTGTGGCTTGATAGGCCTCTCAATCTCAGGATCAGACCATGATGATGGAGCTTCCTTGGCCGGGCAGGTCAGTCAGTGGGCTAGCCAGCTACGTGTCATGAAAAGTGGCAGTCAAACTCTTTCTGATTGGCAACGATCTTGAACACATCTACCTTGGTCGGCAAATTCGCAAACCTCGGCAAAGTATAGAGCTCAGACAGAGCTTCTCTTCAACGCAGGAGTGGCCAAAGACAAGTTTGACTGGGTCAACAAAAGAGCAGGCGCACTGCTTTTCAATACGATGGAGAGCAGCTTTCATCATCGCTATTACAAAGCAATTGCTGCCACTGATGTGCTCACTTTGATCGATACGCAACTCGAGCCTCTTGCAAGCTTGAGAGCCTCCCCGAGCGCAGCAGATAGTTCAAGGCGGTTACTCAAGTTCATAATGAAGATCTTTACGAGTTCTCCAGGCGTGTCTCCAATATGGCTGCACAGAAAATTGATTCTCGCCCTCCGAAGATGCCAGCGCTCACTCGGCCAGACTTGGCCAGACAGCGAATTGCTGAAAGGCACATCCAATTGGCCCGAATGGTCGCGAAAAGGATTGGAAATTGACTCAATGCTCGACGGCCTCTGGCAATCCGTCGTGGACGGAAAGGACACGAGCGAGCCAAGACTCGACTCTCCGACCCTGTCGATCGTATGAGCCCAGCTCGGCTACGCGCCTGAACAACCATCGCATCCGACTTACGTGGCCTCTTTTCCTCCTGTCGATACAGGTTGGGCTGCTTGAAGATTCTCGCCGACAAGTTGGCCAGCACGAACCAGGAAGTCAGACGGCTCATGCCCTGATTCTGTCACCCTCGCATCACGAGACAACTGCAAGCGAACGCATAGCAAGCGCGAGGGGTATAGCTGGATTTGCCATAACAACAACGGCTGGAGAGCCATATGCCCGGGCGATCGGTCTGTGATTGAGCCGCATGCCATTGAGTTTACTGTGAACTTTCGACACGTAACTCATCTGGTCTAGCCCAAGGTAGCTAGTAACAGGCTGTGCGCTGTCCGTTGCCTAGTAATCCTGCCAAATGCATTGAGAGGGATAGCAATTCTGAGCTATAGCTGAGAGACGCAAGACCGAGTAATTGACACGTCATCGCTTCACTTTGTCATTGCACGCGACGAACTTGGCAAGCAGGCCGAGTCGAGCAGATGGCGGCTACGCCTGCGAAGAAGCGGATAGCTTACTATCATGACGGTATGCTTCGAATGCTCATCATGTAGCGCACGCTGAGCAAGGCCGTGCTGTCCAGACGATATTGGGGCCTATTCGTACACCTATGTGCACCCAATGAAGCCGCACAGGATACGAATGGCCCACAACCTCATCGTCAATTACGGACTCGACAAGAAGATGGACGTACTCGTGCGTTCCGTATACTGCATGCATGCCCGATGCTCACGCATCGCGAGGCAGAGACCGGAAAGAGCGTCGCCGCACAGTATGACTGCTTTCCACACGGACGAGTACATCAACTTTCTCACTACAGTCACCTCTGACACGCTCGAGGAGCTCACCGGTCACGGAACACGCTGTACGTCGGCAATCGCAGATCCCCGCTAGCCGAGCTGATCGCCGAATTTCCATGCACAGTCCTCATAGGGGAGGACTGTCCTGCATTTGATGGTCTCTTCGAGTTCTGCTCAATCTCTGCCGGCGGCAGCATCAGTTCAGCCAGACGACTCAACGATGGCCAGGCAGACATCGCCATCAATTGGGCAGGCGGATTGCATCACGCAAAGAAACGCGAGGCTTCTGGATTCTGTTACGTCAACGACATCGTTCTTGCCATCCTTGAGCTACTTAGGCGAGTTGTTTTTTCCCTCTACGTATAGCTCTGGCTTATATGCGATGGATGCGATCCTCGCAGGTTCCACGCGCGAGTGCTCTACATCGATATCGACATCCACCACGGGGATGGCGTGGAGGAGGCCTTTTACACGACCGATAGGGTCATGACGTGCAGCTTTCACAAATTTGGTGACTACTTCCCGGGCACGGGCGCCCTGGGTGATCAGGGAATAGGCAAGGGCAAAGGCTACGCGATCAATGTTCCTCTACGCGACGGCATAGAGGACGAGTCGTATCATAGCATGTTCAAACCCGTCAGCTTGCCGTCCTATCGAGCTTCATAGAGCTGACCGGCCATCGTGCTGGCAGATTATACAGCATCTCATGGACTGGTATCGACCAGGTGCAGTGATTTTGCAGTGCGGCGCAGATTCACTGGCAGAAGACAAGCTCGGTTGCTTCAACCTATCCATGCGCGGCCACGCGGAATGCGTACAGTTCATGAAGACCTTTGACGTACCGCTCATCGTCCTCGGTGGAGGCGGCTATACCATCCGAAATGTGGCCCGGACGTGGGCGTACGAGACGGGCATCCTGGCCGGCGTAGACATGAACGAGGATTTGCCATTCAATGACTATATCGAGTACTACGGCCCTGCGTTCAAGCTAGACGTACCGAACAACAATATGGACAATCTCAATAGCCCGCAATATCTAGAATCTATCAAGTCAGCTTTGCGTCACCCTAGTTGGGCAAGCTGACTTTTGTACAGAGTGACCATCATGGAGACGCTCAAGCAGATGCCGTTTGCCCCCTCGGCGCCCAACATGCCCGTTCCTCGTGAAGTGCGCCTAGAAGAAGATCTCGACTCCGATCTCGAGCTTGACACGCGGATATCACGTGCGTCTTGCGCTCTGGTCATATGCTCGGCTGACCAGGTCCCGCAGAGAAAACAAGAGATGCGTTCACAGAGCGCTACGGCGATACGCTCTCAGATGACGAAGACGACATGCCCTTCTTATCACCGCCACCTAAAGTGCAAAGGCTCAACGGCAACGGACATAGACATGGCCGAGGCAGAAGGAAAAAGGTCGTTCCTCAGAACGGGTTCGAGGAGGACACGACGGCAGAGAGTGACTCTGATCGACCGAGTAAAGAGCCCATTAAGCCTAAGCGGACCTTCTTTGCCGCCAATGGACCTCGGCCTGATCTGCTCACTGCCATCAGAAGTGGCGCTCTTGCGCCCAGAGCGAACGGTCAGTAAGGGTGTAGAGCGTCTGTGGATGTGTATTGTATCGCATTACAGTCCTGCAAGGGAGTACAACAACCAAGTCTATGAGTGAGGGGCCTTCTTACAGCTCGTGGCGATACTGCGGTCAAGCTGCGGCAAGATGAGAGCGGCATCATACTACTTGCTTGTTAGCTCGACAACGGAGGCGCGGACAGCCGACTCACTCGCTGAGCAGATGCATGTCGAGCGAAATCGCGAAAGATGTGAGCAACGTCCATGTGCGTGTCTTCCTCTGGATCTTCTTCACCTGGAGGTACCACTAGCCCCGCGCCTATCGTCTCGTTGGAATTTCCGATGTGCAAGCCGGGCGAGATCGCGTCGCAATTGTCTTGAGATCGTGATGCGCGCAAATGACAGATCCATTTTGCATGACATATCGGTCCACATCGTCTGACATGGCCACCCCTGCTGAGGTTGTTGATGAAAGTGCTAAAGGCGCGCAAGTCGGTCTCCCATACTTGAGTCACGCGGTGCCAGAAGGAAGCATCGATAGGTTGGTCAGGCTCGAGCGGTGGATCAAGTTTCGATCCGTAGAGCTCGCGAGCAGAGTAGTACGGATACCAGAAGGGGTCGCGCTGGAAGGTTGGCGCTGTGAGGTTAGCAATGTAGTCTGTAAAGTCCATAATCTCTTTTGTTTCTTCGTCCATCTCGTACACTCGGAAGCTCGGATTCCCGCCTGTCGTTCGAATGAGTATGGATAGCAAGGAAGCCAGAAGAACTGACTCTGAGGCGTGAGAGCAGGACAGACGAACGAGATTGAGCTGGCTGTTTCGGGTGTCTTGTGCGCAGGCTGCGAATAAGCAATCTCGAATTCTGCCCGGTGGCTGTGCCCGTACAGCTGTGCCACGATCTGTAAAGGCTCTTAACAACGACAATTTATATTTGTCAAGGCACTGACGGTATGTCGGTAGCGTTGGATGACTTGATCCCAGTAGTTACTAGCGTCATGCAGGTAGTCACTCTTGCCGGAAGAGATGTGACCAGTGATCAAGACTCGTTCGCCAGCATCCTCTGCATCTTGAAGCTCTCGCACGATCCAGGCCAACAGACCGTTCGGGTCGGGATATTGCTGATCTGAGTCGTAGAGCCAGAAGTTTGCTTTGTATCCGTACGATGTGTTGATGGAGATGATCCTTACGCCCGTCTTTGCATCTTTGACGACGTAGCAGCCAAACATGCGTGCCGCTGTAGCTGCTGCTTCGTCGCCAATCCATTCGCGCCACAGATTCGCATGAAGGTCGAAATCCCATTGCTGCGATTGCCAGCCGAAAGACGTATTGCGAGGGAAGGAATTGGTCGGCGCGATATCGTGGTTGCCGACGACACCGTAGACGGGGCGAGTGGATTTGCGTGAAAGTTGCCCGTAGGCTTCGAGGATGTCAACCTGCACGTTCTCTTTTGTAGAGAGCCAGACGGCGTGGTCGACGACGTCGCCTGTAAACGAGATGAAGGCGGCATCCGGCACAAGACGTTCGATAGCATCGATCATAGAGTCGAAAAGTCTGGGTGGGGCATCGCAATTGGCATGGCCGTAGGGACCTGCAGGCGTCTGGACGAGCTTGCCTACTGAGCCCGGTCCATAGTTGCGACAACAGATCACACGAATGCAATCGGCCTCGGACCCGGGCTGAGAGGGAAGGAGAGCGTGAGCTTGCTGCTGCAGGCTGAAAGATCGTCGACTCACCACGTAGGATCGATCGATGTGTAAGTCGCTGATCTGCACGAACCTGACGCGCTTGCCGGTTCTTCGTACACGCGGGCCGGGGCCAAGTAAGCCGCCAGGATAGACTTGTAATGGCGCTACTGGTAAGGCATGAGGCCTCTTGAGAGGCTTCTCTCGAGGAAACTGGACTTGATAAGGCAGAATGTTGGGGTAAGGACAAAGGCCAAATATCTTGGCACAGAAGAGCGATGCTGTCCTGCCCGTGACAGAGATGCTTCGCAAGCTGTGAGCGATGACGGGTGCTTGTAGGCCGAGGGCACCCCAGCAGACCTGCTCATCCTGTATGCCCAATCCAATGCAGAACTTGACGAGCGCGGCCGTAAAGGTGTCGTCGCCCAATCGTGCGAGTGTGCGCAAGGGCAGGAGAGCGCCGAAGCAAGCAGAGCATGTTGTGAGTGCAGAGAAGGACTGAAACAGTTCGAGTGCGAGGTTGCCGGGCGCAATGGTCGAGATCATGAACAGGGCCAATGCGAGGACAAAGCCCAGGCCGAGGAGGTAGATCCTCAGCCTGGTCATCCTCGCTAATCCTCCCGGCTACCTTGCTATGCGATGTCTGCAGTCAGGCAGCCTGTCAGGTGTCCTCATCAGCCGTCAATTGTCGTCCAAAGATAGAACCAATCAGTGTCTGTCTGTCTGTCAGTGACCGCGAGCGCACGAGCACGAGCACGAGCACGATCACGATCAGATCCGCCGCTCTGCCAGGGCGCAGATGTCGGCCCATCATCGCAGCAAGCGGCGAGACTGCGAGGCCGGCAGGAGCTTGCCGAGTACGTACGACGAGCTAGAGGTCCTGCGCAGACATCATCAGTCAGTAGTCACCTGTGACATCATACGTGCCATGACTTGAGCTGCATAGCAGGTTCATTCGGGACGATAGCAAGCCGCAGCAGAAGCTCACGTACGAGGAAGAGCTCTCACTCAAGTGGTACAACACCCTCTTCCGAGAGTACGCACTCGTCGACTTGAAGCACTACAAGTCGGGCGCACTTGCCTTGCGCTGGCGAACGAGCGAGGAAGTCGTCGCACGACTAGGCGAGCTGACCTGCGGCTCACTGAGATGTGAGTGGCACAAGCCTGCTCACAAGCACGAGCGAGACCGGTCACGTTCGCCCATCTCATCGTCGAGATACTCGCGCGGCAGTCTGAAGGACGATGACGAGCCCTCTGTGCCCGTCGAGTTGACGAGCTGGCAAGTGCCCTTTGCGTATACCGAGCAAGGCAAGAGCAAGAGCGCTCTCGTCAAGATCACCCTGTGCCCCAGATGCTCCAAGAAACTCAATTTTGCGAGACAGCCGAAAGCAAACTCGACCGACGCGAGTGCACAGGCCGGAGCATAGGTTGTCCTGCGCGTACGCAAAGGTGTACAAGATCATTGCTGGCAATGATGCCGTATGGTGCGTCTGCCTGACGCAATCGGTCGTCATCTGGCACCAATCCTACGAGGCGCTGTCTGCAATCAGTCGCAGACAGCGACTCTGTCACTTCGGACAGACGCTTCACCGTTGCCGTCTGCTTACCGTGACCGGTCCTCTGTCCTCTGTGCTAATGCAGACACGGCAGAGTCAACCGGGGCACCTTTGTACATGATATATCTGGCGAGCGTCTCGGGCATCGTCTGTTGGCCTACTTCGTTCGCGTGCAGATGCGTATAGCATGTGCGCTCGCGCAGTGCATCCTGTTATAGCGCAGGCTCGATCAGCCTGCGTTGGCCTCCCTCATGTTGGACTGCGTCATATGCATCGAGTCGAGTTGCGCGACGCGATGTTTCTGTGCAGCTTGACATCGGAAAGCATGGCCACACTGGCTCACGATGAGGCGCCAGATCTGCCAGAGCTGCCCAACGTCATCTGGAAGTAAGCTACTCGCTGTAAACTGCATGTCGCAGCGTCCCAACCGGCAGTGACGAGCAGATACGAAATGCGACGACAAGCGCAAGAGATCATTCCTCGGCTGTGGTGCGGGCCCTACCAGAGCAGCAACAACCTAGCAACGCTCAAATCCCAGGGCATCACGCATATTCTCTGCATTGCCGACACTCGAGAAGGGTTCGCTGCAGATCCTGGACAAGCCTCGCGTGCCGTCAAGCTCACAGCGCAAGTGGATTGACAGCGGGCTTGTCAAGCCCAAATTCCCCAATGACTTTGAGTATCAAGTCCTCAACATCAGAGATTCGTGGGATCAGAACCTCATCACTGTCTTTCCAGAGTACGTTTGTGATTGCGATGACAAGGCAGACGTCCTGAGCGGTAGTGGAATGACAGAGTTGCCCATTTCATGGAACACGCACTCTCTACAGGCGGCGCTCTGCTCGTCCATTGCGGAGACGGCATCAGTCGCTCGCCTGCTATAGTGTGAGCTCTGTGCATGACCCTTGGGCAATCAAGAGTGACAGGCTTGACAGTACGGCATATATTATGGTCAAGTATCGTCTAGGCGCAGAAGAGGCATGCAGCTACGTGCGCGGTCGAAGGTTCTGCGTCTCGCCCAATGTCTGGTTCCAGCATCAAATTGGAGGTCATTGGTCATCCTACCCGCTGACTATCAGAGACTGATCATCGACGACGCGCAGCTTACGAGGGCATCTATCGGGCTCAAAACATGATGCACCAGGCGGGAGAACAAGAGGCGAGAGATGTCTCACGGAGGAAGCGCCTGGATGCCGACGATGAGGCGGACAACAAGTAAGCTCGTTGACCTGTCTGATGGCCTCTACACTGACGTCCACTCAAAGTGACCCTGATGCGCATCACATTTTGATGACAACGCTAAACAGTCGACGTTCAAAGCCACTTCCAAAGCGAAGGAACGTGTCTGATGGCAGTACAGGGTCAGTCATATCGTACCCAAGCAAACACGCTAGCTCAAATGAAAGCATCAGCGAGATGCAAATGTAACATCAACCGCAAGAGCACGGCAGTGTAGTAAGCATCAGATGTTGTCGTTACCATGTGCAAGGACTGTACGACGCCCTCTACATAGTGATCTCGCCCTCCACAGCTCTGGCGTCGAGGCCGACACGGCGCAGAGTGTCTAGGTAGCTTTCGTTATCCTTTCGACGGAGATATTTGAAGATCTTCTGTCGCTGATGGACGAGTGTACGGAGCGCACGATGGTTGTGGACATCCCCCCTATTGCTACTCATGTGTGACGCAATATTGTGGATCCGGTACGTCAAAAGTGCAGCTGATCGCAGGGCATAAGATGCATCAGCCTCGAGGCATAGCAAGCACGGGTTCTGCTGACCTTGCACGGCAGGACTGCCGGTGTTGTCAGGCTGCTCGCCCGAGAAAGCCTGAACGATCCTGCGCCGGTTTTCAAAATTGATACCCTTGCTGTTCGCATTCCGCAAGTCGAGTATTCTCTGCAGGTTGTCCTTCTTGCCTTCTTCGACCTTCAACACCGCTTCCTGCTGTTCTATCGCAGCCGCCTCAAAAGTCACTTCGCCCAGAAAACTTCGTTGCGCAGCCACACCGGGCAGATCGCGGAAGAGAAGCTCAGCTTCTTCAGCTTGCAAGCCAAAGTTGTACTGCTTCGTCTCTTGGTCGGCTTCTGGCGCTGTAGACCAGAGCTCGTCCCTCCTAACGATAAGTTGGGCCAGCTCGCTCTGGGTCCATATGTCTGATTTTCCGGGTGGATAGCCCAGCACAGGATCCGGTCGAGTGGCCTCGAGCAGTCGCGACCGCTTCTCCCTCGCTTCCAGGTTGGCTTTGCGCTTCTCTCGCGCCAGTCGCTTCTTCCTCGACTCCCGATTGATCGAGGCACTCGTCGAGAAAGGAGAGGTCAGGGGCAGCATAGATGTTGAAGCGGCGGCAAGGCTTGTCGAGTTGCCTCTGACGAGCCGTGTAGCTATACTGGTGCCGTACATAGCCATGACTTGCTCCACAACAGCCGGTGCGAGTTGGATCTGGCTATAGCGCTTTGGCTGGCGGTTTTGATACTTTTGACGCGTTCGAGATCAGCCCGCTCTCTATAGAGGCCGCCGCGGGATTGTTGCACCCACTGCGCGCCGAAGTTGGCGTGAAGACCTGTCTGGCGAGGCCAAGCGATCAAGACTGACACTCAGCAAGGCGGATGCTACCTTGCTACG